GGGTCAGTGCTGGCTAAATTATATTTAGACTAACTTCCATTTATATCATATGTTAATAAAAACACAAATAATAAATTACAAATTAAAGTGATCATTTCTCACCTGGAATCACTTGAGCACAAAGGACAAACATTCCTACACATTCCTGAAATGATAATTGAAAGAACATGTTATACAGGCATTTCTCCAATCCAGGAAGGCTAGGATTTCCTTCACTAATGAGTCATATGCCAGCTCGGAGTTTGTTTCCAAATCTGAGATCTGCCTATGCCTATTTCAGTCAAAGGAGGGAGCTTACTCCACTGCACACCCCTAGAGTGGGGTCCATACAGCAAATAATCTCAGGGTTTAAGAATCTACACTCCCAGAATCTGCTGGAGAGATAAAGAGCTCTCCTGAGAGCATATGTGTTCTGGAGCCCTAAGATACTCTAAAATTAGTAAAATAAATTAATTCACCTGCTTAGTTTTGTAACACAATAGAAGAGTGGTTGATTATGCACTTGACTCTTGTAATTGGACCTACAGTAATAGAAGATAACTTATTTAACTTGAACCATCTCTTTGTAGAGCTGAGGCAAGAACAGGTCAGTTTCTTGCCAAATTCCTTTAGTACAGTTCTCTTTCTAATTTATAAACTGGCTAATGTGGAGGACACACTGAATGATGTCTTACTAGGATGTCCCACATCATAAAAATGGAATGAGGCATATAAATGGATTATTTAAAGTGCACACACACACACACGCACACGCACACGCACACACTCATCACATGAATAATTTGTTAACTATAATGTTTAAGACAAAAAGCAACTCTAATTCCAATCTCTTCATCATCTTGAAATATTCCCTTGAAACAATATAAATATGATTTGCTAAATTGTCCATTTTGTTGACGAAAAGCCAATCATTGATTTGATTTTATGCCAACCTACCCAGATCCTTCACAGTAGACCTTCTTTCTCAATTTTCCTTTCTCATTTCTTTGGGGGATATCCAGAATTATGGCAAAATAGACTGGTCCTGACTTCCAGTGTCAAGCAGTTAAAGTTGAAAGACTGACAAAATTGAAAGCTGATTGGCAATATTGAGCTTCCAAGGACTGCCGTCTTTGTTAAACTATATTTGTACAACTTGTTAATTTCAGTTTGTTTAATCATGATTTATTGAGCACAACTGTGGTGGTCCTGGAGAAAAACACTTTTTGCAACATGCTCAAACATTGTGAGGCATAAACCCTAATGATGGAGTTTGCACAACAGTCTAAGCCTAAATTAAGCAGACTATATTGACTAGTTATGTGAACCTAACCAATACATGTGGCACCAAAAGTTATCAGTATTCCCATTGTCCAATATTCAGTAAACTAAATTGAAGGGCAAAGGATGATGCGTTTCTTCCACAGAGCTCAGATTTGAATTGATCCAGAATTCCACACTCTGTGCTTTTGCCCAATTACTATAGGCCAGCAAAGAAGAATGGACACAGATCATATCACAGGATTCTCTTCTCTGTTTACAAAGATGCTGAAAAAGAAAAAGGGAAGAAAAAAAAGTTATTGGAGTGTTCCTCTTGGTAACTTCTGCTCTCAAAGTTATCTCTTCCCATCAAAAGCAACTCTTGAGGAACAAGAGAAGCTTGCCTCTATGAATCATGCCTCTGCTTCTTTCCTGTTTTGTTCAACCAAACATTTAATTCTCAAGGAGCCTCCTTCTTCCCACAACTACATATCTCATAGCACATCTGAAACAGAGTGCTGTAGCTGGTAAGCAGATACCCAGACAGCAAGCTGCATTTGCTGTTTTTCCCTTCAACGGAGGACACAAACACTTAGGCTCTTTCAAAAGGAGTTTGTCCGGTTTCCCATTACAAGCTTCCCAACTCAGGTATGTACGGGTGGGATAAAAACATCTGCTCGCCTTTTCTTGGGGTAGAAAAAATGACTGGAGAACATTTTTAAAACATTTTCTCGTGGCGGATGTTAATTCATAGTTAATTCAAGTTTTTAAGAAGAGACCGGACAGCCATTTGTCTGAAATGGTATAGGGTTTCCTGCCTGAGCAGGGGGTTAGAATAGATGATCTCCAAGGTCCCTTCCAACTTTTTTTATTATTTTTTTATTATTACTATTAAAAAGAACTTGTGGTTTAATAAAGCATTATAGAACTGCTAAATGGTGCATAAATAGAAGCATAAGGATCGTCACCAAGGGCAGAGTATAAATTCATTGACTAAACCACCATGAATTAGTGAATAAAATAGACAGTGATGTGAATTACTTTAGCAAGAAGTCTTTCAGTGCAGTTAGGAAAACTAATGAATTCAGGAGATTGTCCTAAAGACAATTTTAGGTTACTTTGTGCACAGCCTCCCCTTCCATTCACTGCTTCCCATACACATTTTACTTGAATTGTGGAGGACATCGGATACCAGCTTCTACAGTCCTACATATTTTCACATAATGCTTTACTGTGCCAGACATTGTGTTTGCCAGGTCTTATGTGTGTTTAGCTCTCTTTTCAAAGAGCATTTGTGTTGCAAAACAAAAAAAACCCCTAACATTCTAGTCCTGTGTTACATAGACGTTTGATTTAAAACAGAAAAAAGAGCAAGTTTTTGCCAATTGTGTAATGCTATTTCTGTTATCTCATCATCGGTTAGATTACTGGTTTCCTATTGCTTCTGCCAAAAAGGAGTGTCATGTCACTATATTTCTCATACCAATACTATAATTATTTTTAAAGACTCTTAAGAGCTACAGCTATGCTTTGATTGGTCAAAACCTGTAGAATCAATAGGATGATACTGCACTTCCCATACTACTTGTGCACACCACAGTTACATGACTCTTGGAGAGATGGCAATACCATTTTATCTACTCCATTTCTGCTTTGGCAGTCCTGGTGTCATGGTGATACCTTTGTTACTACATATGGACCAATCACAACTGCATGTTCTTTATAGTTGTCCTCTGACTACTTCTAGCTTCTGCTAAATATGAAAACTGGATCCCATGATCACTGGTTGCACTGATATTCCTTTATAGTGAAGATGGAGCTTGCTCACCCTTGGAAATGCCTTTTTGGTTGCCCTTGCCCTTCACTTTCACTAACAGTTATTGTTAAACATGGATCTAATGCTTTTTCAGAAGAGCACTAGACAATCTGGTTGACAAGTCATAAGAGTAGAGGAGGAGGTGGGGTTTCCGGTTTTGTGCAGTAGTGCAACAGCTGAGGGATCACAGGGCTCCGCACCCTATGGCCAATTTCTGCCTGCCAGGGGACCCTAAATGGACCTGAAGTTGCCCGTAAAGGCAACAAAGAAGGAAGGAAGTCCCACCGATTGTGGAGAGATGGTGGTCAATCCGATTGGTTTGGGAAAAGCCCTCCTGAAACCAGCAGAAGAAAGGCTAGCTTAACTTTAGAGTCTAGCCTAAGCTACAAGCAGCCAAAGCCCAAAAGCACTACTTTAAGCTGACTGTAAACAATGTGTTTGGAACTGAGTAAGAACAGTGATTTTTTCTCTTCTACTTTACACAGACCTTAGAATTTTGAAAATCAGTAAGTATTAGATTTGATGGCCTGAGTTTTACTTGAAGGCCACTACTGCTGCAAATCCTTTTAAAGGTGTCCAGTGAAATGATTGATAGAGCAGACCCTGTGTCCAGCTCCATCAATAAGGGAACCCCTTGCAACTTCACGTCAATGCGAAGTTTTTTTCTTAAGGGGCTTGTGTGTCCCTGTCCTCAGAATACTCCTGCGTGATGCACAAAAACTCACCCTGTTTTGGCTGGGGACTCTGGTACCTTTCTGAAGCAATTCTTCCTGAGGTTGGACCTTCTGGCAACCCAAACAGACGGAAGCAATGTGGCCTTGCCTGCCACATGCCTGGCAAATGGCAGAGCGAAACCTGCAGTCAGCTCGCTTGTGATGTCCTCCACACCTAAAACACTGAAGAGTTGCTGGGGCCTTGTCTGGATACCCCTTCGGCCTCCTTTCTGCTGGCTGGTGAAGTCTGTCCTCCTCCTCTTCAGGATCCGCTTCTGATTCTTCTCAAGCGTTCTCTTGATGGACGGTAGTGGTGGCTGGAGGGTTCCTGGTGAGCCACAAAGCCTTCACAGCACCGCTTGCTGCTTCTTCAGCTGCCACCTCTCGTAACACGTCTTGGAAGGAGACATCTTCTTTTGCAAAGAACTTTTGTTGTAGGTCTCTGCTTCTTAAATGAAATGATTGTGCAGCCTTTCTTCCAGATCCTTGAACTCACAAGGCCTGGCCACTTGCCTTAAGGCAGCAATAAAGTCTGCAGCAGATTCACCCGGCCTCTGGTCTCTCTGCTCGAATGCATGCCTCCAAACAATGACTGATAACTTCGGCTGGAAGTGTTCCTTCAACATCTTCTTCAAGTCAGCGTATGTTATTGACTCCAGAAGTGCAGGGGCCACCAGATTTTCCGTGATGTCAAAAGCTTCTTGTCCACAGGCACACAAAAGAGTTGCTGTCTTCAGGCCGTCTTCTCTTATCTGATTTACTCTAAAGTAGTTCTCCACCCGTGCTACATAGGAATTCCATCTCTCTGGGTGGGAGACATCAAAATCAGTCAAGTGGCCAATCTTTGACATTGTAAACTTTACGACCTTCACTAATTGCCTCCTCTGCAAGCTGCTGTTTGGGAAAGGGTCCTTTTGCCGAGCTCACCTCCAGTGACGCTGTACTGGCAGGCTGAGTCACGAATGCAGACGCCATCTTCCCAATCGTCAGGACTTCCTGGGTGAGTCCTTAATTCTTTTTATTGCTTGCAGGGATCCCATCTTCGTCACCAGTTGTTGTGTTTTCGGTTCGTTGGCAACTGATGAAGACACATGGTGGAAAACAACAAGCTCTTTATTTCACTCTCCTACAACCAAGCAAGCAGTAAAAGGCACACAGGCCTTTTATAGGGCCAGAAACCCAGACAATGTGAACCAATAGGAATTGAGCATTTTTGCACCTTGCGCATGCGCACAAGGCTGGGCAGCTTTTGGAATGCCCAGGACCATTTGCAACATTCTGAGCCTGCTTTCAGCTCTTGCAGGCTCAGGACACAACAGTCACCAGAATCAGTTCATTCTTCTCCAGGATGTGCTGATCTGAATATGCTAGAATACTCCAAAATTTTGTATTTACCCCAGACTGGCACTATTGTTACCTTACTGAAACCTGTGTAGCTCTTGATTTTTTTTTATCTTGCCTATTTTGACATTAGTCTTGGAAATTGTAAAAGAAATCTTCCATCCAATTCTCATTTGCAGTGAGTCCATTAAGACAGAGTCCCCAAATAAACTGAAATGTTTTTTCCCAGGTTTCTTGATATCTGGGTTAAGTTTATGACACAAACTGCCAAGGGACTCACATTCGGTCTTGTGATTCTTTATGTCCAGTCACCTTTCCCTTGTTTTGTCAGCCTCCCCATAATCTCGTACCATGACAGTGAACCTTATAACACTAATGGGGATGTGGATTGCATGGCTGAGTATGCTAGTTGGCATGGAGGTCAAAGCTTATTTCAATATGGTATTTTACAAAATGATTTATTTAATTGAATAGCTTTTTCTCAGAGTATCATAAAAGAGCTAAAACTTGATTTGCTATGCTTTTAAATTACAAACATTTGGATATCCATTTCTTTAGTAGTGTGCCTGCTGAGTAAATATTTTCTGAAAGCAATTTTGACAAATAAGAATTTCTCACCATCAGGCAGGTAGGAATAAAAGAATATACAGTTGAGATGAAAGTACATTAAAGTCAACAGAGGATGGATAAGATCTCATAGCTCATCTATGTAATTTATTTAATCAAGTTCTGCCCTTTCTTTTACTAATTTAAAATAATTATTTGTTTAAACTATGGGAAGCATTTCTGCTTCATTGCAGAAATATGTGTAATTAGTTAATATTTACACAAACATTAATCAAAGTTGTGCCTCCAGCAATTTGTCTTCAGCATCACTCCATCTTTGTGTTAGCAGTTTGTACTCTTTTCAAACTATCTGTCAGTGTCCTTACCAACCCCTGGTTCGACGGCAAGATGACTGGCAAACATTGGAACAGTCTGACCAGCATTTAATCACAGCAAACAAAGTTAGCTCTATCCCCCACCCATCTAGCCAGCATCCAGTGGCTAATGTTAAGAACAGAGACGCAGGCCTCTGGCTCTCTTCTCTGTTCGACTGTTCAGTTCGCATTGCCAGGTGACACTCCTGAGTCAATCAGCTGCTTGTCAGACACACAGTTGCTCAGCTGTTCAGCAGCTCCGCCTTTGGAGTTCAGGTAGGACTGCCCCTGGCTTCTCCCTGGGTGTCGTCCTTGGTGCTAGCCTCCACTGGCCTCCTCCCTGTCTCCCCGCTGCCTTCCTCCCGGCGGACATCTTTGCCACTGTTCTCCTCCCTAGGGCCTTCCCGCACCGAACAGCTGTTTGGCGGCCAAGTCGTGGAACCTCTCGCCATTCGGCGTCGTCACTGGCCTCCTCCCCGGTATCGTTGTTTCCCTCCCCCATCAATGTCGGGGCTTGTCACTATCTTTTCTGCAATATAATTTTAGGTGGATTATGTGCATCTCTTTCAATAATCTCTCTTTAATTAGACCTGTTTCTGGAGCCAGTTGAATAATCTGTTATGCATCAGAGGACAAATAATGCATTGGATTTGAAGAACATGTTCTTCTTCCAGTCTCCAGTGTTTTCTGAATGATGATGCTTTGATACACCCTTCCCTCTGGTTATTCACACAGAAATGCTAACAGAGAAGATCTATTGACATGCTGAAGATTAATTATAACATGCCTTGAAGATTATTTGGCAACTTTTTTGAGGCTGAATGGATTTTTCAGTGATAATTATTATGACTATCATTACAACTGCTTATCCTCTTAATCTGAAGCACCACCAACATATATTTAAAAGCTCTTAGCCATCCCATTTCCACTTTTTTTTTTTGTAAAATTTGATTTTATTATTGGATCAAAATTAACAGTTTTCCTGTATAGCTTAGCATCTGTTTTGGTCACAGAATGTATTAGCGTTCCAAGCATTTTTATTTTCAAACTTTGTAGTTTGAACATCCTTTTTTCTATTTTGAGCCTTCTTCTTTTAAATAGTCTTGTTGAGCAGCATTATGGAACATTAACAATACAAGTAAGCTTTTAGGAGACAAAGAAACAAACAAAAACTTTTCTGAAGTTTTAAGAGGTTCAATAGAGGGTTTGTGTTATGTTGGTACACAGGGCATAGATTTATGTCTAAAAAACATGTTGAACTGTTTTTTTTTATAATGCTTTACATTGTGAAAATGAATTCAGCCAATGCCACTATCAATTCTTTTTAAAATAAATATTTTTACCATTGATTCTTATTAGGAATCAGTCATAATCTGAATACAACTAGATAGAACAGTCAAGAAAAGAAGATTCTCAGTGTCATTTAGAACAAAAGATCTCTGCACAGAATCTTTATGCAGAGGAAAATTTCATCCAAAGCCTTTCTGGCTCTTATTTTTTAATTAATAGCAAAGCTTGAAATGAAACATGAAAGCCTTACCCAGCAATAAGTAAGTGGAAAAATCCCATCTTTAATAATGGAATGGAAACAGAGTTGGATACAAGGCTGTGACTAGGAAATTATCCTTTCATGTTGCATTGGCTTCTTTTCTTAATTGCAGGAGGGGATAATGTTGATGTTATTCATTTAGCCATCTCTGACTCTCAACAGTTCTGTGGACCGGTTCTCATTTTTTTCAGCTGATTATCTTTTTTGCTTTATTTACATTCTAATTAACTTTTTTTTTTTTTTGCTGATTCCAACTCTTTTCCTTATAAGTAGAATTGTCAGATGCAACATCCTGTAGGGTTCTCACTGACTTTGGGAGTAGCTGATTCCTACTCTTGATAAGAGAAGTTGTTCTCTTCCTGACAACTTTAAAAAGACAAAATCTGAAAAGTCACATAATTGCCAGTGAGGTTTCATTTTAATTTTTTCTTTCTGTTACCATCTTTGGTGTTGTTATGTTTTGTGGGGATTAAGATTAATTATTGTGTTTCTCAGTTTTCTTAAATGACCAGTGGAGAGTTGCCTTTCCAATATGACATCGGAAGAAGAAGGAATTACAAAGGGCGTGGCCAGGAAGTGCAAATTCAGAACATCAAAGCATATGTTTGTCAACCTGCCTGTGATACAAACAAAGCTGTGATTTTGGTTCATGACATATTTGGGTGGCAATTCCCAGACACTAGATATGTTGCTGATATAATTGCTTCTAATGGATACACGTAAGCATGGATTTCTATTATTCCGAGAATGTAAATAATGTATAGTGAGGGTAGCGATAAATGGTGAGGACTACCATACCTGTGCTACAACAGTCTGACCAGCCTTTAGACTGCAGGAAAGAGACACAGGCACTTGTTTTGCCTAGTGGCATTCATATTTTTCAGTCCAGATATAGTAGCCCTAATTTAGAAGTATGAAGAAATTGCATGATAGCAAATAGAGATATGAGTATTCTTCTCATGTAATCAACACTGCCCTGCAGGAATGTAGCTATTTTTAAAAATTGTTACACAGCCTACAGGTAGTCTTTTATTTAAACTATACAGTCTTACAGCAGTGTCTCAGGGTGGCATGTAAAGTTAAAAATTTAAAGATTCCTGATCACAAATGTCCAACGTCATAAATAACAATTTCAACTGATAATAAAACAACCGCAGCCAGCAGAGCATATTTAACAGCCAGCTCTTTATTGCACAAGGAAAGGCAAATAGAGTTGAGTCTATCAGTTGTTCTGTAAGGCAGACACTGCCACATGAGTCCTGGATCCAGCAAGATAATAGTGTTTAAGAGAAGGGGCCCAGGGTATATTTTCCTTGTTAGCCCTGGTGGATGGACAGAGAAGACTGAAAACAAGCAGTTCTGCAGATGGTCTGGCACCATGCCATCTAGAGTTCTGGCTTCTTCAGGAGGGGAAGATATCTGGTTCTTTCAAGGCAGGCAGACCTATCCCTGTTGCAAATAAGTATTCATCTCTGCATGAATCTAATGACAGTTCATATCCTAAAAGACTTTAATCAATTAGGAGAGACATGGATCTAAAATACAAATGGCCAAACCCATGGTTCGAAGGAGTCTGCCCAATTCATCAGAGTCAACAGGTTCAGCCTCTTCCCCAGATCATTCCTTGGGTAACTCCATAGAACCAATACAGCCAGATTCCATCTCTGAGAAAATCCAAAGGACTTATATAACAGATGTCTAGAACAGCCCATGCAGTCCACACAGCAGACCTGTAAGTGTTCCCTAGGACTCTCCTTACAATTGATGGGGATATTATAAAAATGGCCACAGCTTAGTATTTTGCAGATGCAGTAAGGGTGGAACAATAGCTACATATTGCCAGCATTATTGCCATGAAGCAATCCTTAAAGGAAACTCTTAATCTCTGTTTGGGGCATTCACACAATTTTCTTATTGCGGTACTCTCTTACACTGAGACATTGTCCAGAACTCCTCTGAAAACCAGGAGCCATCCTGGATCAATGTGCGTAGACTCCTCATAGCTGAGATCCCAAACCAAGGCTGTTCTCATCCTCTCATTCCCAGCCTCTAGAGGCCAAACTGTGTACCAGAGCTCCAAAAACAATCCCAAATGATTGTTTTTAAAACCATTCAGCTTCCTTTTCCAATGAAATGTTTAGCGCATATTTACAGCTCCCCCACTAAAATAAAATTAATGTTGGCAGAATCATGCCTATATATTGCACCTGCATAGATGGAACCAAGAAGTTTAATAAAATCTCCCAGACAGATGCTGTCGCTTGCCAGGAAATAGACCTCTTTTATGTCCAAATATAATGTGAAGGCTTAATGCGTATTATTATTAACATATCCACTAAAGCTGCAATCATAAGTAGATTACATAAACCAGAGTTTTTTAAAGTGTAGTCCTAGGACTCTGAGTGTCCCCCAAGACCTTTTTATGGGTTCACAAAAACAAAATTATTGGCCAGCCTACCTTGAAAAATAATATAATATTATAAATAATACAATATTAAAATCCCATCAAACAATCATGAGAAGTGGTAATGGCAGCGAATATGTCCATTTTAATTTTTAATATAATATAACCCATGCAAACAAAAGCTCTTTTGGGGGTCCTCTGTAATTTTTAAAAGTGGGAAAGGGTCCTGAGAGAAAAAGGTTTAAGAAATGCTGATTGAAGCATTAGATTAATTGCATTTAGTGGAAATTCCTTCTAAGTAAGAAAATCACTGGATAGGTTAAACATTAGAAATGTATTATTTAACTTTATTTTAGTAGTTAGCTTTAATATTTTGTTTTTATGTATTTTTAACAACTTGCAGAGTTACTGAGAGTCAGGAGTATACAAATTTTATAAATATCTACCTATCTAATCTTCATGCTTGTTCCTTTCTTAAGAGCTAGCTTGTTTTGTATTTGTGTGTGTGTGTGTGTGTGTATGTGTGTTGTTTCTATGTTGTTGTAAATACTGTACGTATTGTTTTAATCCAATGATATTTGTATGGATTGGAGATGAATAACACTCTTAACATTTTAGATAACTTAGACTATTGCAGAAAAATAAAGAGGAAAAATAAAGAGATCGCTTGGTAATTCAACTGTCACAGAAACCTTCAAATAACGTATCAATGCAATATTCTACAGAACCATCTGCCCAGATTTTTTTCTGGGAAAGGTACCTTGGACACCTAATGATCATTGGCAGAATTTTGGAGACTGGTTGAAGGATCGAGATCCCACAAAAGTGGACAAGTAAGATTAGTATTTATTTAAAAGTAAATGCAACTGATATGTGTCTGATTAGGAAAGCATGTTAATTAAGCAAAGCCAGAAAGATATTCTTAATGGAAGGGCAAGCAAAGAGCGGGGGAGAGAAGACTGCAGCCTTGATACCTTTTAAGAAAATATATGCATTAGCTTCACAACAGTGAAAGAAGGATCAATGTTTTTGCATCTTTAGGATTTTTTTTGTTTATATTGGATTCAGCAAAGCATACATACTTGCATACCATCATACAACTTCTTTTCAGACTAAACAACCTTGCCGTGGGCAGGGGGTTGGACTAGTAGACCTCCAAGATCCCTTCCAGCCTTCCATGCTTTTGATTCAAATGCAGACCAGTTGCTGAGCACCTTAGATGAAGCACCGAAAAAGATTAAGTAGTAGTAGAAAGGAAATAAATTAAGGGAAGAGAAAAGGAATTATAAACCTAATTTATACCAATACAATTCACTCTAACAATACACCTCACTCTATCTTTACAAACTATCTTTGCTTCCACCATATCTGTATACCAGTTTCTACATTACGTTTTGTTATTTAAACTTCTCAATTTTTCTTGTTCAGGATCTCATTGATTGCATTCAACCATGATTTTCTGTGCTTTTCTCCTTTACCTTGGCCGATTCATTCTTTCTTCATTTATCTATTTTGTAATTTTGATCATTTTAATTATCTAACCAAACTACTTCAGTGTATTATACACAATGGAAGCCAGAATTTCCCAAGACAGGAATGTCAGTTACAAGCTGACATTTGAACATTTGAGACATGGAAGAAAAATTACCATTAAGCTATAGAAAAGGAGGAAAGAAACAATGACTTATGCTACATATAAGAAAGGACTCACTCTCATGTTGTTAAAATACAATCAACTGCTTTAAACAGATTTATTCTTCTTTGCACTGAAGATTTTTATCTCACTCTGCAATATTGAGAATACACAAAAGAATGGGTACCACATAGAACCAAGCACTGCATGTAAAAACATGTCTTGTTCTATTTTCTCATCCTTAATAAACATTCTATTATGGTTGGGGTTACTGTACCTGAGCAGCAATTCATCTACTTGCTCTAATGATTCACCATTTCTTTGTAGCTTATGATAATTTACTCCATTTTCATTGTCAAACACTAACAACTTGGACTTAAATATATTTTCAGATCCATCATACTTCTAACATTAACTTGCCATTCTTCTGAGAGGTCAGTCAACACAGATTCATTCATATTCATTCATCTCTAACACCTCTAACATCAGAACAAACATCCATTCATGCATAAGTGGGTTAAACAGGCAAAGGGATATACACATCCTTGTTTTATTCCATGTTCAATATTCATCTGTTCACTAAGTATTCTATTTAGTCTCACATATGATCTTCTATCACATAGCACTCTTACCATGTTTAACAACCAATCTTCAATTCCCTCTCCTCACGAAATGTCCCATTATTCAATCTATTCATTTTATAATATACTTTCTCTAAACCACCAATATATAATAAATGTTGATATTTATACATGTCTCAATAGGCTGCCGAGAAACAAAATCTCTACATTTCTTTCCTGGTATAAGAAATGTATAAGAGAAATACATCTCCTTTATACAGTGTTTCTCAGAGTCTTCTTTTGTCACCACTTATGCACTTTCAGTCAGAAATTTGCCAAATGCTCTGCCATGCACACTTAATAAACTAATCCCCCAGTAGATTTTACACTTTTTTTCCTTTTCTGCTTGTATGCAATCTTCACTTTAAATAAGTTACACAACTGCTCTTTGATATGCCACCCACGCCTAAAGCATTCAACGTTCTCTCAACAATTATGAGATCGTTTTTATCATTATTCAACATCAACATTTAAAGTTCTTATTTCAGTTTTGGAAGATATAACTATCATTTCTGTACACATTTCTTCAATATTTCTCCCATTGCTTTTCTTATTTAGCCACTCAGCTACAAATCTCTTGTTCATCTGCTTCCAAAATATTTTCCTACTGTGCATTTTCTACATCAGCAGGATTGGTTAGGTTAGTATTGACATCTGCTGTGACCTAATGTGTGAATGGTGCTTTATTATCTATCTAAGATTGCATATATAAGGGAAATGAAAATATATCACACACTATAAATTTTTAGTGTTACTGTTGTGCTGCAAGTTACATCTAGACTTGTAGATCAGAGTTCTCCAACCTTTCCGGGTTGGTGGCCCGGAGGGAGGAGAGGTGGGAAAGAGAGAATAGTTTTGTGGGAAGGGTAGGTTGCTCACATGAGTGGGGTTGAGAGCACCCATGACACTTATGTGAGGCCTGCACGAGTTGGGCTCCGAGGGCCTGAGACTCTCATGAGTGGGGCTGTGCGTGGGCATGCACAGGCATCCACCAAACAACCACTTATGCGGCCCGGTTGCGAATAGGCCACAGACCAGTAGTGGGCTGTGGATCACAGGTTGGGGACCCCTGTTTACTTTACATATCTCTGTGACGCTGTACCATTTTTACTGGTGAACTGTACAACCTAACTACGTGATTGGGTGAAGGATGATGCAAGCCATGTTTTCATGTAAAAACAAATGACATCTAAATTATATAACCACACATACAGGTAGTCCTCGATGTATGACCATAATTGAGCCTAAACCTTCTGTTACTAAGTGAGACATTTGTTAAGTGAACTTTGCTCCATTTTATGACCTTTCTTGCCACAGTTGTTAAGTGAATCACTGCAGGTGTTAATAACACAGTTGTTAAGTGAATCTGGCTTTCCCATTGACTTTGCTTGTCAGAAGGTCGCAAAAAGTGATCACATAACCCCAGGATACTGCAACCATCATAAATATGAGTCAGTTGCCAAGCATCTGAATTTTGATCACGTGACCATGGGGAGGCTGCAACAGTCATAAGTGTGAAAAATGGTCACAATGCACTTTTTTTACTTTTTCCACTACACAAACTTTGTAAGTTGATGTCTACCTGTATTGCATTGTTTTGAATGTAGGAAAAAAAAACAGATATTGTAGTCCCATTTCTCTTCTTACCTTCTTCCTCCTTTCTTGTTTGCATATACAGTATATTCACTTAATGGCTTTTTTTAAACCTAGAGTGATTTTAAATCTCTCTCTCTGTTGTTAAAATGCTTATACTTAATGCAACAGAATCACCAAAATGAGCATCCCCTAAAACCTCACTATGCAAGTTAAAAGTAGGCATCTTTATAAAGATTTAAAATAGTACCGGCATTTTTTAATTTTTTTTTTAAATAAATTTTATTGGAAGTTCAAAAATATACGTCATATTCTTAACATTTTGATATGTCCGTAATAGTAAAACAATAGTTCAGTACTTTGGCTTATCAAACAATGGATTTTATCAGACATCTTTTCAAATAAATCTGTGGACCAGAATGCTGCCAATTGTGTTTATTGAAAAACACCTTTCTTGGATACTTTGCATTTTTTAAAATTCCTTTAGAATGGAATGGAATTCAGTGGAGATGAGCAGTTAATGATAGCTAAAAGTAGCAGGTTGGGGCATGAGCAAGGCATTTCATAATATACCATCTTCAACTCGAATTAAGACATATTCCAGTACCAAGGCACCTATCCTTGCTGTTTGGCTCTCTGAACACGAAGATTTTGGAAACTTTCCGAAGTAAAGGACAATTTAAAAGAACAGTTTAAAAAAACTGAATTTTTATAGAAGCGATTGAACAGGGCAGAAGGATAATAAGGCTCCAACATTCTATTGTAGTTGTGCAGGTTATAAAATTTCAATTAATGTGGGTTTCAGCTTTCTAGAATATGATAAAGTATTTGTCCTTGGTGCATTTATTTGTAAATGAGTACCAAATACAACAATAGGTTGTTCACAACTGGGATTTAATTTCAGGAAATCCATTCTGAGGACTTGGTAATGTATTGTTGTCCTCGTAAGAAACCAGCACCTGAGTGGATAATGTTTTACAAGAATTGTTTTTAATAAGTAGGGAAGATACATTTTGATAACCGTGGTGTTTGTTAACTCCATTTTTGTTTATGCATCTCATTTTTTTTTTTTAGGACAGTTGATACGGTCTTGAACTATTTAAAAGAGCAGTATAATGCAATCACGATTGGTATTGTTGGATTTTCCTGGGGTGGAATGGCTGTACATCATGTGATGCTAACAAATCCTGAATTGAAGGCTGGAGTCTCCCTCTATGGTAACGAAGGATGCTTATTAATTCTTCAATTTCTAAATATTTGAACAGTATTAAATTGTTGTTTGTAAGGATCAACTGTACTATGTAAGATCTTTTACAAGCTGAATGCTTTGTTTTTCTCTCTCACACAAACAAAGGGCATATCTGTGTTGTCTAACTGCCCCATTACCAGGCAGGCACACAATTTCTTCTGGAAGGCAAAAATGGATGTTATCACCCTATCCCTGTCCAAGACCTCAGGTTGCATTTTTCTGCTATATTTCACTTTTGAAGTACACATATGTATATTATGTCACCTTTAAGCTTTTATCCATTTCAAATAACCTGCTTCAGTTTGTTCCTGAGTAACTGTTGCAATTTGTAGGACAGTTCCCAGAGGAAAGAATGCTCTTTCAGCGGAGTCATTGGAGCTGCCTGCTAATGTTTTTTAAAGCTCCTTTAAAAAAAACATGGGTTCTGACATAGCGCAATGGCTCTAACTCTTGCCTTACAAATAGAAGATTGTTTATTTAAAATCAGCAGAAATGCTTTTTAAAAAAACAATACTATTTTCTATTCTACTATTTTCTGTGCTTCCTACTTTTTCTTGTATGTTTTTGTAAAGGAGTAAACTGTTTTTGTTCCTGGGAAGAAGGAAAGATTTTATTGCTTCTGTCATTTCCACTTTTCTCAGAAAAACTTAAGAAAATTCAGTAAGATGAAAAAATTATATTCCTGTTTTATTATTAAATATATACAACATAATCTTATGCATGTTTACTTCTCCTTATCCCCAATAATCATACAGGTAGTCCTCAGCCTATGACCACAAATGTTGCTAAGCAAGATAGTTGTTAAGTGAGTTTTGCCCCATTTTAGGATCTTTCTTGCCACAGTTGTTAAGTGAATCGCTGCAGTTGTTAAGTTAGTAACACGGTTATTAATTGAATCTGACTTCCCCACTGACTTTGCTTGTCAGAAGTTCACAAAAGGTGATCCCATGACCCTGGAACACTACAACCATCATAAATAAGAGTCAGTTGCCAAGCATCCAAATTTTGATCACATGACCATGGGGATGCTGTAACGCTCATAACTGGGAAAAACAGACAAAAATCACTTTTTTCAGTGCTGTTGTAACTTTGAATGGTCACTAAATGAATGGTTGAAAGTCAAGGACTAGCTATATATACTGTAAGTAGGATATTCTCTTGGGTTGTCTCACTGTTTTTCAAGGGTACTGAAGTTGAAAGTCTTCAACCCAAGCTCTCAAAAACCTGCATAGCCCCTTAACCCAACAACACATGTGCATGCACGCGCGCACGCACACACACATATAGATATTCAGAAAGACCCACCCATTAGCAAGTGCTTTTCTGAAATATAAAAGCAAGAGGGCACAGCAGCAAAGGACTGGTATAGTTAGGGAATATAATTTAGATTACCATCGTGTCAAGCCAGCATAAGCACAGATATGCCTAAGGGAATATCCTACTGTATGTGTGTTTATCTGAGAGAAGGGGATATTTCTTTTCAAAAAGTGGAAATAACAGAAGCAGTCTTATGGCAAGTAACAAAAATAGTTTATTCGATTTACCTCAATGTAATGCTATTATAATAATTTTTCATCTATTTATGCCAAAAATATGAACAGCTTCTTGCCGATCACCCCTGGCAAATAAAAATACTAGCAGATAGTCAGATAGGAAAGCTTAATAACAGTGGTTTATTTCATCATTATATCATAAGTGACAAATATAGCTAGGTAAGTAAACATGGTGGCTGAAATTATTAATTTTTTGTAGATTCAATTACAAGACTGAGTATCATCATATTTGCATAGTACACTCTGCTTCTTTAGTCTTTAGACTGTTCCATAGATGGTTTGATTTGTGAAGAGTGTATGCCCTTTAGAAACCCAATATATGCCCCAAAGTCATGTTCCTCAAATAATTGCGGAAACAATCTTCTGAAGGCCCAAAGTTTAATTTTTTTTTTTTGTACATATCAAGCTGGTGCAGGTTTGCAATCCTGAAAGGGAACTGGTATCTTGGATGTACTGCAGAGAAAATAATACATTTTTTAATAGGACTATGGCAGGTGATCTATATAATTTAGTACATTCTAGGAATTGGGACACACCTGTAATCATAGAAACTACAGGAATTGACTGTCACTAAATGTTGTTTTCAAAGTCAATAAATAAAGTATATATAAGATGTCCTTGGCTCTGCAGCTCATATTGAAACTGTACCCACATAAATCACTGCAGAACCACCTGAGTCTCAAATAACATTTTACATTATTTATTATATTTTTCAATTATACTTTAAAATGTCTGCATCATCATAAAATAACATAACAATTAAGGTCAATGGAGTATTTGTCCTCTAATTATATAGTTTGCCTTGAAAAAAAAATGTAGTTTTAACGTAATTTCTCTTCTTTTAGGAATTATTAGAGATTCTGAAACTAGATATAATTTACTGAATCCTACTTTTTTCATTTTTGGCGAGAAAGATCACACCATTTCTCTTGAACAGGTAAACAATTATTTTCAGATTCTAAATAGCTTTATGACTGATATCTCTGCAATACACTTAGAGAATTAGTGGAAATGGGGTATAAGCGTTGCAGGGGATCCTTATTTTCATTTAAGGATCATTCTGAAAAATGAGTCTGCTCTTACTGTAGAATTACCAGTGGGAACATTTACCTAGCAGCAACTAAAGTGGTACTGGAGTCCCAACTGAAAACAACTGCTCATCCATTCTACATTGTGTTTATGTGGAAGAAGGGAATTCCTGCACAGAGGGAGAATCGTTTGAAATCAAATTCATATTTTCCTGTCCACAGGCTTTTCAGCAAGGATAATAATGAGTAGGGTTTTTTTTAATAGGAACAGGATTGTCAGTGACAAAATACATGCTTACAAGCAGAAGATAGCTAAAATGTGAGATTTTCCTAAAAACCTCTCCTGCAATACAAGGTGCAATTACTCCACAGCATTTATTCTACTCGTTGTGTGCTCAGAGGTATTAATTATACAATATCATTCTGTATATGCGCTCCTTTTCCAAGGATTGAAAATTCTTAGGCTGCCCATGCTTGCTGTTCAGAGTCTGGCTTGCTCGAAACAAACAGATTGAAAAAATTATAATGTTTCTGTGGTATAAAGTTTACTAGTAGTCCTCTGATTAGGATCACTCATTCAGCAACCATTCAAAGTTATGGCAGCACCAAACAAGGGGTACTAATGACTGTCCTCAAAATTGTGGGCATTTCAGCATCCCACAGTCACATGAATGCAATTTGGGCAATTGGCAACCAACTTGCAATTACCATGACTGCAGCATCCAGAGGCCACATGATCACCATTTGCAAGCTTCCCTCTTGGATTCCTACAAGCAAAGTCAATGAAGAACTGTTGTTTTTCTCCCCAAAAGTTCCCAAGTAACATGGAGAATGGAGCCATAGTAGCACAGTGATTAGAATGCAGTATTGCAGGCTGACTCTGCCCACAGCCAGGAGTTCGATTCTGATCGGCTCAAGGTTGACTCAGCCTTTCATCCTTCCAAGGTTGGTAAAATGAGGACTCAGATTGTTGGAGGTAACATGCTGACATTTGTAAACTGCTTAGTGAGTGCTGTAAAGCATTGTGGAGCAGTAATAAGTCTAAGTGCTATTGCTACTCTGTAGTACCTGCCTGCCTACACTCTGTAGTGACCCACTTGATCCCCACACTCACTAGTGCTGGCTCAGAGCACCTATTTGCCTACCCAAGCTCTGCAGTGCCTGTCTGTGGTACTCATCCAGCCACAGGTACTCATCACACTCACCCACAGCACCTACCCATACTCCGTAGTGCCTGCCTGCCTACTTGACTGGGACATGGTTTCAGCATCTCTTCCCACAATACAATTATGTGAAGTCCTCATTTAAACCTATACAGTCCTTGCTTAACAATCTCAGCAGGACTGCCAGGATTGCTGATGTGAGATTGTGCTTTATAACCACATTGCTTAGCAGTTATAGTCCCAACTGCCACTGTAATCCAAGGACTATCTGTACTTATCATATAGACTGAGTCCAGAGTGTTGACGTTCCATCATCTTCCTGTTATACGCGGATCCAAAATGCCATAGGATTCTATCTACCTTTTTCAGTTCCAGCTCAGCCTGGCTTCTTGATACATATGTACCCCATACTTCCCAAGTGTTGGAAGAAGGAGAACCACTTCCTGGTTTCTTTTTAAAGCACAATCACTGCTATTCATCATATTTTCATTGCATGAGGGTCCCAAGCTGGCAATTTCATTTGAGGAATTAAATTTAAGAATTCCAAAGTTGACAGAGATCTTTTGGGGCATCTTGTCTAAATGCATTATCACCAGGTGCAGAAAGCATATCACTATTTGGATATGATTAAAAAAAGTCAGAGGTCATAAGATCAATGGTGTTTAAAGTACTATTGCTTAACTTCAGTTCAGGTAGCCTTGACTTTTAAGCAAAATTGTCAAAGAATCCAGGTTATATGCGAACAAATAATTTTAAAAGTGTAATGTTAACATTTACTGTAAATATGTAATATATTTTTTTCTGCTACAGATCTCTTTGCTGGAGAAAAAACTTACAGAATATTGTACAGTAAATTATAAAATTAAAGTATATCCTGGACAAGTTCATGGTTTTGCCCAGTGTAAGCCTGAAGACATGAAGCCTAAAGATGTGCCGTATGCTGAAGAAGCAAGAATGGATTTAATACAATGGTTGAACAGTTACATTATATATTAAAGCAATATATCCCATATTCCACAACTTCCACAACAAAATGTCCTTTATTTGTTTCAAAAAAAGTTATTGTAAAGATTGTAGGGATGCCTATTAGAATCTGAAGAAAGGAAAATGCATTTGAAAGATATGGCAATAATAACCATTAATAGATTCATTATCATATTACTCCATTACTCCTATGAAAAATTATATATACTTGAAGATCTTTCCTACGTTATATACTGTATTATTTTTGTGGAAAAATATTGAGTATTCAGCATTTATACACTTAGCTTTAGGTCTTATTCTATTACCATTATAATATCTGAGCTGCAAATATTCGATTTTCTCTATGTCTTTGCTTGTGCTCCTTGAAGACATACACTTTGTCCTTATAATCTTTCTTCCCTAAGTCCTGCTTTGTGGTAGTTAATCAATGATATCAGAAATATAATTATTTATCCTTGATGCAATATAAAGCATTGCATTCAAAGTTGGAGTCCATCTCAGATTAAAGTTTGTTTAATTCCAAGGCAATATGATTCGATAAATAATACAATCTTTTTTGAAGATGGAGGAGACAATTTTTTTAAAAAGGTGCAAAGTAAAAAATAAGCACTATTTAAAAAAAACACCAAAGGGATGTTTGTAATTTTCGCTCTCTCCAAATAATGGAAAGCTGAGAGTTTTAAAACTAAATTAGGAACACTTGAGCTGGTGATATAATTTGACCTAAAGCTTAAATAATATACTGTTTATCCAAGTAAAAATTATTTTCTCACACTGACTTTGAGAGTTTTTTTTACTACGTTATTAAGATAAGACCCAGACACCACATTGCTTATTAAGCACTTATGAACTGTAAACTTAAAAAAAAATAAAACATATTACAAAAAAGAGAGAATTTTTTTTCATTACCAGGCTGATGGAGGTATAAGCAGCAGTAAATTGTAGAAGTTCATTAAAAGTATGCAGAGATATGAGATATGATCTGACAGCCCATCAATGTAACTTAATCAAGTTCTAACTTTCATTTATTATTTTGCTTAAAAAAAATATCTACTTGTTTGCAGCTTCAATGAAAATTATAAGGAAACATTTCACAAGTAATGTGTGAAAAAAAAACTAAGTAGCAATTAAATCAACCTTAACCATGGTGTGAATAGCCTACTTCCACCTATTTGTCTTCAGAAATGCAAATGCACATATTCCTGGTTGGCAGTTTGTATTCCAAGATATTCCTCACCCATCTAATTTCAGTGCAAATTATATTAAGATTTCCAAGAATCTCTCTTAATCAGGCATGCTTTCTAGAGCCAGCTGAATAGTCTTAGTGACCTGAGGAGAAGTAATTCAATGACTTTGAAGTGGGGCCCATTCAGCTACAGCTTTGATGGCTCTGTAGGCAGAGCTGCATTTGACAGAGAAGAGAACTTCGCAGCTCTGCCTACACAGCCACCAAAGCAGCAGGTGGAGCGCCATAGCTTGGGGAGGGAGGGCACTGAAGTGGGCAGTCGGGCCATTGGCAAGAGCAATGTCTGAGCGGAAAGCGGCCTTGGAACAAGTGGGGCAGGTAAGGAAAGAAATCCTCACTCCCCCTAGAAATTGCCTTTCTTTCCTTACCTGACTTCCAGCCCCGTGCCATTTCTCCTTCACAATCCCCCGCTGCCATCACGTGCAAGGAAATGAAGGTTTTTTTGGGGGAAAAATATCAATCAACCAATTCCAACTTCATCATCTTTCTCTTCTTTCACTGCCCCACTTGTTCTGAGGCCGCTTTCCGTTCAGACGTGTTGCTCTTGCCAATGGCCTGGTCGCCCACTTCAGCGTCCTCCCTCCCAGAGCCTCTGGTGCTTCACCTGCTCTTTTGGTCGGCCTGCCGGCTCCCACCTCAACACTCTGCCCATTGCTGCCCAGCATGGCCACCCCGGGGCTGCAGAGGCTGGCTTGGCATGGGAAGGGCACATTCCCCACCCTCCCGCCACCATGCAGAGTAAGATTGCCATGCCAGCCCCCGTCCAGATGCCCTCGCCTCCCTCAAGCATTTTTTTACTAACCTGCCTTTCAGCTGCATTCCATTTCTCCATTCACTTCTCAGCCTTTGCCACGTGTTTGTGGACTATCAGTTTAAAAAAAAAAAGTTCCATTAGACTTTCTAACTTCTTGAGATCTCACGAGAAGTTAAAAAGTCTGATAGAAGGTTTTTTTTAACCAATAGTCCCACAAACACACAGCGAAGGCTGAGAGGCGAACAGAGAAATGGAATGCAACTGAAAGGCAGGTTAGTAAAAAAATGCTTGGGGAGGCGGGGGGGGGCGTGGCAATCTTATCCTGTGTAGGTATGGACGCAGGTTGCTCATGGACGGGACTGAAGGCCTAGGACTGGGGCGACAGCGCGCGTGCCCACACGTGCCATAGGTTCGCCACCACGGTAATATACACAAGTAAATCTCCCTAATTTTATTCAGCCAGTTTTTATAAAGCTACTTTTATTCAAAAGATATTGTATATTAGAACATCTCAAATTTGGCTTCTAGCAATTATTTCAAAAGGCAAACACATGTAAGAATTAAACAGAACAGCACATGTAGGATTTGAGATTAAATCCCTGTTTAGGATGGAATCAAATGAGGCTTCTTTGGAATGGCTGTCCATTTCTCTTCGTTTGGAGGTATCTTGAAGAAGGATTTGTTACCAATAATGCATCCTTTCAAAATGAAGCAGCTTCCTGTTAATCTTTTGCCACCAAGGACAACTACCAGAGGTTATGAAAGCACAAATTGTGAGCTTCAGGCCAGAATGGAAAAAAACAGCCCACATATTCTTTGCCAGATGGAACTGAGCCCAGACATTGAAGCTGCAATGTCCAAAGCAATATTCATATTTATTTATATCTATATAAGGTTTGAGGATCCAGTGTATCAGGTATCCACAAGTGATCATATGACCAAAGCTCTGCTCTTTTTATACAGGACATACATTGCAATAAAATTTCAATTATGTGATCAGAACCATTGTCTTTTAAACTCACCTACCCGCTTGTATGGACATCCCCATGCATTTGCAAAGTGGCATTTTTGGGGGGAAATAATTAAAATAAGCATACTTTCCTTCCAGAGAATGCATGCCATGTATTTTGGTTTAAAATGTAAAGAAATGTAAAGAAAATAGAGGTCCTTTACAGCTTGGATGTTCTATCTGAACCACAGAATAATAGAGTTGGAAGGAACCTTGGAGGTCTTCTAGTCCAACTCCCTGCTCAATCAGGGAACCCTACCATTTCAGACAAGTGGCTTGTCCAGTCTCTTCTTAACAACCTTTAAAGTTATAAATTATTAGTTCAATATTAGTTCAATCAACCTTTAAGTTCTAATATGTGAATAATCGTTAAGAAAAAGTGATTGTATAATTGTAAAAGTTGATTGTATAACAGCTCAGATTTAAAATAAGACTGCAGTGTTATTTTAAAACCTGGCAACATCAAAATATTGACCATAGTTGTGACAAGCCAGTTTTTTTACTCAATGATTAACATGCACGACAGTGAGGAAACTATAGATTTCTGAATAAACTTCATTAATATTAACACAGTGTGGCATGCCATACAAAAAAGAACACAGCAACCATCCCACAAATGCAGTGGTTGCAGGAATTGAGCTACAATAACCTTATTTCCTCCCAGCAACTCCCCAAAGGCCTCAGCCCTGTCTTAAATCATCATCAAAACTCTTCTCAGATACTCAGAAGTTTTACATCCCAAAATTGTGGTTTCTCCCCCAAAGCTGGGCTGAGGAATAAAGAACCTAATGATTCAAAAGGGTGTGAAATATAAAAGTATGTAATGCATGATAGCCTGGAGTTCATGCAGGAGGAGTTGTTGAAATCCTCCCCATTTGGGGGCTGAGTTATAGCCTGTCAACCTTTGAGCTCTTTTGTAATAAGCAAATCCTTTTGCTTCCTTTTCAGTGGAGCTGCACCAATCGTGGTGAAAGAAGCTGCACCATTCCACAGCAGCAAGCAGACTGCCTTGAACAAACCGTTTCCAGCCCTCTGAAGTTAGATTCAGCATTCTAGGTATGTTGGAATCAAATATGTTCCATTATGTTTTTTTCTGGAGAAAGGTTAAATAGGTAGCGGAAATGCTGATGCCTTACTTTTTCTGCCATATTGAAGAAAAGATAAACAAAAGGATATGGAAAAACTACAGGGGAATTAGTTTCTTAAGACTGCCCAGGAAGGTATTTGGCAGGATTCTGATCAAAAAGGTATGAGAGGTAACAATAAGCAAATTTGGGAAGTGCAATAGATTTCTGCTAGGCAGGAAGTGTGCAGACTAGATTTGCTCTTTAGGAGATCATAACCAAATATATGGAAGGGAGAAAGAAAGTTGACTGTGGGTTGGAAGCATATTATAGTTTCACTTCTAGAATGTTTTGCACTGATGAGTGAAAGACAGCTGCTGAGTGCAGTCAGATATAGAATGTGAGTAAAGAGTATATGAGATAAACTGAATGCTTAAGGGACAGCTAAATTAAGGTCTGTGATATTGCCTTGATATTGTAATGTTTTATGGAGAACCATATAAAGATCCTTATTATGATAGAAATACATTAACAGCAGGTATAAATATTTTGGATATGGATGATGCCTTTTTACTGGTGAAGAGAGATTCCAAATCATTTACAGTGAATGTTAGATAAAATTCATGATACAGTGAGGACTATGGATTTGAAAGATAATATTACAAAGATCAAGAATGTGTGTGACGGGTAATAAAAAGAAAAATTGTTAAATACTCTGTTTGGTCGCGAATGATGACTCGACATGGCGAATTCAATAAGTCTTCCAATGCAAACACAAAACTGAGAGAACAGGCTCGCAGGCCTCTCTTAAAGCGATCAGAGACCCAGACTGCAACATACCAAAGTATCAGGCATTTTCATGCCTTGCGCATGCGCACAAGGCCAGCGCCACTCAGTCTGGTCCCAGGCAGCTTTTGGAATGCCCGGGACCATTGCAACATCCCGAACCTGCTTTTGCAGGCTCAGGACACAACACCCCTCCCCCCTAGATGGAACATGTCTGTGCACCCACATGCATTATCCCTTGGGGAGAGTGTTATAGATTCCAAAAATCAAATGCACTGAATGTGGACTACCTGAGGTTGCCTTCAAGCACAACCCCTTCAACCTGTTCCGGAATAAATGTATCCAAAATTAAATTAAAAAAAAAAAATCTCTTAACCATGGCCCTTGTGATCAGACCCCTTGGAACTTGACAGCAACTTCACAAATTCTCTAAGATATTTGAGTGGACACTTGGCCTGCTGTGACCTCCTAGGAGAGATTTCCTGGCCCCCTTGCTCACCTACCCGGCGAGACAGGCCAATTTGTGGCTGCTTTAAATTTTCTGGGGACCCCGGTGAGATTGCCTGGCCCCCCTGCTCACCTACCAGGCTAGGTAGGCCAGGGCTTTGCTGCCCCAAATACCCAATTGATCTGCCCATCTGCTGGCTGACTGGACCCTCTAAGCCCAAGCCAGCATACCTTGGAGGAGTGGTAGTCCCCAGTTCCACAATGGACCCTTCTTGGGAGCACTGTCCCTCAAACCCAAGGCCAGCAGATGGAGAGTGTTGAGTATTGGGAGTGCCCCAGTACTCTGTGGCCCCCAAGCACGTGCCCAAGGTGCCGGAATCAGGAGTCGCCTCCCTGGCTACCCCCTTCCCTGTTAACCTCCTTCTGGGAGCAATTGCGGAATTGTGCCATCGTCCCTGCTGGAGTTTTTGTTCTCTTGTAGTTTGTGAGTTGTGTGGATACCCATCAGTCTCCCTGTCTGGAGTACTGTCTGTCATGTGTGAATAATGTGGATACCCCTGGTGTGACTCCCTGTCTGGAGTACTTATGAATGTGTGGGATGACCTCTTATCCTGTGACATCCTGTTAGGAGCACTTGAAGAACCTTGGGATGAATCCTGACTAGCTTCAGCATGGGCTAAAGATGGCCTGTCAGGCCTCTGAAACTGACCCTCAGAATGCACATTATAGTCCCCTCCCAGAGAAGAGCCAGAAGTGGAAGGGTGAGAGTCCAGTCTCCAACACAGTTGGTCTATATGTCTGCGCAGAACGCGGCCGTCTCCCAAAGCGACTTCGTAGGAAAGCGGTCCCGAGACCTTGCAGACCACAGATGTGACCGAGAGATAACCAGGCCCGTAGTTCCGTGCCCAGACCGGATCACCCACTTGCAGTCTCCTCGGTGCCCGTGGTTGTGACACCTGTGAAGCCACCCGGTCTGAGTGCAGCCTGTCCAGCTTAGTGATGAGGCGGCGACCCCAGCGGAGTTCTGCAGGACTCTTCCCTGTGGCAGTACAAGGTGTGGTGCGGTATACAAGAAGGAAATCTGCTAACCTGTGATGCCAGTTACCGTAAGTCAGTTTCTTCAGGGCATCCTTGGTGGTTCGCACCATTCGTTCTGCCAGTCCGTTGGATGATGGGTGGAAAGGAGGCAATGTTGCGTGCCAGATCAGATTGGCCTGAAGAAAAGCCTGGAACTCAGAAGAGGTAAATTGAGGGCCATTATCTGAAACCAGAACATCTGGAAGACCATGTGATGCAAAAATTCCTCTCAACACTTGGATGGTCTTGGCAGTAGTAGTGGAGGAAACAGGAACAACCTCTAGCCACTTGGAATGGCTAAACAACAACCAGGAAGAATTGCCCCTGAAAGGGCCCAGCGCAATCTATATGCACCCTAGACCATGGGAATTGAGTTTCCTCCCACCTATGTACTGGTGCCTGAGGCATTTCTGGCTGAGACTGTTGGCACACTTGGCACCCGTGCACCTGGGTCTCGATGGCTTTATCAAGTCCAGGCCACCAAAGATGGCTGCGCACAAGTGCTTTCATCCTGACTATACCAGAATGTCCCTCATGCAGAGAGATCAAGATTCTAGACCTCAATGAGGCAGGGATCACTACCCTGCTACTCCATAACAGGCAACCCTTGAAAGTGGAAAACTCATGCTTCTTGTGCCAGAAACTCTGGAACTCAGTATCAGGGCACTTGTCAGGCCATCCTGACAACACCCATGTCAGCACGCGTGTAAGCGTGTGATCAGTGGCAGTTTCAGCAACCACATCCCTAGCATTGAGGGGAGATTCAGGTAAATCCTGAATAGACAGGATATTAATGGCTGGATCTGGCTCTACTTGATTCAGAGGTAGTTTGCTCAGGCCATTTGCATGACCCATTTCTTTTCCTGGTTTGTGGACTAATGTGAAGTCGTATGTTGACAGGAAAATGAACCATCTCAGCATATGAGGAGAAATGATATGTGGGGTCTGTTTGTTAGTGGTAAACAAACCCAGCAGAAGCTTATGGTCAGTGAAGACCGTGAATTGGCGGCCATATAAGAAATCATGAAATTTCTTAATGCCAGCCACTATGGCCAATGCTTCTTTGTCAATTTGAGCATAATTTCGCTCAGCAGAAGACAAAGTCCTCAAATAATAGGCCACAGGGACCTGTGTCCCATCAACCTTCAGATGGCTAAGTACAGCTCCCACCCCATAAGGAGATGCATCGCAGGCCATGCAAACAGGCAGTTGCTTATTGAAATGTGCTAACATAGCATTAGACGTGAGCAAGGCCTTAACCTCATTGAAACTGTTTTCATGGACTTTAGTCCACTGCGACAGAGCCTGCTTGTCTAAGAGCCTGTGTAATGGCTCTGCCACAGCAGCCTTATGAGGGAGAAAAGCATGGTAAAAATTTAATAGCCCCAAGAAGGCTTGCAGCTCACTCTTAGATTTAGGGCTTGGGGCCTGCTGGATGGCTTGCAATTTAGTTTTAGCAGGGTGAATGCCTTGAGCATCTATTCTGAATCCTAAGAAGTCAGTAGAAGTGACTCTTATCTTACATTTATCCTTCTTTAGTTTAAGGCCTGCTTTTTGAAAATGCAGCAAGACAGCCCTTAATCTCTCAGCTAAATTTTCAGATGACTCCCTAGGAAATAAAAATTCTGAAGAAATATAAATGGGACTAATGATAAATTAGCCAGCAGCAAATTTTCAAAGAAGCAAGTCAGGTAGAATGGGGATTCATAATAAAATTCTACATAATTTGACTGAAAGCTTTGAGATGGAAATTGTTGTGTCCTGAGCCTGCAAAGGCAGGCTCGGGACGTTGCAATGGTCCCGGGCAGCTTGCAACTGCCCGGGACCAGATTGAGTGGCACCGGCTTCGCGCGCATGCGTGAGGTGCGGAGCGCGCCTAAATGTTACCTTTTTGCCCAGGGATGCTATTAAAGGAGTCAGAGAGGCCTGCGAGCCTCAGAGCTGTGACAGAGAGAGAACTACCTTAAATAAAGGGCTGTTGGAATTACAGAATGTGCTGTATTCATTCGCTGTTGACTCAATGAGTCAAAACTGGCAACAAAGGTGGGATGGCTTACAAAAACAAAAAAGAAGAATTGTAAGCTTACCCAAGAGTCCTGGAGAGAGGAAGACGGCGTTAAACTCAGCACCTGGTCTGCCAGTACAGCGTCGCTGGAGGTAAGCTGGCTGATAGACCCCTTCCTAACAGAGAAGCAAGAATGGCAAAGATAGGGAGACTGTCTGAATTCGATGTCACGCACCCAGAAAGATGGGAGTCTTATGTTGCCAGAGTAGAAAATTACTTTAGAGTAAATCAAGTAAGAGAAAATGGCTTGAAGGCCGCTACTTTGCTGTATGTCTGTGGTCAAGATGCATTTGAAATTGCTAAAAATTTGGCAGCCCCTGCTCCTCTTGAATCTGTCACTTATACAGATTTTAAAAAATTATTGAAGGAACATTTTCAGCCCAAGTTGTCTGTTATTGTGTGGAGACACACTTTTGAACAGAGGGATCAAAGAGCTGGTGAATCAGTTAAAGAATACATTGCAGCCTTGAGAAGAGCAGCTAAGCATTGTGATTTTAAAGATTTAGAAGAAAGGTTGAGAGAGCAGTTTGTATGTGGGCTTAGGAACAGAGACTTGCAACAGAGACTCTTTTCAAAGGAGGACATTTCATTCCAAGATGCCTTGAGAGAGGTCACTGCAGAAGAGGCAGCAGGTGGGGCAGTCAAGAACATGAGGTCTATCAGGAACAACCCAGAAGCCATCTCCGTGCACCATGAGGGAGTCCAGGGAAGCTTGGAAGAAGATCCTGAAGATGAGCTGGATTATCTTTACCCAGCCAAAGAAAGAAAGCAGAAGGAAGGCAAAGAAAAGTCTTCAGCTATATCCAAGTGCTTCGGGTGTGGAGGTCGCCACAAGAGGACCGACTGCAGGTTCCGTTCTGCAATCTGTAGAGCATGTGGAAAGCAAGGCCACATAGCAGCTGTGTGTCTGGGCCATCAGAAGGTACAACCCCGAGAAGAATTGCACCTGAAAGGTACCAGGGTCCCCAGCCAAAACAGGGTGGGTTTCTGTGCATCATGTAGAAGCATTTATAGGACAGGCAGCACAGGCCACTTAAAAAGAAACTTTCACTTAAGGTGAAGTTGTAAGGAGTTCCATTGGTTATGGAACTGGACACTGGGTCTGCACTTTCAATTATTTCCATTCACACTTTCAGAAAGATTTGCTCCAGCAGTGGGTTCCAGGACAAGCTTAGGCCATCCAATATAGTCTTAACGGACTTCCAAAATTCCAAGATGTGTGTTAAGGGGGAGGCCACCCTTAATGTACAATACAAGGATTTTGAAGGTCCATTAGATGTATTGGTAGTTGGGGGTGAACGCACGAGTCTCATTGGACTCGATTGGTTTGAGGCCTTGGGAATACAAGTTACAGGGCTTCACAATTTGCAAACATTAGGTCTACAGGAAGTCGGCAAAGAATTTGCAGATGTCTTCAGGCCCCAGCTGGAAGCATACAAAGGCCCCCCATTTTCCTTGAAACTGGACCCTACTGTCACTCCTATTAGAGTAAAAGCAAGGACAGTACCCTTTGCTTTGAAAGGGAAAATTGATGCTGAACTGGACAAATTGATTCAGCAAAGTGTCTTAGAACCTGTTGACTCAAGTCCATGGGAAACTCCCACAGTCACGCCTCTCAAGGCTAATGGGGACATTTGCATCTGTGCAGATTACAAATGCACTCTAAACAAGGCATTGCAACAGCATGCATATCCTGTACCTATGTCAGCCACATTTTGGCCTCCCTCAAAGGGGGGCATGTTTTTGCAAAGCTGGATTTAGCACAGGCTTATCAACAGTTACCTGTTGATGAAGTTGCTGCTGAAGCGCAGACTATTGTAACTCATAGGGGGGCATTCAAAGTCAAAAGACTACAATTTGGAGTAAATGTAGCTCCTGGAATTTTCCAAAGTGTAATGGAAAACACCCTGAGAGGTATACCAGGGGCATGCCCCTGTTTTGATGATGTCATAATAGCAGGAGAATCCACTCAAAATTTAGCTGAGAGACTGAGGGCTGTTCTGCTGCATTTCAGGAAAACAGGCCTCAAGCTTTAAAAAGATAAATGCAAAATTGGAGTGTCTTCTACAGATTTCCTGGGATTCAGAATAGATGCCAAGGGCATTCACCCTGCTGAGTCTAAATTAAAGGCTATACTGCAAGCTCCTAGGCCTAAATCTAAAGCTGAATTACAAGCTTTTCTGGGCCTCTTGAACTTTTACAATGCATTCATACCTAACAAAGCTAATGTAGCTGAGCCACTTCATAGACTCTTAGACAAACAGGCAGTGTGGCAGTGGTCACAGGCACAGGAAGAAAGCTTCAATGAGGTCAAGGCCTTACTTACATCAAATGATGTGCTTGCACATTTTAATGAAACTCTTCCTGTGTGCATCGCTTGTGATGCTTCCCCTTATGGGGTGGGAGCTGTACTCAGCCACTTAAGACCTGATGGAACTCAGGTTCCTGTTGCATATTACTCCAGAACTTTGTCTTCTGCTGAGTGAAACTACGCTCAGATAGATAGAGAAGCCTTGGCCATTGTTGCTGGAATTAAAAAATTCCATGATTTTCTATATGGCAGACACTTCACGGTCTACACTGACCATAAGCCTCTGTTGGGGTTGTTTACTACGAACAAACAAACTCCCCATATCATCTTCCCTCGAATGCTGAGATGGTCTATCTTTCTGTCAGCCTATGACTTTTCCTTAGTTCACAAACCTGGCAAGGAAATGGGCCACGCTGATGGCCTTAGTAGATTACCTTTACAAATGGTAGAGGCTGCCCCTGCCATCAACATTCTTTCCATTCAGGCGTTGCCTGAGTTGCCCTTAAATGCCAGGGATGTGGCTGCTGAATCAGCCATGGATCTCACACTCACTCGTGTATTGTCCTGGGTTTTGTCTGGATGGCCTGAGAGTTGTCCAGGTACTGAGTTTCAGAGTTTCTGGCTCAAGAAGCATGAGTTATCCACTTTTCAGGGTTGTCTGTTGTGGGGCAGCAGAGTTGTTATTCCTATCTCAATGAGACCTAGGGTCTTGGCTTCCCTTCATGAGAGCCATCCTGGCATTGTCAGGATGAAGGCGCTTGCGCACAGCCATTTATGGTGGCCAGGGTTAGACAGGGAGATAGAGGCTCAAGTGCATGGATGCCACTTGTGTCAGCACTCACGCCCGGAAATGCCTCAGGCTCCTGTACATAGATGGGAGGAAACACAGTCACCTTGGTCTAGGGTGCACGTAGATTACACTGGGCCCTTTCAGGGTCAATTCTTCTTGGTCCTTGTTGACAGCTATTCAAAGTGGCTTGAGGTTGTACCTGTCTCTTCCACCACTGCTGCCAAGACCATTCAAGTACTGAGAGGGATTTTTGCTGCACATGGGCTCCCAGATGTCCTGGTGTCTGACAATGGTCCTCAATTCACTTCTTTCGAGTTTCAGGCTTTCTTGCAGGCCAACATGATTCGTCATGCCACCTCTGCACCATTCCACCCTTCTACCAACAGTATGGCTGAATGGATAGTCCGCATCACCAAGGATGCTTTAAAGAAACTGACCTACGGGGACTGGCACCACAGGTTGGCAGACTTTCTTCTTGCTTACCGCACCACACCTTCAACTTCCACTGGGAAGAGCCCAGCTGAACTCCGTTGGGGGCACAAACTGATCACCAAACTTGACAGGTTGCACCCAGACAGACTGCCTCCTAAGGTCACCCAAACCAGGGCACCGCGGTGTCTGCAAGTGGGACCCGGAACTACGGGGCTGGTCAGAGCTGTGATGGAGAGAGAACTACCTTAAATAAAGGGCTGTTGGAATTACAGAATGTGCTGTATTCATTCGCCGTTGACTCGAGGACTCAACAGAAACTGTTGCAGTTAAGACTGAATTGGGGACCAAAAACTAAAAGACTTCACCTGTTAATATTACATAATTTAATAGCAAGTGAGAATGAGATATTTCTGTTACAGCTGGAGGATTTAATGTTTGCATTGGCCTTTGGGCCTGAGCATTGTTGGGGGAAAACATTGAAAAGGGAATTCCTGAATTTCCATCCTATTTGTGACTTACAGTACAAGTTTTCACTCCAGTCTCAAGATGAGGTTTGTTTTCTCTACTCAAGCAGGATACTAGAGTATTTCAGGCTCCAAAATGTATTCTAGCTTTGCAAAGCCAGGTCAAGCAAACATAGATATGTTCAGCAACATTCTATAGGCAAAAGCCCTAAAGGCAAATCAATGTATAGGAAAAACAAAGGTCATCAATGTCTAGGGATATGATTACTACAAGAAAACTCAAAGTCAAAGGTAAGTGGGTCTGATTTGTGTTATGAAATACCTTTGAATAACAGTCAAGCTCACTTCTTCCATGTGGTTCTGACAGAGTATACAATGAAAAACTACTTCCTCTGTAGATGCATATTTCCTATTAAAGTTTGTACTCTATGTCTAGGAGCTCCAATCTATAATACCTATTAATATTAAAATTGCTTAAGATTTTCTACTGCACAGCCTTCATGAGTCTGACGTGCCCGGTAAGTTGAGAGCTAAAAGTGGACCCTTAGATATTTAAGTCTTTACCTTGTTCTCACATGGAAGCAGGTGACTGTCCATTTATGCTGAGAGTTTCTTAGTAGAAGCAGTTTTGTTTTAAGCTGTGCAGAGGTGATCACATTTCTCTACCTCTACCTCTCTATATAGTTTAGTCAGCTAACATTAACCTTCACAAAACTCAGCTTACTTCTATCTGCATTTCTAACAAATAAAGCTATTTTTTAAAAAAAAAATCCTACTTATTGTGGCATCCTTCACTTAATTTTCTTCACACAATATTCAGAAATGATAAATCTTGATCTGTCTCTTTCTCATTAAGACACTCAAAATACAGTACATCTTGTATTACCATAATCCCACGTGACTCAAAGATGATAGTAAGACACAATTGAAAAGTAAATCAGGTTTTGGATGTTTAATTCTAAATACATTACTGTAGCTCTTAAATTATTGGTAAATTAGTGTAATGATCTGTCTCAGGATTTATGTGTAGTTCCATTTTTAAATCTGTAAATTACAGAATATATGCATGCACCTGTCATCTGCAGAGAATAGGATCTACAGACATGCTAAAGAATTGTCTCCCAGATGTTCCTTTACATTTTACAGATGGCAGATAAGACTAAATTTTGTCCATGTGACCTTGGAGATGTGTTTGATTATCAACCTCTGGGACAAGAAGTGTCAATTGAGCATATTAAGGCCTATGTGAAGAAGCCCTCTTCCCAGACTGATGCAGCTGTAATTGTGATTCATGATATATTTGGATGGCAACTCCCAAATACTAGATATATTGCTGATTTGGTTGCTTCCAATGGATACATGTAAGAAATGAACTTTATTTTTTCTTCATCATATTTTTTTTTCCTTTATGTAGTTGTGATTCTTAAATCAAGGTGCCTCCTAATTTATCCATTTATATGTAGTTTGTATGTCCAAGCTGAGATATATATATATATTATATATATATATATATATATATATATATATATATATATATATATATAATATATATATATATATATATATGTAATGGAAAAGATATGTAGAATTATTGCACACCATATGAAATACAACACAATAACAATAATTTGTATATTAATTTACCTGGAGCTGATTTACTTGGTGATTAATAATAATAATAATAATAATAATAATAATAAAAGTTGGAAGGGACCTTTGAGGTATTCTAGTACAACCCTATACCATTTCAGACAAATAGTTGTCCAGTCTCTTCTTAAAAGCGTTCAGTGTTGGAGCATTCACAGCTTCTGAAGGCAGGTTGTTCCACTGATTAATTATTCTAACTGTAAGGAAATTTCTCCTTAGTTCTAGGTTGCTTCTCTCTTTGATTAGTTTCCATCCATTGCTTCTTATCTTGCCTTCAGGTGCTTTAGAGAATAGCTTGACTCCCTCTTCTTTGTGGCAACCCCTGAGATATTGGAACACTGCTATCATGTCCCCCCTTGTCCTTCTCTTCATTAAACTATAAAATAAAGCCTATTTGAAAATTGGCAATAACTTGATTGATTGACTGATTATCAGTTATCAATTCAGTAAGCTAATATTTAGATCAAAGGGCAACTAATACTATGCATGACACTTTATGTAGGATAGGTGTTCACATTTAGAAGCAGATATTATCCACCCTGGCATTTTATCTGTTGGTTATGCTGTTCTTCTAGGACAGGGCTTTTCAACCTTTTCACCCACTGTACCACTTTTAGGATATGGCAACATCCGAGTATCACTAGTCACCTAACAAGGTGTCAAAAACTTGATGATCCCAAAAATAAAAGGAAAAAAGTGATAAAGTGCAGGTAGTCCTTGACTTACAACAGTTTGCTTAGTGACTGTTTGAAATTATAATGGCACTGAAAAAATTGCTCCCCAAATCACAGCCGAGCAAGACACCTGCACACCTGGCAGCACTCTTCCTCTGTCCAAGATTTTCATTGTTGTGAGCATTTCTGTTGAGGATTGGTAGCGGGGGTTGGGTGGGAGTGTTTGGTTTTTATTCCCCCCGTCTGCTGGGTGGTTGCAGCAGATTTTGGTCACTTCACATGATCCTGGGACACTGTGACCATCATAAATATGAATCAGTTGCCAAGCATCTGAATGTAAATCACAAGACCCTGGAGATGCTGCAACATTCCAGCTGATCGGCGCTTCTTCTGGGCTCAGCAGAAGCGCCAGGATCAGCACCGAACTCCAGCTGGAGCCTGGCGCTGATCCTTCTGCTGAACCCTGACAGCCTTCAGCTCCAGCCATCTCTCGCTCAGGCTTGTGCGGTGCTGCCACCGGTTCAGCTCATTCCCCTTCCCCGCTACCACTTTTCTAGGATGCTTGCGTACCACCTGCCAGGTGCCAATGTACCACAGGTGGTACCTGTACCACTGGTTGAAAAGCCTTGCTTGTAGGAGATCTTTGGGATGATTTTCCATACAGAAAATTTTCTCTTTGTATGCACTATAGTAAAATCAAGAATGTTTTTGGCATAGGTTAGTTATGCAACTTATAGGCATGCATCAGCATTCACAGATCAACCACTACACAAATCATGTATTTTAACCTAATGACAATAATATAGTTTCTGCTTCTATTATGAAAGCATGTTGTGAATATGGGATTAGGCTTTATTTATTTATTTGCTAGTCATTCAATTTAAAAGAACTCTCATTGTTTAAGACAGGTTATTGTTCCTTTCTCCCAATGAATCTGTGTAAAAGGGGGGGAATTGTCTGTGTTATAGGTGACTATTAAATAAGAAAGTTTTTAACAAATTATTTTGTATTTATTTTTGTGCAGTACAATTTGTCCAGACTTTTTTAAGGGAGGAGAACCTTGGAAACCATCTGATGATATATCTCAATTAGGTGAATGGCTAAAAACACGAGATCCCAAAAATATAGATAAGTAAGTTTTTATCTTGAAAGGTATTTACTTTTTCTTCTCTCTCTCTCTCTCTCTCTCCTCTCTCTCTCATTCTCTCTCTCTCTCTCTCTCTGTGTAGGATATATAGGGGACAGGTAAGCAGCTGACCCCACTTGATCCTAAATAATATATTCCATTATTGAAACCATTTAGTCACCATATAGGGAAGATAGGTGGCAAAATAAATAAATACATTTCTATCAAACACACACACACACACACACACACACACACACACACACACACAAGCCCTCTTCAGATCCTGCATATTTTAATATATCTTACCAGTATCCTCTACACTTTTTCCAGTCAGTTTCAGCAAACTGTTCTGAAAAATAGTGTTTAAAATATGGTTAAGGTGCTGGCCTAGAAAGCAGGAGACTATGGGTTCTAAGCCTTCCTTAGGCATGAAAGCTGGCTGGGTGACTTGGGGCCAGTCAACTTTTCAGCCCAACCCACCTCACAGCCAATCCATCTCATCTCACCAGCTAGCTAGCTAGACAGATAGATGGATAGATTGATTATAGATGATGTAATAATACCAAAAACAACTGGAGCATCACTTAAGTACCATTGGGATTGACAAAAATCCCCATCAGTCAATTGCAAAAGATTGCTTATAATGAAGCTTGTTCCAAAGAAACAGCTGGCACAAGTATTAAAAGCTGCAAATAGTGTAATATCAAATATAAGAACCAGCTCACTGCAAGAAACAAACCATTGATGTATAGCACAACTGCAAATATAACTGAAGATCTTGGATGCAAAATCAACAAAAAAGGATAAACAATGCATTACCAAAATGAAAGATCAGGTTGGAAAATAAGATCAACATGCTAAGATCAGATTTAAGTAAGTTAGAACATATGAAAGAAGTAGAAGAAGAAGACCAAAAAATAGCTTATCAACAAATGTCACTAAAGACAAGAAAGTTCAAGGGACCATTGGGAAATAATAAAGCAGCAAATAACAACTCTGGTCAAGAAAATCAGATATGATACTCAAGCTGCACACTACAGACAGAATCTCCCATTTCAGTTATATCAGAAATGTTTCTACCAATCCATCAACTGGAGAGAAAGAATTGAAGAAAATCACAAAATATAAAGATCTGAAATAACTGTGGCAAAAGAAAGCAAAAATAATATCAATAATAATGGGTATATTTGGTAAAATCCTAAAACATCTGGAGTATCACTCGAACATCATCAGCATTGGTAAAATCCCCATCAATCAACTGCAAAAGGGAATTGTGCTTGGAAGACCTTACATCGGTACCATCAAGCAACAACATCTGCCTATCCATGGTGGGAAGATTGCGATAGGTAGATAAAAATGCCAATTCCAGTATAAATATTTGATTAACTGTGAAACCAACCATAATATTGTTTTGCATTATGCTAATTCAGGTTTATGTGTTTTCCCCCTCTCAAGATTACTATTTTTCTGGTTGATTTCTTTTGTACCTTAGGGAAATCGATGTAGTCTTGAGATATTTGAAGGAAGAATGTTATGTGACAAGGATAGGCGTCATTGGCTTCTGTTGGGGTGGATCTGCTGTACATCATCTGATGTTGAACTATTGTATATTTACTGCAGGCGTGTCCCTCTATGGTATGTGTTTAATGCAATGGAAGCTGTGCAGATTATCATTTTCAAGAGAGAGATACAGTAGTGGCCAAAATTTGGTTACGTTTCCACCAATTTTTCTTCTAATTTCTTTATAACGGTAGCCTTGTTCACTTAATAATACTATTTTACATCGCTTTCTGGGCAACAAGTCAACTCTTTGCACCATTACTTTAATTTTATTATGTTTTACAAGCTCACTAAATGAAAGAACACAAAAAACCCCAACCAACTTGATAGCGATCACATAAAACATTGACAAATGTCCTCTTCTCAGCATCAATAAATGACATCAATAACTGAATCCTACTGTGATCTGATTGGCTCATTGCCAAGACAAGATGGCACCTGATTGGCTCTCTAAACACTCGTGCTCATTGGCTACAATCAGATGAAGGAAAGCTACGTGATATCAACCTAAGCAAGTTGTGCTTCCTTTTTCTGGTTATTTGGCTATAACGTTTCATAGAATACAGTACAGATAATTGAACAAACTATGTTGCATTACATTCTTGATTAAATTATCTTTCCATTGATATATAATTTTATGGTACTACTCCAAAAAAAAGTGGTGTTATTAGCCATCAAACCTCAAAAATATACTTTTCCCAAAAACTTTCCACAATTTTGGCCACTACTGTAATAAAAAAATAGGTGATACAAATAGGTTTGGATATGGTTCTCTGAGAAATCTTTTAGGGAATATAACCATTTCATATTAGAATTTTTGGATCTTTTTGGATTATTCAGCCATCACTTTAGTAATATATCATTAATGAAAATAAGACATTACCACACATGCAACAAGCCACTGTAATTAATAAGTATGGAAATGTCTCCAATCCTGTTAATTTCAAACGCAAAATTATTGGCAGAGTCAATGTTCACATTCTAAGGCAAGCAGCAATTGAATATCAATCCCAAGTTCTTTCATGTCCCACTTTTTACTCTGACAGGGACATTATGCTGGCCTAGACTAATGGACAATTTTTGCTATGATATTTTAGGGCTCTTCATATAGACAACCTTTTTAACTGAAACAAATACTGTAAATGGCTAATTCGAGGATAATATCTCTGAATTTGAACTGTTTGTATGATATAAAAGGGGTTTTGTGATGCCATTCAGTACTAATATATTTAGTTTTAATATAGCTTTTTGTCAAATATATTTTAGGATCTGTCGGTTTAATGGAGGACAATTTCAATCTGAAAAATCCCACATTTTTCATTGTTGCAGAGAAGGATGAGGTCGTTCCTGTTGACCGGGTAAGATATTGTTCTGGATAGTGAATTTAGAATCACATCTCATATGTACAAATAGTATAACAATCAATTATATCAGTGGGAATTGGTTTATAATTCTCCCCTTTATGGAGTCCTGGCTATTCTGGATGGATGCTGTTAATGATTCTTTCAGATACCTGAGTGACACAAAACATGCCTAAACATACCATTATTGTATATGTTCCAGCAATTTTCCCCTTTTTAAAAGAGTCACTCTTCAACAAGGAGTCTGGAAAGAAAGATTGTTCTGTAAAAGATTTAGGTTGTTTTGGGACTCAGAGGCTAACCCTGTGAGAATCTGCTTGACGGGAGGAAAATGTTGCTTCGTGAATCCAGAAATAATTAATGTTTGGGATTAATGTGAGAAGGCAAATTAAGCCATTCTTTGCAATCCTAGTACAAACCTTAAAATAGCATTATGAATCACAAGATTTTTCATATTTTTAAGATTTAGAATTTTAAAAATTCATATAGGACAAAACTTGAATTGGGTGAGCTTAACTGGGCATATCACAAAGTAATCATGTAACTATATTGGTATACTTTACCAGAATAATTGGTTTCTAGGACTCTGACCACCACCTTGACTCTTTAGCTACACACTCTTTGTGTGGCCATGTATACCCATGTTAATCATCAAAACATATAGTTCGTCCTAAAATGGTACTATAGAACTTGAATCCCAAGATAATGAATTGCAATACATTTCTATTTAATTACTGTACCTGTAAAGATCAGATTATCACAGGAAGTATATAGGTTGAGGACGTAAGTGTCTTAAACTCCCAATGAGATGAGAGAAGATAAGGGGGCTCTGGACATGAATAAGATGAAAATAGTTTTCATACAATAATAAAAGGGAATTTTCTGTTACAGTATATTCAGGTAACAAAGAAGTTGAAAAAGGAATGCAAAGTTGATTTTGAAGTGAAAATATATCCTGGGCAGACACATGGCTTTGTACACCGCAAGAGAGAAGATATTAATCCTCAAGATAAACCTTACATTGAGGAAGCAAGGAGGGACATGTTGGCTTGGCTGTGTAAATATATTTAGTAATAGGTGTACTCAATCAAAATGTGAGAGTTTTCATGAGTAGAAAAAAGTAATGCTAAATGAATCTTTAACATCAAAATGTAAGTTGTGATTACTTAAATGCATAATTCTCTTTGCTATAAGCAAATGTCTACAGCAATAATGAGTCTCAGTTGCTGCTTGGAACAACCTCTTCCCCTAATCCACATACCTGCCAGTGTCAGGCTATATGATTCTTTGTTCTGGCATGCAAACTTGTTTTATACCTTCCTCTCCCGTACCATGCTGTCAAATCAGCAAACAAACCAAGCATGATATTTCAACTTTGGTCATGGTTAGAGAATACAGTGGCCAATTAATATACTGAGGTCTCCCCATAATTATCACATAGGAGCAGTGCTAGAAGGGCATAAGTTTAAGAATTACTCTATTATAGCTTCAAAAAATGGATCTTGATACACTATTGAAAGGCAAAGATTTTAATTTAATATTTTTCAAAAAACAAATTAAGAATTGGTCCTAAAATAAAACAGGGGTCTTTGGGTTATCTGTGATGTACATGTTTAAATTTTTCATAGGACTCCTAGAAGAAAACTATAACTGTATTTTCTATGTGTCCTAACTGTTAAAATATGGAGATATGTTTAATCTGTTTTTCCATGCTGATTCCTTCATTCAATAAAGTTTTACATTTTGATGTCAGTTCAGTGGATAATAAAGGTAGTAATTTTAAAATACTTACTTTACAAAATTTCAAGAATCATGTCAAATTAACATTTTTAATTATGCAAACACAAATTAATAAAAGCTTTCAGATTTTTCAACATCTTTTGTCAAATTCATTAATAAGCCGAAAGAAAAAGGAGTGATGACTGATTTTCATATACATCCCTTTGCTAGTTTGCTATGAGTGCTCCAGTGCTGGTGCTCACTTTTATTTTACTACATTCCTCTGAGCACAGTCCAAAGCCCTGATAGTCAATGCTGTCTTTGAGTGAAGCTTTATGGTTTGGGGTTTTTTTGTTTTTTTTTTGGTCACGCTTGGGCTTAGTATTTCTGCCAGGAAGTGGTTGACTATACCTGTCATAGCCAAGTAGTTAAAGATTAATAAGCTGAGGAATGAAACTTGGCTTGTTATAGTTTAACCTACAAGATATATCCTGTAATGTGCAGAAAACGTAACTCGAGCAACAGGAAGAAGAGCCCTAAACAAGATACTGGGCAGATTAAAAAAATGCAAGTCTCAGACTGAACCCTCTCTAGTTCTCATAAAGGTAAAACCAAGGAAGAGGAAAGTATATTTAGACTTGCAAGATTCCGTTACTATAATCTTATAATAAAAGTAGTATAACATTCAGAATTTTGGTTTCCTATTCTGAGGTGCCTTGAAGGGCTGACATATCTCTAAAGGGTATAGAAAAGGTCCTATTAAATGTTCAGAGAGAAAAACCATCAGAACAATTTATTTCAGCATATTTCATGTCCATGAGTTGCTTAAGGCCTAACTGATTTGTAGGGAAACTACAAATATTAATACATCAAAAAACAGATCTTGGTTCCTTCTGATTCATAATGATACAGTACAACAATTATATGCCTGATTATTCTGTTATTTAAAAGGAATTTTGTCATCCAGCTTATATAGTAAATGTCCTTATTTAATAGAAAATACAGTCCACAAGCAGCTGGGCTTGTAATGCTCTTCTAAAAACCACTTTTTCTTGAAGCATGTAATTTGTTTTTTTCTCATCTGCCATATGCTAAATCAGCATCTTCAATGAGCTATGTACAATGACCATAAGATATTTTTCCTGGTTAGTTACAGATTGCTTAGTCCCATTACAGCATGTGTGACATTTGTGTCTTTTGCGGTACTGCACTTCACTTTGTATTTATTTAAATTGAACTGCATAATATGCCAGCTGACATTCACCAAACTTAATGATGTCCTTTTGGAGATTTTCACAATTACTTTTTTTTCCCATTATCATGAACTGTTACTATTATTTATAGACAGGAACAAGTTCACTGCTTACCTATAAACTCAATACAACCTTTGTCACTTACTGACCTGTGTAAAATTCAGTGTCATAACTGGTAAGTTTGATCATAGTGGGGGGAAAAAAGGAAAGATAACTTGAAATCTCAGGAGACATACATAATACAGGTGAAACTCGAAAAATTAGAATATCGTGCAAAAGTTCATTTATTTCAGTAATGCAACTTAAAAGGTGAAACTAATATATGAGATAGACTCATTACATGCAAAGCAAGATAGTTCAAGCCTTGATTTGTCATAATTGTGTTGATTATGGCTTACAGCTCATGAAAACCCCAAATCCACAATCTCAGAAAATTAGAATATTACATGCAATCAATAAAACAAGGATTGTACATAGAACAATATAAGACCTCTGAAAAATATAAGCATGCATATGTACTCAGTACTTGGTTTGGGCCCCTTTTGCAGCAATTACTGCCTCAATGCGGTGTGGCATGGAAGCTATCAGCCTGTGGCACTGCTGAGGTGTTATGGAAGACCAGGATGCTTCAATAGCAGCCTTCAGCTCTTCTGCATTGTTCGGTCTCATGTCTCTCATCTGTCTCTTGGCAATGCCCCATAGATTCTCTATGGGGTTCAGGTCAGGCGAGTTTGCTGGCCAATCTAGCACAGGAACCCTTTGCAAGTGTTATGGCTTAATTAGCTGATTAGAGTGGGACACTTTGAGCCTAGAATATTGAACCTTTACACAATATTCTGATTTTCTGAGATTGTGGATTTGGGGTTTTCATGAGCTGTAAGCCATAATCATCTCAATTATGACACATCACGGCTTGAACTATTTTGCTTTGCATGTAATGAATCTATCTCATATATTAGTTTCACCTTTTAAGTTGCATTACTGAAATAAATGAACTTTTGCATGATATTTTAATTTTTCGAGTTTCACCTGTATGTATTCAATGTATCAGGAGGCAATTATTAGATAATTCTGTTCTCAGATTTGTGAATTCTAGTTGCAGCTGTACTGCACATATGGAACATACATCAAGTAAATAATATGAAGTGAGAATCTAAAGAAAGGACCACACATATAGAAACATGCACATGTTATCACTGTATAGGAACAGTGATACACATCGCATTCATGAAGTTCAGCAACAGGTAGGTTTTGGATGAGTAAACTGGCAAATGTTAATGCTGAGGAAAAAGAAATGGGGAAAGGTGTTACAAACTGAGAAATTGATCACATTTATAATTAATTGGTCTTAATTATAATTGTGTAAAACGAGCTTTATGAGCCAGTTTCCAGAACCAATTTAAAATGCTATCTCAAATCTTAATTGACGTGGGAAATCACAGCAATTACTGTATAATAGCATGGGAATATGACTGACAGATGGAAGAACATAATCCAAAGTAGTTAAAGCAAAAGATTTTAATAAAATGATTCCCTTGAGTTTATATACAAATTATTTAAAATATATAGTAATACTATGTTATCATAATCACTATAGAATTTAATCCATTCTGTCCTTCCTATTAAATAAAAATGATATCCTTTCAGACCTTCAGTGTTAAATGGTTATAGTTTTTTTTTATATTTTAGAGGACTATAAGCTTTAATTTCCATTTTGTTCAGCAGCTGTATATTTTAAGTATCTTTGGTATATTTTTCCTTATAATTCTTTTAAGTCTTCCCTTTGAAGTAAGGCTTTTTTTTTCCTGAATCCTTGCACTTAACATTTCTTAGCAAAATTTTGAATTTTTTTTCTTTTCCTTCCTTATTACATGTAGAATTTTCATAAATTCCACAGAATAAGCAGTACAAATACAGGTAAACCTGAACTTATAACCATTCATGTATATAAACACCGTGGTGATGCAGTGGTTAGAATGCCGTATTGCAGGCTAATTCATCTCATTGCCAGGAGTTAGATCCTCACCTGCTCAAGGTTGACTCAGCCTTCCATCCTTCCGAGGTCGATAAAACGAGGACTCTAATTGTTGGGGACAATATGCTGACTCTGTAAACTGCTTAGAGAGTACTGTAAAGCACTACAAAGTAATATATAAATCTAAGTATATTGCTATTGGTATTCGTTTGAACTTATCATAGAATTGAAGTTACTTATGACCATAATTTACTTATAACAACCATAGCAAAAAAGGTGATAAAATTGGACACGACCCACTTAACAACCAATTTGCTTAGTAGTGGAAATTCTGGTCTCAATTATAATTGTAAGTTTAGGACTATCTGCAGTTAATAAGTTTGAGAAGTTGGTTTCTGAAATGGGGAAAAGATAGATGGCTGTATGTATATCAGTATTTATTATTCAGCTGTCTTTTGGAAACCGACATATTTCTAGCTATATTGAATAATAGTGGGATAAAAATTGAGATGACATAAAAAAAGAAGTCTAGGAAGACTATGCATTAAATAGAAGAGTTGGCATGTCATTAGAAACAAATAATCAAAAGTAATAATCAACCCACTATAAAAGAGATGAAAGTAGGCAGATAATTATGACCTCTTCAGTAGGGAGCTGATAAGAGTCATTATGACTTTTTGGTTTCCATAGCAGCAGTCCCACATTTATACACTACTTTTACAGTCTTGAACAACCCCTTATTTATGTTTTAGAGATAAATGTTCTAAACTCACTACAGTTCAAAATAATTGTCTTTTATTCGTATTTATGCAGAACATGATTTTCCAAGTGTTTATCTTTGGGTGGCAAATTGCTCTTTTCTGGATCACAAACATTTCACTCACCTTACAGGTTCTGGCTCCTGCATTATCACAGAAATAGAAAGATTACGAAGCTATTTTTAATGGTAATTTTTTAAAAAAAGTTTTGGGAGATTCATGAGGAAAATATTTATATTGTTAAATATATAGTTTTTTCATTGATTGGAGATAGAGGCTGATAGAAACAAAAGCTACAGCATTCTCTTCAGAATTATTTTTTAAAGGAAACTGAAATTATTTATTTGGATGAGAAAGTAACATTAGAATAATCTAAGATCATTGTAAGTTGGAATTGTGTGTAATTTTTGTCAAATAGAAACACTATGGTCTGGTCTTTTTCTGTGGTCGCTCGAGAAATGTGTGATGGGCATGGATTCAGCAATAATTCTTAATTTGCCCATCTGCCCGAATGAAATAAATGAAATCTGCAAGACCATAATACTAATGACAGGTTATTATTGTTTTTTTTAATGAAAAATAGATAAACTTGATTTAAAATAAATATTCATATGCCAGTGCAGCAGGGCAGAAATGCTTTTCTGGAAATAAAATCATCTCATAGTAATGGATAGTCCTAAAAATATGAATTATAAAATCACATTGTATTTTATGAGGATTCTTTGTTTTCCAAGGCCTTGATACATAGCAGATAACTGCAAACAATACTTTATTGTGTCACACACCTTCCCAAAAAATAGATTGTTGCTCTCAGTGTACTTTACCCTTAGTCCTTGCAAGTTGATGCAGACTGGTATATAGCTCTTTAATACATTACCAGGCTTTAAACTGGCATGCACCTTTTTGTCTCCCTTGAAAAGTTCTTGCACTGGCTGAAGTGATGGGCTGCCTCAGTGTAGTTGCTCTTGTTTCTCTGGTTGCTGCAGAGATCCAGGCCAAGCTCCAAATTCTGCTTTTAAGCAGTGTTGCTTTTGAACACTTCAACTTATCTCCCAAACCAAGTTCCATGCAGGAATCAAACCAGGATATGCTACTTACCGTAATTATGATCCTAGTAGTTGACCTCTTGCCTGCCTGGAATAGTAAATTCTAGACGTCACCTTTTGCTTCCTCATCTGCTTTCTTATCTCCTTTTCTCCTAACCTCCCCACCACACATACTGCCTTAACATTCATTCTTGTAAGCTAAGGGGTAGAGGCTGCCTCTGAACATTGACACATTCCTGAAAATATCAGTATGGCTCAATTTGCCAGGCAGCTGAAATGCAGCATGGATGCTTGTGAGTAAACTGTGAGTGAATGACGGAATGAATGAATGAGTCGATCTCTCAAATTTCTGAGGCTGCAAATTTGTACGGCCCTTTGGGAAAAACATGAGCTGCGATGAGCCTTCGGAATGTGAGGGTGGGAAGACTTTCTGCCTGGTTGGCTGCAGCTCCTTTCCTCAAGCATAGACAGCAAGTTCAGCTTCAGTTCCTCAAGCATCTCAGTCATGAATTATTATAGAATAGCTGTTTGTTCTTAGTCTTCTCTCATATTTGCAATGTAGAGATAATAGTGGTCTCTTTTTTAGGTTTTTTGTCAAGATTATAAGGATCAAGCATTTTTTAGTAGTTTCACCGCACACAATACTAATAATTAGTTTGCAACTAATTAGTATAATTATTCTGGCCTTCTGAACATAAATGGGAGTATGCCCTCAGTTGTTCCTTATATATTTATTCAGATTATTTTGCCACCAATTCATTGCTACTAAATGAAGAAATGAATTCTTGGCTACTGATACACCAGAAAATGTGCTTTCTATCTACACCTGTGAAAATATCTGCAAGACATTAATGATTCATTCACTCTTTGAATTCCTCAAAGATTCTTATTTGTTGGTGATATCATCCATATTAGTTTTTTAATTGCAGAATATACTGATATAAGATTTTCTCTTCTGTTAAAAGGTATTTGCTGTTTCATTTATTTTACAGTTGCTTATCATGTGGGTTTTGATAAAACATCTTATAGTAAGAACTCTTGGGGTGAAAGTGATAAGGTGATAAAGAAAGCAATTCATCCTGGTCATATCTTTGGTGGTAAGAATTTCAGATCACTAAAATAATAATTTATTATTCTGTTATCTGCAGAGAATCAAAAACAGAATGACTGATGGGCAAAAAAATCACCGAGAGCAGGAGCATTTTCTGACTTCCTGCTGGCTTCCCCACTGGCTTTGTTTGTGGGAAGTTCTCAATGGGGAAGTCAGTAGGGAAGGTCTTATGTTGCTCGACTTTCCTGTTCATGAACCCTCCATGACATGCACTGCTCCCTTGCTCCATCTTTCAGGCACCCTCTCCCTCACCAGCATCGTTCCTGTTGTGCACCCTGTACACCCTCTCCAACCTTGGCCACATCTCATGCAACCCCCCTCATTTCCTTCTCCACTGAGCAAGAGTCACCTATCTGCTTGCTGGCCTTCTTCCTGCTGACTTTCCCACTCACTTTGTGGGAAGCTGACAAGGACTATTGCCTATCACAATCAAGTTTATATTTCCTGCTGACTTTCCCATTAATTTGTGGGAAACTGTCAAGAACATTGGAAATGATTACATGACAATAGCAACATGGCACTGGCCACAACTTTTCCAAATTTTAATCTCACAGGAGTAATAGATCCAGGACTTTGGATACATTTTGTAAGTTAGCCCATCTGAGGTACCTCAATTAAAAAATTGTTCCCCTATGATGTACTGTTTCATCCAACTGAGGGTTACAAACAAAAAACATAAAGAGTTTTACGTCTGTGTGTGTGTATTTGTATGTGGGTGTGTATATCTATATCTGTATCTATACATATATCCATCCATCCATCTACACACACACACACACACACACACACACAAACATAATTTGACAACTGCAGTCAATAAAATACTAGCCCAATTTAAAAATAGTTTCCAATTATTCCAGAAGTATACTGAACTTAAAAAGGATTCAAGGAAATGTTTTGTATTCAAGTAGATATTTTGAGAAAGAACATTTTCAGAATATATGGAAGAGTTTTAGAATTCACATGGTTTATTTTGAAATTTAAAACATTTTGAATTAAAAATGTTTTATAAATCACAATTACTATCCTTGGACATTCTAAAATAAATATAGCAAAATTGTATTTTTAATAAAAGGGGATTAATGTATGTACTTACGATATCTATAGTAAGACTTTTAGGTTCAACTAAATTTATTAGGATATTTAAAGGACATGGACTATCCACGTACAATCCTACTGAGAGTACTCTAGTGAATTCTGTAATCTTTGTCATCAAGAAAAATCCTTCCTTATAAGCCAACATTCTGCCCATCCCATCATACCCTTTGTTTCCAATATTGGGAAATCTGATGAGGAAATGTTGACATCTATAAACTAAAATGGGGAAATCTGAGAAACCTTATTTATTTCAGATTAAGTCCTAGGAACCTACAAAAGTAACTCCTGAGATGAAACTCAGTGCATCACAATGCATTTGAAATTTAATGATTTTTCCTCAGCTACATATTGAAATTTAATTTTATGATTCTTTAGACTACTCTTAGCATTTGTCTTGTAAAGACAATGTTCTAATGTTTGTAAAACATTAGAAAAAGAAACAGTTAACATGTCTGATTTAGTTTAAGACAATCTGATATTCACTATTAAAGTTTATAAAGATATTCCCTTAAATGTCACAATTGACTTCCTATAGGAGGGGTCCCCGGCCCATGGACTAGCACTGGGCTGCAGCATCCCAGAAACTGGGCCATGCAAACAAATGAAGCCCCATCCATGGGATGCAGGTAGCACCTGAAATCATGCTTCCTCAGGTCCACGGAAAAGCCTCTATCCACAGAACTGGTCCCTGGGGCCCAAAAGATTGTGAGCCGCTGTCCTATAGCGTTTCAGCAGCCTTCATTTTTAACAATTCACAAGCATTTTAAAGTAGATTTTTAAAAAAATCCATCTGAAAATTTGTACTTTATTACAGACTTCTATTTCAGATTTATTCATTTATTACACCAATGAAATTGAAAGCAAGCAGAATGTGCACATTTGTGAATGTAAAGACTGAAATAATGTATTAAAATTAATAATATATTGGTATTTTTTTACTTCATCATTTGTATTATATGAAATGGCATAAAGAATCATTTCCATTGTAATATTCACGTTAGATTATACAGGTCAAAGCACACAGAGCATTAAATAGTCTGAGTGTATGTATGTATATATGTGTGTGTATGTGTATATATATATATGTGTGTGTGTGTGTATGTGTGTGTATGTATGTGTGTGTGTGTGTGTGTATGTATGTATGTATATGTATATGTGTATATATATATATATATATATATATATATATATATATATATATATATGCATGCCACATTCTTGAATTTTATCTGCACTATTTGCATATATAAACTCAGTTGCACCATCCATAATTTTAGGAAAGAACAGTGTGCAAAAACCTGTTCTAAAGACTTCTCCCTCTTAGTTACCATAATTGCACAAACTAAATGAGAAATGAATAAATGAAAAATATAATTTAAAAAACTGAGAGGTCTTCATGAAAATATCACAATTTAGCCAAACCACTAAAAATAAATACCTGTTTAATCCCTTAATATTCACATGGCACTTTTTCACCAAGCAACAGCAGGATCAATCACTTTGAAACCACATCACATAAATAAAAAGTGCTAAGCACTAAAAATGAATAAACCTTTTCTGCATATGTAACTTCTTATAACAAGTTCACATACACAAATATTGCTTTTAAGTTAGTACCATGTGCCTATCAGTTTATGCAGATAAACAATTCTTTCTAGAACAAACAATGAATAGAAATGTGCGTCTACATCCTTCCTCTGTAAAGATACAATTGGTTTATATTGTAGCTTACTTGATAAGCATTGGGTTTCCACATTTATATACATTCCAATAGATCTGTTGTACATTCTTCTTTAGTTTTATTCAAACTTCACATATACTTAGCAGCTCTTTTGCCTATGCCTATAAGCTCTCTAGCAAATGTGGTAACTCATCAACAAATTGAATATAATCTGTCTATACACAGTCCCCTATAGTGCAGGAAATCAACTCATTTACTGGAATGATACTAGCACAACTTCAGTATATTGGTATTGAAATGGAATAGATCATGTTTTGGGTATTTGGAAACAGAAAAATGCTCAAATTTTAGTTATGTTGCCAATAGGTTTCTACCTAACAATAATGTTCTATCATTTCTTTGATTATTAATATTTATGAGAATGCTAGTTTGTACTTTGTCATGGGCTACCTAAATATATATAAGGAAGTAACAAGAATTCATTATAATAGGTGTAAATACATGCCATATTATTTAATTCACCATCTCTGTTGAATTAAATTCAAGCATATTCCTAAATTTAAGATATGACAATTTCTCATGTTACAATTTTCAAGCTATAAAAATGCTTATTCATGTTCCTCTTTGAATGCCATATGCTAAATAAATAAACAAATCTTCATTGAGAAATAAACCAGAAATTAATATATTTGCAAAGTATTAATGAACACAAGCTATAATCCAGAAAAAGTCAGGATATCCTACATGCAGTAAGATGTCACAGATATTTTGTGGAAAACAGGCTAACAATTTATAAAATCAAGGTAACTAACTTACCTTTCATATAACATTCTTCCACACCAAGGTGGCAGCCTGATAACACACTTTTGACATCAGAAGTTTCCCACACAGGGATGATTAAACAGAGAAGATATTAAGGAAATTGAAAGCTCTCCAGAAACAAAATGTTGTTGACAACCTTCCACTACTGCTTCATTCATAATTGCCCATAATTTCTTTATATGCTAAGAATTGCTAATTTAAACAAAGTAGCATTATCACCATAGTCCAACATAATCATATATGCTACTGTTAACTGAAGAAAAAAAACCCCACCAAATTCTCACTCTGAATGTATAAATTTACAAAATGAATATTCTCCTAACCATACAAGGGATAGAAAATCTATGGCTCTCCAGTACTTCCTTTACTGCTGAGTATGCTGCCTTGAGCTGCTAGGAATTGTAGTCATATTAGAAGAGCCACAAAATTAATTCCTTACTGTACAGTCACAATCTGAAAGGATCTAGCATTTAAAAGAAAGAGTGATGAAAAAGGCCATCAAAGTTTAGAAATAAACTGTGCCATTTTCTTAGATCAACAATTCTATTGTTACTAACATCATGAATCTGAAACACTTATAGGACTATTTTGTGTATATTGTGATTTTAACTTTAGTGTTTTAGCAGTTTATCTAAATTTACAAATATAATCAGACTTCTCACATACTTTATTAATAATCACTGTTATGTGTCTGCTGAAAAATTTTATACTAGTTCCTTTTTAACGTTTTTCCCTCACATATTTATGCCTTCAAGAGAGGAAGAATAGGTCATGCTTACTGGTACTACTCCTGATCCTTGAGATCCACAAACGACAAAGATGGGAATCTACGTTGCACCAGGAATTCCTTACATACCATTGACTAACCATTCAATGGCTTACATGAGAAGCTGACTGTAGATGCACATATATCATTGTGACCTGATCCCATTTAAATTATTCAATCACAAATGGTTATAATATTCTATCTTGCCTTACATAAAAATGATGAACCATTTTTTTCCTCTGCTGTGTGCATGATGAACTTCAAATATATAAAACAATATATTTTGACAAAAATGATCCTGAACACATTTGTAGCTTCACTTCCAATTTTCAACAGCATAATTCCAGGTTAATCTCATCAGTCTTGTACATCAAAATAGTCAATAACTGTCTCTTCTTTGAACCGTCTCTCTGTGCTGCTATTCCCAGGTCTGAAAGTTAAAGCAAAAGATGAAAAGAATTTAGTAAAAAGTTTGTGGGTAAGAAAAATACAATTATGATTTTCTTTTTCCGGGACTTAATGCAACAACACTTTCTTTTGTTTGGCCTTCAGAATATTTCTTATTCTAAAAACTCATTTATTAATGCCGTCTTCCTTTATCACAATCCATTTTCTTCCATTGCAAAGTGATTATCATACCTAAAATAAAAATATTACTCCAAAAAAATACATTCTTACTCTATTTCAGATATATATTCTATAAATCAATCCATATCTCTAAAAAGCTTTTTTGACCCATTAAGTAAAATTTAAATCCCATCAAAGTAATTATCATACCTAAAACAAACATATTGTTCCAAAAGATACCTTCTTACTATATTTCACATATATGTTCTATTTCTTATCCTAATAACTCTTTATTTAAAACCTTTTACCGTATATTCCGGTGTATAAGGCGACTGGGCGTATAAAACGACCCCCAACTTTTGAGATTTTCAGGGTTTAGAAAGTCATCTTATACGCCAGAAAATATAGTACAATATTGAATTTCTGTTTATAGATGAGCACAATAGGAGCTCCTTTGCTGCTAGAAAGCTTTGTCCTCTAGTGCTTATTTCTGTAAAAAAAAAAATAGGGCTGGCCACTAGGGGGCAGATTGGTTTTAAATTCAGAGAACAGCTACCCGTATATTCCTGCGTATAAGACGACCCCTGACATTTGAGAAGATTTTCAGAGTTTAGAAAGTCGTCTTATACACCGGAAAATACAGTACTTATTACAATTCCAAACTATAATCTAGTCAATAATTCATCTGTTAGTATTAAATCAGTCAAAATCTCTAAAACCCTTTTTAATCCATTAAATAAATTTTTTTGTCTCATTTTTGAATCTAACTCTGGCTTTTTTTTTTGTGCCAAACAGGTTTCCATAAAAGAGTCTCTATATCATTAAATCTCAGTGTTTGATTAGGAGTGTTTATCAACAGTTCAATCTGGTCGTACTTCTCTTCTCCTTCTTCCAGTATCGTTTGAGTAGTATAATCAGTTTTATTCAATGTTGTGGTTACTAGTTGGTTATCCACGTTATCACAGTTTTCAATACCTCGTGTTTGCAAATCATTTCCTGTTGCTTTTGGCATTACAAGTATTTTAATTAAAGTCATTCTTTGGTCGTCAAAGTTCTCAATGAGTTGTACGTAGGATTGTGTAATGTCCTCTTCTGTGTTGATTTGTTCCTCTTCTGTTGTTTTTTGACTTATGGAGTAGTCAACTGGCGTCTGGAAATCTGTTTGAAGTTTTGGGGCAAGGGCTTTTATTCTGGAATTCACTTGCTCAGTAGCTTCAAAATTTTTTTCCAGTATAAGTTTATAGTTAAGTTGTGGGTGAGGTTCCTCCATCTCATTAAATTGTGTGTGTTGTTGCATATAGGCCTCTTTGAAGTTGATCAGTTCCTCCTCTATTATTCCTTGGCCAATAAGTTGATCAGTTAAAATTTGAGGTTCAATCTGTAGTTCTGGAATATCATCTTTGGTATTCATCCTAGAGTTCATTTGCTCCGTAATCTCCAAGATTTTTTCCAATATAAGCTTATAGTTAAGCTGTGGGTAAAATTCCTCCATTTCAGTGTTGAAATAATCTTTTAGTCTTTTAGTGGAGGCTCTGTTTACTAACAATCAGCCAATATCCACCTCCACAGTTTCTAGTAGACAGTTTCACCACCCAGCTGTTTCAAATCCTTTATCTTTTCCCTTTTATAATAATTTGAAAGTCAAACCCAGCCTCAAAATCAAAGAGGAAATACAATTGCAGTGTCAGCTTTCACCACAAGATGTTCCCAGTAGTCTGTTAAATCTTTTTTCCAGATTCCAATACAGTTTTATCCAGTTAGGAAAGTAAAAAAAAAAAAAAAACAATATTCTCCAGCTTAATAAATAGATAGAGTAATAAAGAGTAGAGTAATAAAGTTCTATAGTAGGAATTTTTTCAGGACCCCAGAGTATTCAAAAATAAAAATAGTCAGTAAAAATTAATTATTTTTTCTTTGTTTCCAGAGCTCTTTTTCCCCAATAAACAGACACCGCTCTCTCAAAGTAGGAAAATAATTCCCAGCTTTTCACTGGGAGATAGTTAGGAGTCCTTCTCATCGGTAGTTGCCCCTCCAGGGCAACTTTCTACCCTGTTAAGGGTCTACCGGAGAAAGGAAACTGGCGACCGCCAGAGCCGCGATCTGGAACCGGAAGTCCCATTATCCACTTCTTTTGTTTTCATTCATTCATGTAGCTTTTCATTATTCCTTTCGTTCCACCATTTATCACCCCCATCACCACTGGTTTGCCTCCTCTTTTCAAAATGACATCCACAAAAGAAGGAAAGCCATCCTTTGTATTACAGAAATATCTGATCAAAATAAATGTGAGGATAAGGTGAAAAGAAGATACCACAATGAACTTTCTTCAAGTTTTCTGCTTTGAGAAATAGATCCTTCCAACTTTCTGTTTTGCCTTTTAATTAACTTTGAGAATTCTGAGGCTCTTCCACTTATATATTATACAAATTTAAATGATAACCATAACAACAATTAAAATACAACATACTATGAAATTCTAAATTTCTTTTGATGAAAATTCTTATGATGAAAATACAGCTTGATTCTTAATTCTCATCTTCTGGTTCAAACTTGGCTTTTTACTATGCCAGCTTAGCTATAATAAAGTTTCAAATTTAATCTCAAATGATTGATGATAAAAAAATCTGTGGGAAAAACACTTTTTACACTAGCATTGTGGTCATCTCTTTTCATTCTTATTGGAATGAAGTGGATACCTACTAGGCAGGTTACCAATGAATACATTTATGCCTAATCTCAGATAAACTATCACTAAAAATATATTACATCAACCCAGATATTTAAAAGAAATGATACTTACTTTTCTGATTGTTTGTGATGAGGAATAGGTGGGGGAGGCCTGGTCTGTTTCTCCTTCGTAAGTACTGATGTCAGAGTAACTGTTGGACAAACTGATTTCCCTCTACAGATTAAAAAAAACATGAAACAGTTACTTTCTGCATGTTTATATGCAGTACCTATTCATCTACTTGCATTTGTATGCTTTCGAACTGCTAGATGGGTAGGAGCTGGGACAAATGTTGGGAGCTCACTCCGTCTCGCAGTGCTTGGGTCTCGAACTCCGGAGCTATAAACTTTTCAGTCTAAGACTTAGCATCCTAACCACTGAGCCACCATGTCTCCCTTATCTACAGAAAGAAAACCTTACTATTAAAGAGCTTTGTTATATGATGCCCTAAACCAATGGTGGCAAACCTATGGCACGCATGCCAGAGGCGGCACTCGGAGCCCTCTCTTTGGACACACGTGCCATTGCCCCAGCCTCACCTCCCCCCACAACTCCCTCACCAGCAGCCCCCCTGGAGGAGAGTCGCTCCCAAGCTTGGCCCACATGGAGCAGTGCAGTCAAGGACATGGCAGCCAGGCAGCGTAGACAAGACTCTGCCCTCATGCCTCATCCCGCACAGTTGATGATGTGGGGCGTGGGCAGAGGGTGTGGTCACCATGGCGCTGCTGGGCTGCCTGGGCGATCTGCGGTGGGCTCTGGAGGCGGTGAGTGGCCCTGCGGGCAGGTGGGGTAGGGGCAGAGCAGGGGTGGGGCAGGGGGTGGAGCAGGGCCAGTGCACTTGGTCTCTAAAAGGTTCGCCATCACTGCCCTAAACTACCCTTCTTATTGAATTACTGTGACTCCTATTTTGAATTACAGGAATTTTGTAGATATGGAGATAAGCATTTTTTAATAGCTCTCTGGAGTAAATAGATTTTCAGGTTAGATTAATGCTTTCATTAAATCACCCAATTTGCTAGGAGTTAAAAAAATACACTCATGCCATATAGGAGTATTAGTGACAAACATCATATATGTTGAGGTATATAAACCGGCTTTTCTTAAACCCCCCCCCCCCCGCGCATCTTTGGACTACAGAGACTCAGGGGAATGACCCTATGTAATTCATGATATTTATGTGGATTATTATTTTGTTTCAAATTATATTTTAATCAAATTATTACAATGTTCCTGTATATAAAGAGAAACTATTTAATCAAGGACATTTTCAATGAAGAAGTGATCATGGGAATACATCTTTCCTAAACACAAATATATTAAATTCCTCGCACACAAAGAATACTTAAAATGTTTGCACAATATGAACGTAAAATCAAATTGGTTCAAAAACAGAACATAAAAATTACATCATTTATTGGAAGATAGTAAATTTGCCATTTATAACAAGAAAACAGAACAACATACTTCACCGCACTGATAACAACATTGCGCTTTGGTTCGTTATCATAGCTCACACTCTCAATGCCGTAAACCTGAGCAAGTTCGTGGATGATTCGACGGTGTTCTCGGTTCATGGGTGGAAAACAGTGACTCTTCTTTGTGTGCTTGCTCTGCATTGGTGAGATATAATATTTTGATGAAGTTTGGAGAAGACTGAGCCATACCATCAATGTTTGCTTTGTGCATGAATTGGGCAATGATTTTAAGTGTAGCTAATTCCTTGGGGTAACTATTTACTGAACAAAAAGTATCTGTGATTAAGTCTCAGATGATTTTTTTAATTTGTATTATATCCATTTTATGCAGCTGTTTATATTCTTACAATAAACAATTTTATAATTGAACAGAGCTGAAATAAAAGCCCATACTTTAAAGTATTAAACTTGAAAACATTGCTGGTTGGTGTTTCACACAAACATCTCCACTCTGAACTGAAATCAAGAAATATGATATCACTTTTATACAAGAAACTTGAGCCCTGAAATCAGAAGGATTCAAGTCTTTTATTTTAAGAGCAACCTCAATTCCTATAATGAACATTCTTGTGGTGGTCTTTGTATATTAACTGGTTTGAAGTTTGCAATCCATTAATTCTGCTTTACTTGTTTGTCTTACAGTTCCATATCTCTGAACCCATACGTGAATTACGATACATTTTATTATTTAACATCTATATTCCTCCTCAGCTGCTCATGTTCCATACTGAATGACATCTGGAACATCTGAATTCTCTATTCTGAAGGAGCACATTGCTCCTGCAAATCTCAAATGAAGCCAAACAACAAATCTTTACTTGCTATTATTATGATTTAATAGCATCCTTCCTTGTTATGAGGGAATATTCCTCCTCGAAGTTCCAAAGAGTTTGGAATAAACTAAGGAGCTGGAAACTATTCCAAATGACAGTTAAATGTGATTTTTATATATGGAATAATTCTGTCATGGGTAGTTGTGACAAAGAGCTCACCAACTGAAAACGGAATGATTGATAAACATTTTTAAAGGTTTCATCTGATTTGACACGCATTGTAATTTTCTTTCTATTTGCAGATGTTTCAATAATGACCATATTCTAGTGATCATCAGACTGTTAGTTTGTGGCCCTGACCATAACCAGAGATTCTTGATTCGTATTATTCATCTGTAAAAGGGCATGTGTTCTTGCAGTTTCTATGGGACCAGATTTAGAGTTTAAAATTAGAAACTTCATTTGTGAATGATTATCTATTAATATAATACAGGTAGTCCTCGAGTTATGAATGCAATGGAGCCTGCCAATTCCATTTGTAACTCGAGGATTCGTTGGAGTGAATCACGTACCTTGAACGAGATCACTCCATTTTTATTTGCTAATTGAATGCGCGGGTCGCACATAAGGTATCTCAGGATGGGGAAGGCCATGGGGGATCTAGTGATGGAACAGGCCATCCGCTTAAGACCACCCAAGGCTTCCTCTGGCGCACTGAGACACATGCAACTGCTTCCCCACCATCCTGCTGTGCTGGGTCATTTACCTTGTGAGGATCTGTCTCCTCTCTGCCACTGTTTCTTCGTTGATTTCTCTTCCAGCATCCAACTGACTTGCAAATGCTTTTCACGAAGTGAGAGTGAAATGTTCTGGGCACCATGATCTCACTCAGGCCGCAAGATCATGGCACCCAGAAGCTTCCAGTCTCTGTGTAAAAAGTTTGCAAGCTGACAGGACTCTCTGAGGCAGCAAAATGGTGCTGCCTCAAAGCGTCCTATCAGCTTGCAAATGCTTTTTGCATGCCGAGAGTGAAATGTCCTGGTCGCTGTGATCTTGTGGCCTGAAGTCCTGCAATATCATAGCGCCCAGAAGCTTCCAGTCTCCACACAAAAAGTTTGCAAATCGACGCGACTCTTTGAGGCAGTGCGATTTCACTGCCTCAAAGAATCACGTTGACTTGCAAACTTTTTGTGCAGAGACTGGAAGATCAGACAGCCCAAAGCATTTCACTCTTGGCGTGAAAAGCATTTGCAAGCCGACAGGACACTTTGAGGCAGTGTGATTTCAAACTTTTTACGTGGAGACTGGAAGCTTCAGGGCACTGTGATCTTGCGGCCTGAAATCCCGTGAGATCATAGCGCCCAGAACAATTCACTCTTGGCACATGAAAAGCATTTGCAAGCCAATTAGATGCTGGAAGAGAAATCGTCAAAGAAACTGCAGCATAAATGAGACAGCTTCACAAGGTAAGTGATCCGGAGCAGAAAGATGGGAGAAGGAAAGCAATTGTGGGGGCAATAGGTAGGGTGAATTTGTCTCTGTGGTCATTCATAAGGGCGAACGACTGCCGTGGTGCTGCAACATTTATAATTTTGTGATTGTGTCGTAAACAATGGGGCGCTTATTGCGTAATTTCCAATGGGCACTAAGTGAACTGTCGTAACTCAGGAATTACCTGTAGTTAATGATTTCAAATAAATAAAATAGGAAGTCTATTGCTCATTACAAAAACTGGACTCAAAGCAAAACTTCAAATTTTAGTTTAATCAAGAATGTCACACACAAAAAAAAGTTATGAAAAACTGTAAGGTATATAGAGCTTCACGTTGCAGTATTTCTTGAAGCAGCAATCTTGAGAAATAAAAATTATGAAATACTTCTAAAAAAGCAGCAGCTTAAAAAAATGTGAAAAGAAACATTTCCTCTTCATTCTGGCACTTTATTTTGCCTTTTCTTTCTGAAGATTCTCTTGATAGGTTTAATATTTTAATTCAGTGACACTATCATGCCATTCTCTTCCTACTCTTCTATGCTCCTACATACTGGAAAGAACAAATAAAGAGATTGCTCCCTAATGACCAAATTCTCTCAGTGTTTTCCAGATTAGGGAGGGTCCTTTTTGCAACACTTCCTCTATCTCCATTCTTTCTGTGGCTGAGATCTTTTTTAGGACAGTTGTCTCACTTGCAGCACTTCCTGTTATCTCCCAAGGTTATTCTGAGAGCCCATTACACCTTACTGCATTTCTAATTATTTACTTAGTGCAGAGATTGACTAAATATGCTGGGCTGCAACCAACAAAATTAGAAAGCAGATTCAATGGTACTACTTTACAGGAACATCTTTATCCATGCCACAGGATTCTCTTCTGTCTTTTTTTTTTTTAACTTACCTTGTTGCAAACATTTAATTATATTACTTTTATCTAAATACTGCAGAAAGCCAAATGATGAAAAATCTGTTTTTTTCCTGCTCACAGGATATCAACTACAACTTCTAGGAATATCACAAAATTTGTGCAACTGCTATTGCAATCTGTCACAAGATGGTTTAGATTACGATAGTATATTTAACTGTCCATGGTAAACATGTTGACTGTGTTACTGTCTGTTCCCTAAAAAATGTAATCTATAGCACTGGGTTTAATTGCTTTCTGCCTATATTACTGTATTGGTTTCGATACAAGATTTAAGACTCTTATGTACTTGGAAATGAAAATGTTTTCTACATTACCAACCTTATTGACTGCTTCTATAAGAACTTTCATTTCTTTCTCAACTTCACTGACAAACTTTAAATCTTTTCTGCAGCAGAAAAGAAATAATAATTAGGACAAGAACAACAGTTCTGTAACTAAAATTTTTTCTTTCAACCTAACTTAAGCTCCCCCCACCCCCAGCATAAACTGGGTATATCATCAAAGGTTTCCGATTTCCCATGAATTTCATTTTGTTTCTTAGAGAAGGAAATTTATTCTGGTTTTTAAACTCTGAGATTGTAATTCCATATATTTAAAAAATGTTTTTAAAAATGAAAGTATAGCGTCCCCAAACCTGTGAAGATATAGTAGGAAAAATTTATCCTTTTGATATTTTATAAGTGTTACAACAAGCTGATCAACAATTTACAATGTCTTTGCTAATGTTGAATACACTTATGCACTGTGGACTGTGCATGTATGTCATTAGAATGACCAGTGACTGATTATGTGCCACCAAATTGGTGCTGACTGTTAGTGGCCATGAACATTTTCTCCATGATGATCTCTCCACAACCTAGTCCTTCAGGTCTTCCAACAGCGTACTCATTGCCAGTGCAATTGAGTTCATCCACCTTACTGCAGGTTGTCTTCTTCTCTTTCCTTCCACTTTCCCAATTTTACAGACTTCCCAAGAGAGCTGGATTGTTGCATTATGTGGTTAAAGCACGATAAGTGAGTATACTGTGCTGATACATTTGTTTCCTTGACTATCCATAGTATTGTCAGAAGTCATTTCCAGCATTAATGTTCTTTCTATCCCGCTTCAAAGTCCAGCATCCACACCCATAGGCTGTCACAAGAAGACTGTAACCCTGCTCCATTCTGTTGTTTGTAGGTATAGAAACATAGCAGCATCAAAGCCTTCAAAGCTATCTTATCAAGTGCTAGTTTGGGATCTATTTCTTGACTGTTGGCTTTTATTGTTCATAGTTGCTCCTAAAAGTGAAATGTGATCCACCACTTCAGAATATTTATTGTTAAATTTAAGACTGGTTTTATACCTGTTGCTTGGTCTTTTTAATAAGAGTAAGATAACTTTATCTTAATGCCTTAGTTTTTTTTTTAATTGTGCTCCTTGATTTTCATTTGCTAGAACTAGAACTTCAAAATCATTTGAATTCTCAGCTATAAAGAAACATTGTCAGTGTAGCACCGGTTATTGATGCTTCCTACAGTTTCAAACTAGCTTCATTTAAAATATATTCAACATTTAGGAAGAATAAATAATGGGATTATATATGTCCCAGTCTCTCTTTTTCATCAACTTGGGGTTTTACCATGCTCTATCTAGACTGGTTTCCTGGTCTGTGTATAGCTTTTGCATGAGGGCAATGAGATTTCTGGACTTCCCATTTTTCTAAGTATGGTCCACACAATCAAAAACCTTTCTATAATCAATGGAACACATACTGCCTCTTTCTGGTATTTTTTTTCCTAGGCAGTTGGGATGATCTTTACACCTTTAATGATTTTGTTGGGATTATATACTGTACTCCTGGCCTACATTCTTAGCATTCTTTGCTTATTCCTCCCAGGAATACCCTATCACTACGGGTAATCCTTGTTTAGCAAATTATTATTCATTATTATTTATGAGACTTATATACCGCTTTTAAGTGCAAGCACTCTCTAAGCGGTGTACACCAGTAAGCAATGTATATATATATTTACATTGCCCCCAACAATCTGGGTCCTCATTTTACCTACCCCGGAAGGATGGAAGGCTGAGTCAACCTTGAGCCAGTGAGATTTGAACCGCTGACCTGCTGAACACAGTCAGCTAAAGTGGCCTGCAGTACTGCACTCTAACTGCTGCGCCACTTCGGCTCATATGCCTTATATAAATGCCTTATACAGCAGCCACAATTATGATGATGATGAAAAAGTAACTTTGAAATCAATCTTCACATTTACAACCTTTGTAGGTCTGTAAGCTGAAGTAAGACATAAGCAGTTGCAACTTCACCTAGAGACTTCGCTTAACAACCAAATTGCTGGTCCCAATTGTATTAGCTAAACAAAGACTACCTGTACCACAGCAGGACCTGCAGGAGACAATGGTGTATAGACTGTAAAGATATAACAGAATAACAACCAGCAGACTTTTTGTGTCTGCAGGCCAAATTATTTCTCACAGCAGAACTTTTGATTCAAATGCATGTTATATGAACCATAAATAAAATAGTAGGAATAATATAAATGGCAACAGAAATATATAGATAGGAGTATTTCTGAGAAGATGGGTGGGTTAGAAATAGGAATTATAAATAAACAAACAGATAAATATCTGATTCTGTTTCTGTCTAGCCTGAAGTACAAAATAAGAAATAAATAGATATAAATATTTAATAAATATATATAAATATATTTCCATTAAACCAAATTTAGATACTGAAAGAGAACTGACTGAAAAGAAAGAAAGTAAAAAAGAAAAAAAAGCAAGTACAGAAAAATTCCCAACTGCATTGTCCAAATGTCCCTCAGCCACGCTTTTCCATGCAACAGGAGAAACCATCTCTTAGCATTGGTCATCGTATATACTTTTGATTCTGAAAATTCCTCCAACTTTAATATAAACTTTCTTAGAAAAACAATGGTTATAAAAACTGATGGAGCTAGCAGAGATGGCTAAACTGACCGTACTGATTAAAAAAAAAAAATACGAAGACTTGTATTGCCAAGTGGAAACCGCTTCTAGATTTTGTGCTTGAGGTGGAAAAAAATGAAATTTGATTGTGGGCTTTACCAATTAGATAGATTTGATGTTATTGAAGTGGCTAGTTTATATTATAAAAGTTTATAATGGCTAGTTTATATTATAAAATGGCTAGTTTATATTATAAAAGTAAAAAGTTGAGGTTTGAAGTTGATACTCTATTGAACTAAAAAAAGTCGGAAGTCAATACCTTTCCCCCCTTTTTTTCCCCTCCCTTATCTCACTTCTCTACTCCCTTTTCCCTTCCCCATCTTTCCTGCTATTTACTTTGTATTTTGATTGTATTGTATATTATAAACTAATAAAACTTTTTTTTTAAAAAAAGAAAAACATTCAAAGAAATTTCCGAATCATGTGAGGGAAAAGGTCACACACCAAGACAAATGGAAAAAAAAACAAAACTCCTCTAGTAACAAAACAATTCAAATAATTGTCAGATTTTAATATCTTCACAAAGGTCAACACAATGCCAGATTATGTGAGGAAAATTACGTGACACAGAAACCTATGAAAAATAATGGTGCATACCTTCCATCCTCTTTCAACGTATCACTGTACTTGGGTGCAGAGACACGAACATTGAATGGATCAGAAGTGTCATCTATGTGAAGAGCCTCAGCAAACCGTCTAATAATAAATAAATATTTAATGTTACCCAATCTAGCAATAGCCAAATCCCAAATTTAAATTTATTGTAGGAGGTTATCTATTTCCTTCCAGTCACATACACATCACATAGCTTATTGCATCAGAATCAATAAAGCAATTTATCTACCTGTTTCTTTCAAGAGCCAAGCATTCTTCATCACACTGCAACCTAAATGAACAATGAACACAGACATAGGTTTATTTGAAAGCGCTACTGCATTTATGCACAAAGAAAGAATCTTTCACACAACAGGAACTTAAATTTATCATGTCTGGCCCAGCACTATGCCAGACAGGAATGCAATTGACAATCTCAAGTTAGCAACAATAATGGATTAAACAGAACTGGAATATTACAAAATAAGTTCTGCAGGCATGCCTCCAAGCCAAAATTGCTATTTAAGAATCACATTTAATTACTTTATTATCTGTCTATCTTTCCATTTCAAACATTAAGGTGATATAACAATTTCAATTATACATAATGAAACAAAATCAGTTAAAAACATATCAATAAGTTGCATCCATCAACTACAATGTAACTAATATGTACTCTAGCAAGCAGCATAAAAGCCAAACTCCAACGGAATTTTAAAAGTCTTCCCCCACTGATTCATGATTTAGTACCTGGTTTGCTTCATTTCTTTTTTGGTAATCAATCTGCTTATCTCTACTGAATCTCCAAGTTGTGGATCGGTTAACCTAGAAGCAATTGATATTGCAGCTATTCTGCAAAAAAAAAAAAAATAATAATAAAGAGAATATTTTATGAAACATAAACAATTTTTTAAAAGAAACTACAAAATTTATTATGTGTGCTAAGGGCAAAGGCAGAATGTACACTGAAATTTCAGAAATCTTTGCTACTTTGGACAGAATTATTGTTTCAATCACAGGCAGAGGGATAATATAGCCTATGAATGCAACTTTGGCATCAATTCTGCAAATTGAAAAACTCAAACTAATATCTAATACATGCACTTGTGATCTTAACTACATTATCATATTACTTTTCTTAACAGGTTTTAGTGTTAGATTTCAAGAATATCAGAACTTAATTTTTTTCACTGAAATTGTAATTTAAAAATTAGATAATTATATTTAGTCAACTATTCAAAAATTTGCTATTGAGCTCATATAAAGATATGTAAAGTGATGTTCTCTGGCTGGCTCTCAGTTAATCCAGACTGAGTCCCTAGTTATACATCTGCTGAGTTAACAAAATTTCATTTTGATGTATGCCGATTGGTGTACTTTCAAAGTGACAATAAAGTTATTATTATTATTAACAGCATTTGCCAGTAAAATTTATTCTTTCACCTGTGCCCCACACATATACACAAACACACACCCTCCTTTATGAGAAATGAGTGATGGGAATTCCACATATATATATATACATATATATATATATACATATATATATATACATATATATATATACATATACATACATATACATACATACATACATACATACATACATACATACATATATATATATATATATATATATAGCGTGAATAATATAAATTTTAAATATTAGCAACTTCACACAGAGCCAAAATTATTTCTGGCACTAGAAACACCAGTCTGCTGCAGTAGAATGTTAAATATCTCCCAGGAGATGTGCATGTGCATGCAGTATATATTACACAGCCATCCAATTTGGAGCGAGAAAAATCATTATAGACATGTTCAATGTGAACCAAGGGAGTAAAATTTGTTGAGCAGTACTATCTATGACAGCTAGATTAATTGGTACTATATGAATACATTCAGAAGGAAATGAAATTACAGCTGCACAAGATTTTATTCTTCTGCTTCTATGCAATTTAAAAAAAATGCAGTAGTCATTGCCTCAACATACCTATGATATGTACTTGCTGCTTCTGAGCAAATCATAGATTCTTTTTTTCTTCCACACTCACACTGAAGTTCAACCTATAATATCAGAAAAACAGTATTAGTATCACAGAAATTTAACATCTTAATTGCTAAGCAGCAACAAAGGGCACATTTATTGACCGGAACGAAATGGACTCTTTTGTTAATTTCAAGACAGCTTAGTTTTCCTATGTCATAATTATGACACTAAACAATTCTGATTATTTGCTAAAATTTATATTGAGTGGACTAGAGGAATTTTAAGGCAAAATTTATAAGATGTTATGCATCTTAATCATCTTGCAATGAGAAAGACTCAACAAACTGCATTACCAAAAGTGTTGGGGCAGCTATATCCAGAGACCTGTACTTTGAAGAGTGCTTCAGGCCTCTCTATTCTCCGCTTCTTTTTAACACATACATGAAACCAATGAGGAAAGCCAAAGCAAGGGTTTACCCATCAGGAATATTGTAGTAATATCCAACTATATATCATGGTGCCAGGCCAAACAGGTTCTATAGTAAATTTACTGTGTTCCTAGAAGCCATTAGAGTCTGGATCGGAAAGTAGGGATTGAGACTTAATCCCTTCAAGACAGAGGATCTTTGTGGTTATGACTAAACAATTTTATTTTATTTATTTTATTTTTATTTATTAAATTTGTTTGATGTTCATCTTGCTGCAAGGTGACTCTGGGAGGCTTACAACAGTAAAAGCAATAAAACCATACAGACACTTATATCTAACTACAATAGAAATACGAATTCCAAGAGAAATTCATCTTTGATTGCCCCATTCTGAGGTAGTTTGCAACTGAGTCTTCCTCAATTCATTCAAAATCTTATAAAGCTGTAGGTTGGGTTATTTATGAGAACATATTCTCACATATTCATCCATTCAATCTAGTTGAAAAAGGTAAAAAAAAAAACAGGTACTGTTTGAAAACGCTGGCAAATCAGGTTTAGTAATTGGCATTTTTTATCACCACTCCCTACTTTGAAATTCCCTTTCCACAAAGATCTGATCTGTTTCTTCACAGGAAGAGGGCATGGTATGACTGAACAGCTGAATTTGGTGGATGCATGTTTATGTACATTTTCTTTTGTATAATTTTGACACTGATTTGGTTTATTTAATGGGTAGATTTATACATTCTTTTTTAATTTATTTGCTTTTTTGCTTTTGCTTAGTGATATTTCTGATACAGTTAGCCACCAGAGGCTTTGGAAATGGACAGTATATAAAGAAAATAAACTATGGAAAAGGTGGCCTAAGTAGTTTGGATGTCAACTTTCTTAGGCTATCTTAGATCATTTTGTCAGTTTAAGCCCAATATCAATCTACTTCAATATAAATTAAATAAAATATTAAGAAATATTAGGATGAAGGGAAAACTTTAATGAGATTTGAGCAATTAGTTTAGCATCTCTTTTAGATAAATAAACAATACAATTTGGAACCTTGAAATACAGTGAGGGAAAAAGTTATTTGATCCCCTGCTGATTTTGTACATTTGCCCACTGACAAAGAAATGATCAGTCTATAATTGTAATGGTAGGTTTATTTTAACAGTGAGAGACAGAATAACAACAAAAATGCAGAAAAACGCATTTCAATAAAGTTATAAATTGATTTGCATTTTAATGAGTGAAATAAATATTTGACCCCTTCGCAAAACATGATTTAGTTGTTGATGGCAAAACCCTTGTTGGCAATCACAGAGGTCAGACATTTCCTGTAGCTGGCCACCAAGTTTACACACATCTCAGGAGGGATTTTGTCCCACTCCTCTTTGCAGATCCTCTCCAAGTCATTAAGGTTTCAAGGCTGATGTTTGGCAGCTCGAACCTTCAGCTCTCTCCAGATTTTCTATAGGATTAAGGTCTAGAGGCTGGTTAGGCCCCTCCAGGACCTTAATGTGCTTCTTCTTGAGCCATTCCTTTGTTGCCTTGGCCATGTGAATACTCATCCATGACCCATTTTCAATGCCCTGGCTGAGGGAAGGAGGTTCTCACCCAAGATTTAATGGTACATGGCCCCATCCATTGTCCCTCTGATGCACTGAAATTGTCCTGTCCCCTTAGCAGAAAAACACCCCCAAAGCATGTTTCCACCTCCATGTTTGACGGTGGGGATGGTGTTCTTGGGGTCATAGGCAGCATTCCTTCTCCTCCAAACACAGTGAGTTGACTTGATGCCAAAAAGCTTGATTTTGGTCTCATCTGACCACAACACTTTCACCCAGTTCTCCTCTGAATCATTCAGATGTTCATTGGTAAACTTCAGACGGGCCTGTACATGTGCTTTCTTGAGCAGGGGGACCTTGCAGGTACTGCAGGATTTCAGTCCTTCATGGTGTAGTGTGTTACCAATTGTTTTCTTGGTAACTATGGTCCCAGCCGTCTTGAGATCATTGACCAGATTCTCCCATATAGTTCTGGGCTGATTCCTCACTGTCCTCATGATCACTGAAACTCCATGAGGTGAGATCTTGCATGGAGCTCCAGACTGAGGAGGATTGACAGTTATTTTATGTTTCTTCCATTTGCAAATAATTGCACCAACTGTTGTCAGCCTTGTGTAGGTCTACAATCTTGTCCCTGACATCCTTGGACAACTCTTGGATCTTGGCCATGGTGGAGAGTTTGGAATCTGATTGACTGCTTCTGTAGACAGGTGTCTTTTATACAGGTAACAAGCCTAGATTAGGAGCACTCCCTTTAAGAGAGTGCTCCTAATCTCAGCTCGTTACCTGTATAAAAGACACCTGGGAGCCAGAAATCTTGCTGATTGATAGGGGATCACATACTTATTTCACTCATTAACATGCAAATCAATTTATAATTTTATTGAAATGCGTTTTTCTGGATTTTTGTTGTTGTTATTCTGTCTCTCACTGATAAATCTACCTTTACAATTATAGACTGATCATTTCTTTGTCAGTGGGCAAATGTACAAAATCAACAGGGATTCAATCACTTTCCCCTCACTGTACACATAGCAAATATTTCAACAAAAAATGTAACAAAGCAGTATTTATCTGAAATACTGTACTGAAGTGACATCTGTGCTTGAGAGGTGTAATGAATTGTCACAGCCACCTACCTTTGAACGGCAAGAAGTTGTAGGACAAGGTAAAGATGGATGGCATGGAGACATACATGGATGATTACAGTGAAGTCTAAGAATAGTGCATGGCTGTCTGCACTCTTCATCTATGAGGCACTCCCCCTTGTGACAGATCCTTTTACATTTGTGCATTCCACATTTTAACATTCGATCACAGCAAAGACCACAAGAAATATCAGTGAGGTAACAAGGAATATTGCTCCGTAACTGAAATAGAAAAAAAAAAGCAAAGAGATGGATGCCACCTAAATTAGAAAGAAAGTAGTTTAACATGTCAACTTGACTGAAATCTCTAGCAGTCATTATGGAAGCATATATGCCCAAACCAAGGTTGCTGAATCAGTTCATAACAAACTATTTGAAATTTCAGATTACTTTTTTGTAGCGAGATATGCTGCAGTAAGATAAACTCATCTATTTTTTTCTTTTCTTTTCTTCTTCTTTTTATTAAATCAAAGATAACAATAAAATAAACCTATCTAAAAAGTTTATTGCAGAGCTGCACAGAGTTGTTTTTGCGTATCTCAAAAAGAAGTAGGGCAATGCTATGTATGAGGAAAGTGAAAATTTATCACATTTGTAGCTGTGGTTTCATTGACTATTTGAGACTATATTAGGTTTAGGTTTTAATTGAACAGCCAATTAAATACATTCAAAAATGGAGTTTTGATTGTTTATACCTGAAATATTAATTATAGCTCATCTAAAAATTAACTATTAAATATTTTACTTTCATCATTACTTACATTTTATAAATTGTACAATTTTCAGGAAGAAATTAGGAATGAAAAATTTTCTCTCCGTATCATAAGGCATATATTAGAAAAAAGGAAAAAATAATAAAATTTATCCCTAACAAAGGTAAAATACAATATTCACTTACTTCATGCCTTCCCATACACCATTTCTGAACAAGGTATGTACATGGTGGACATTTCTCTTCACTATGACAGGAATGATAAACTATATATACAGAAAAAGGAAATATAAACACAGGAATGCTTTCCAATAACACCTAATGCATTTTAATATGTTATTTCAGCATTCTATTTCCATATTCTACTATTGAAGTATAAGTGTAAGCCAATTTTATGTTTGAATTTACTGTATAAAAACTTCATGAATGTATGAAGTTGCAATCCTATCCAAACTGTGTTTCTTTTTTAATTAAGTCAGCAACCATCCTAACAGTTGAAAAATACTCAGAAAACTTTTCCAACAATAATCTTCATAAAACTAAACAAACATGTCCAAGTATCCAAGTATAAGTATAACAAATTAGCCATAATGTACACATTATCTGTCAGGTATTAAAGAAAAATAAAAACATTCAGAACCATATGGATCCTAAAAACAAAACAAAACTGAAAATCTGTCACACTTGATCGTGATCCAAAAAGCAAAGGATGGCAGTCCTTTATTAGCAAATAAAATCTAAACTGGGGTTTCAGAACAGGCTTAATTTCTCTATTGGAAATTGTGGCATTGTTTTCAATTAGAACATGCTCTGTGGCTTCTCCAAAAGAAACTAGTTCAAAAAGACATTTCCACTTTTCTATCAACAGTTCTTGAATTTCTAGTAAAACATCTAACACAATGCCCTTACCTAGTCTAATCAAATTGCACTGATTTGTTCAATAATCTGTGGTAAGACTTGTGCAGCTGAAATTAAACTACTGGATATGACATTCACACAGAGATGAAAATGGGGCTTCGAAAGTAATAGAAGCTTTCTGCTAGCAGAATGACAGCACTGGTTATAAATTGTGATTTCAAAGGCAATTTCAATTTCAACAATCCTAGAATGTTACTCTAATATTTCTGAAATAATCTGATTAAATTATTTTGTTCCCTACACCACACATATGAAAATGTTTTGTACCTTTAGCAAATAAAAAACACTTTAAATGTATACTTTACCTGGATGATCACATTCATGAGGCCTAGTACATGATTTTTTACATTCTGGTGGTCGAGTACCACAAGGTACTGGGGGATAAATCACTGATTCACCACAATAACAAGTTAATTCCTCAAAACCTAGAGGAAAACAAAGGTAAAATAAATTACTTCTCAATATTAATAGGGATATGCAGTATAGATAGTCCTTGATAAAAGAGCCCAAAATGTCTGTTAAGTGAGACATTTGTTAAGTGAGTTTTGCCCCATTTTATGACATTTCTTGCCACAATTGTTAAGTGAATCAATGAAGTTGTTAAGCTAGTAAGCTGTTTGTTAAATGAATCTGGTTTCCCCATTGATTTTGCTTGTCAGAAGATCACAAACGATGATCACTCGACCCCAGGACACAGCAACCATCATAAATATGAACCAGTTGCCAAGCATCTGAATTTTGATCACATGACCATGGGGATGCTACAAAGGTTGTAACTGTGAAAAACAGTCATAAGTCACTTTATTCAGTGCCATTGTAACTTTGAATGCTCACTAAATGAACTGTTGTAAGTCGAGGACTACCTATACTTCTGATGTGGTGCCGTGGTGGCGCAGTAGTTAGAATGCAGTATTGCAGGCTAACTCTCCCCATTGCCAGGAGTTTGATCCTGACTGGCTCAAAGTTGACTCAGCCTTCCACCCTTCTGACATCGGTAAAATGAGGACCCAGATTGTTGGGGGTAATATGCTGGCCTTATAAACTGCTTAGAGAGTGCTGTAAAGCACTGTAAAGTGGCATATACGTCTAAGTGCTATTGCTAATGGTATGTGATATCCAAAAGATGCTTTGGAAAGCCTTGTAGTGCAAAAGTAGTACACCCTGCTCCTTAGTTAGTGTAGAATCTAAGATAAATAATTGAAATGGATTTAGATAATTAGGAATCATGAATACGTGCAGTTCTACACTCAATAACAACTCAAGCACTGTGCCCAGAAAAAAGTAGTCTTGCAATCAACCATTATTAAAACAGTCTGGGTTCTGAGGTTTTGCTATGAGTGGCATTCTGACTTCATTAAGGTATTTTTATAGGTGTAACAGTGAGCAAGACTACAATCTAAATGTAATAGGGGAGGACAGTGCATTCAATAAGAAAACTCCCAAGGAAACAAACTATAAATAGCAGGCACCTAAACATAAATAGATGCCTAAAGCAAATGCCACAGGGCTTAGTCACTAACCTTCATTGGATTATGCATAAAGTACTAAATCATCAAAAGTGTGTTATTCTAAAATAAACTGACAACCTACAGACAATCATGATGAATGCTTACTGGTCTGCCAACACTTTTGACAATTGCCACGGTGACAAGGTTCCTCACATCTGTGGATACCACAATTCAGTTTACGTCCACAAATCAAAGAGCATTTGTGCTCCTTATCCTAAAAAAAATAAAAATAAAAAATAAATTATATAATCAGGAACTAAAAAATGACAAATAATTAGAACTAGACATATAAAATTCTAAATAAGTATCCGGTCAAAAGCATTGGCACATACCTGTCTTCTCCCAATAATGATAGTTGAAAAGTAGTATTTTACAATGAAAATTTGGAATAATATACTGAGATTTTTTTATCCTTTCAAAATAAATTTCTAGCACTACAAGCAAATTGTTTTACCCAGTATCAAAAGGGAAAAATCAAGTGCCAGAAAGCCTTTATATAAAAACTTCAACACTTTGAGGAAGCCTTCTTTAGCTATCACGTCCTTCTTATCAGAAGATGCAAACTGTGGAACAGGGATACTTTAATACACACAGAAAGAGATGTAACATATACAATCCTTCAGATTGGTAAGGATTGCCAGAGCCCAAATTGGATTTTCAATGGGAATGCACTCTCAAGAACAAGATGAATCTTGCAGAGACTCATTTTCAATGTATTAATCTTAATACTGACCATTACAACAAAGGACAGATTATGAAGAAATCTTTAGGTTTGTTACACAAGGTTAGACAAACCTAATTTGGAGCAATATTCTGTTACAGCAATTGAAAAATATTTACCAAGTCATTATATAAATAGGCCAGAACTGCATTTCTATACTGTGTGGCATTTCCAATACCAAAATGCTGACGAGAGAGAACAAAGCAGTCAATCACTTACTGTGAAAAGTTTGTAATTTTTTATTGATAGTCACCCAAATTTGCCCTAACCTGGAATTTAATCTGAGGCAGAACGTAATGATCTATAGCAGTGATGGCAAACCTTTTAGAGACCGAGCGCCCAAACTGCAACCCAAAACCCACTTATGCATCGTCAGGTGCCGGGTGGGTGTGGCCCATTGGGTGGGCGTAGCTACGGTGGGAACAGCAGACTGGGTGGGACTAAAAAGTTCAATCAATTCCAACTTTGCAAGATCATTTTTTTCCCGCGAGAAGTTGAAATTGACTGATTGATTGAACCTTTTTTTTTTTTGTACACAGTGGCGGAGGCCTAAAGCGAAAGGTTTTATAAAACCCAGCTGAAGGCCTACGATGGGGCGACGGCGTGCGTGCCCAGAGAGAGGGCTCTAAGTGCCGCCTCTGGCACCCGTGCCATAGGTTCGCCACCACGGATCTATAGTATACCTTGTTAACCTGGCGTTTTTTCAGTTTGTGAATGTCAAGCATATGGATCAAGATTGGTGTGATTAATGCTACCATATGTTTGCTTGATCACTGCCCCTCCAAGTTGATTAAATCAATTAGAGAGAACCGGGGCTATGATTAAAGAAAGTATTAATGCTTTTTTGTATTTTTCCCCATGAAAAAGAGGCAGTCAGAAAACTAATATTATATAAGACAGTCTTCCCTTGATTCAAAGTGAAACAATCAGTTGATCTCAAATGACTAAGATACTAACTAGTCTTCTAGAAAATGATAGGCATCTGAAGACACATCTGAAAGATAGTAATTATGTGCATCTATTTCACTTATATCTTTAGTTAAAATATGAGACTAAAATTGCTCTGATCATCTTCACTGATCCATGCAAGAAACCAAATGCTCTTGAACTCTCAAATGTTATCATTACTACATTGTGATAGCCTTGTTTATCACTTAACAGAACTAGAAATTGGCAGCCCTGTTTTATAGTGATAGCTCCAGTCCTACATGTTGGACTGTGACCATGAGGTAATCTATTAGGAAATCAGGTTCTGAAATTTACAAGGTTCTGGATAGAGTTGCATCCCGCCTCCCCAGGCAAAAAAAAATAAAACTGCCATTAAGAAGTGTTCCTTAATCCTAGTTGTTCTGGATTTCCAGTAGATGGAACTGGGAAGAAATGTGTCCAAACAATTATACCTAAGATACTAGTTGTTACCATTACAGATAGTTCTCATTTAGCAACCATAATTGGGCCAGGCAACTCCATTGCTAAGGGAAGTGGTTGCTAAGTAGGAAATCATGTGACTGCAACTGTGCTTTCCTTTACTTCACTCTGCCTTTCAGAATGTTCATCCAGTAGAACTGGACTAGCTGGTTAGAAACTGACAAGACTAAACACTTTTATATTTTCCATTTTTTTAAATAATAATTTTTATTGAAATTTAAAAACACAAAATGAAAAACTAATACAAACTAAGTCTATTCCCCGTTGTGTGCTAATAGCTCTACTAGGGTGGGGAGAAGTGGGTCAGGCACAGTATAGATTATTTATATAAATTGTTGGGGGAGGGGGGAAGGTTCAACTATGCCCCACTCTCCAAGTGAAGAGATTGGAGAGCAAAAGATTGCAAGAGACTAAAGGTAGTCCTCAATTTATGACCAGTTGCTTAGTGACAGGTCAAAGCTATGACCAACCCAAAAAAAGGGACTTATGACCTGCATTTGAAGTTCTGATGGTTAGGCAAACTTTGGGAACTTGGAGACCTGGCCGCATTTAAGGATGTATGCAGCGTCCAGTCATGTGACTACATTTACAATGGTTTTGCCAAAAACTAACATTTCCATTTTGGGGCACAACTGTGTCCATAGTAAAACACTGGTTTGCTTAATAGCCACAGTGCCTGCTGAACAACTACTGCAGCAACTGCCACAAAAAAGGTCATTAAATCACACATTTTATGACCATTATGACATACTACTATAATAGGAAGGCTCCATTATAGCCCTATGTCAAGGACTACCTATAAGTAGACATAATGTTGGTTGGGCTGTTTGCATTCAGTGTTGGCACTAGTGTATTGCTTTCAATGTATATGCCCCATTGTGAGACTGCTTGCTCTCTTGCAATCCCTTCTTTTGCTATCTCATAAGGGGGGGGGGGGAACAACAGGTTAGACATAGGACAACACATATTACTGTAATGTGAATCTGCTTACTCTTACAATCCCTTCCTTTGCTATCTCTCAAAGGGGGGAAAAAGGATACCAATAAGTTAGGCAAACACATTACTGTAATGACAATCACATGCCTGAGAGATATTGTGAAGGCCTTAAAGGTGGGCAGTGATTATTTTTCAGCATCATTGTAACTTCAAGTGATTGCTGAACAAGGCGTTCGATAAACAAGGACTACTTGTACTACATTTATCAGCTTTGATGAACATGCCTTTGTTATTGTCAGGTCCAAGTCTAAAGACTATAAAGTGAGATCAAATTGAGTCCAATCTTTTATTTGCTTATATGTAATGGACAGAATCTAGCCAAACTAAAGTTAAAATCTTCTAGCCTACTAGACATATACTGAGAGATTGTAGAATGGGGATATTTTGAACTATTCTCCCCTCCCATCCAGGGGACTGTGCAGTCTCTTAATTTGGACCTGACTAGACAGCTAGGAAGAACCTCTGAAAATCTGTGTTTGATCCTATGCTTTCTGATTTTAGGAAAGGAGTCAAAACAGTTTAGTAACACTTTTGCTTGAGTAGAAATAATGAATAATAACATTAAATATTTCTATTACATTGCAACTGTTTATTGGTTTTTTGTCAGTTATCTTGAATAGTCACTTGATAAAAACCAGAAGTCAAAATATACTCATCAATAATAACAATAAGGAAACTATTTCCAATTCATGTCTTCAACCAATTCAGTTTCAGTCACTAAAAACTAAAAAATGATTTCTTCAACTGATTATTAATGAAATTCAGGATGATAATGCATTCTGGTTATTGGTCAATTTTGCTAGATCCATACAATTAAAATAACAATGTAATTATACTGACACAATTCTTCCTTTCACACATTCATGAACTTACCACACAACATGTTTCATTACATTTGTGTCGTCCACACGACAATTTCTTGTTGCATCTTTTGTCACATAAGAATGGAACTTTAACTTAAAAAAAGAAAATGTTTAAATTATTATTATAAATTGACAGTTACTTAATGTAATTTAAGTAAATGTTTTATGCTCCCCATTATTAGATATATTTAGCCACTGCAAAACCTTTATAATCAAAAGGAAAATAAATAACACTTGCTAACTTCAGAATTCAAAAAGCTTTTTTTAAAAAAATACTGAAAATGTTGAAAAATACATTTCAGTATATTTATTTTGTTGCTTATTCAACATATAATAGAAAGAGAAAAGCTAGAAATTGATTAATAGAAAGAGAAAAGCTAGAAATTGATTAATAGTAATTGCATAGGCTATGTGGGCCTTAAACTTTTAATGGCCAGTAGCCAAAAGTTTCTGTCTATATTATAGCATATAATATTTATTATATGCTAGTATATGATGTTAAAATTATTTACCTTGATTTTTGAGAGAGGCACATGGAACTTCCTAAAAAAGAAAATAAATTGTAAATATTTATAATATCATTCTGATATTCAAGGAAAATAAAGCAGTATGTTGCAATGTGCACTTCAGAGCCTTTTTAATTTGTTTGCAAAGAACAAAAGGTATTCTTTACAGCCAGCTTAACTGTTGCAAAATTCTCTATATTAAAAAATGTTACTGATTCTACAAGGAGTCAGCAAAGTATAGGAAATAGGAAAGTATGCATTTTCTTAATTGAACTGAAACTCACATTTAGAAATCTGAGAAATAGATCATATTTGAATGACTTACAGATTAAATATGACATATACAGTGGATATAGAAAGTCTACACCTGTTAAAATGCTAAGTTTTCAAGATGTAAAAAAAATCAGATCAAGATAGATCACTTCAGACTTCTTTTCACCTTTAATGTAACATATAAACTGTATAATTCAGTTGAAAAACAAACTGATATCTTTTAGAGGAAAAAATAACAATAAAAAATGAATAATTTGGTTGCATGCATATTCACACTCTCTTGTAAGCAGAGATGTGATTGCATTCAGAATCAACCAATCACATTCAAACAGATGATAGTGGTCAATGCACACTTGCCATCAACTAAAGTGACTCTGTTCTAGTAGGATTTTTCTGACATTGACTCAGTAAAAGCCATGATCTACAAAGAGCTTACAAAGCATCCAAGGGACCTCATTATTGGTAGGTAGCAGTCAGGAGACTTGTATTGGATATTGGTGAAAACATCAACAAGTGGAGAAAACATAGCACATCAGTGACATTTACCAAGAACTGAATGTCCCTCCAAAATTGATGAAAAAAAGAAGAAAATTGGTTCAAGACGTTGCCAAGAGACCTACAACAACATTAAAGGAGCTATAGGAATTTCTGACAAGTACTGGTTGCGTACTATGTGTGACAACAATCTCCTATATTCTTCATATGTCTGCGCCACCCAGAAAGTGCTGTAAAGCACTATGAGGCAGTATATAAATACTATTGCTCTTGCCAACAGTCTTTGATGCTATGGTTAATTTTGCTTATCAGTTTTATTGACTCTATTTTCATTGGTCAATGACCAAAATAAAGTTTCTATTTACTTTTACGAGTTATCAAGGTACAAAAATACAAGGAAAATCTTAATTTTGCAAACCCTTAATTAAGAACCTTAAGATGCAATATTTCCATTTAGATATCACCCCCAAATAGATACATTGAATACAATATAGTTCAGACAAGGAGCTTAAAAATAAAATGAAACTTAGCCTACAATTATCTTATTTGTGGCAATTTGTATAATTTGTGAAATGATATTAAGAGAAATTATGCAAATTGCCACATTGATGTAATTTTAAATTTGGAAAATTTCCTCAAATAATCCATTAATCATACACACACACAGCCTTTTGGATCAAATTGCTAAACAGTGTTGCAATGAATAATTAGAAAAGCAATTAATGTTTCATAAATATATTGGAGAAGACACAAAACACAAAAGATTTTACAAGATAAGATTTAAGAATAATCTTGTGCATGAAACGTAGATAGACATAGCAGATTTTATTATCTGCATTTGTAAGGTTTTCATTTTCAACATTCTTATTTTTTATTACCTTTAAATTTAAGGCACATCTGCAGTAGACCTTTGATGTGCGAGAACACTGCCCACATTCGCCTTCATGACAGAGATTTTCACATGTATGCACAGCATCTATGCAAAATTTGAAAAGCATTCCTAATGTAAGTTTTAGTATTCTAAGATATTCCAACTGTGATTTTTATTATTACTCAACAGTCACAACTAAGTCAATTTAGACTTTTTTTAAACAAACAAACAAATGCACTACTTTCAGAACCAATCTTGAAATGCAGTTTTTATTATGTATACAGATAGCTAAGAAAAGATTCTGTGAGGCAGGTTAGGAAGATACCCCCCCCCCCCCTACTACATGTAATCCTCAAATTAAAACAATTGAGAAAGAATTTCTGTCACTAAGCAATGTGGTCATAAAATATAACACTACATGACTACATTGATTAGTAATGACAATTCTGGCATACACTTTTTTTTTATTGAAAAGTTTTATACAAGTTTTTAACAATATCCCCCCCCCCCGAAATAACCCCCTTCCTCCCTCCCCCCCTCACTTCCCAGAGCTGGCTACAGGGTTACAAATAAACAAGCAAATTCTAAATAAACTTATCCAATTATACAAATAACAAAATCAATAATGTGCTTTAACTCGAATACAAAACAAATTTAAGCGAAATAAAAAAAAAACAAAAATAACAATATAAGCAATTCCAAATTAAAAACTAAAAATTATTCATAATCTAAATAATACTTTTTAATCCCATATCAACTCTAACCCATATTTACGCTACATGTAATTTATCCATCTTCTCCACGCTGAGGTGTATATTTCTTTTAAACAACCATTCATCCATAATAAAAAACTAAATTTTCCCTCCAATATAACCCAACCAACAAACTTACATTCGATAAACTTGGCTCTTTGCTTTTTTTTCCCCCCACCCCTAAGTAAATCTATTAATACCCTCCTACTTAAGAAGTTTCAGCAAACCATTCATCTTAATCACTAAAATTCTCACCAACAGAGATCATTAGAATTTAAATTCTTTTACACATTTACCCATAATGTCTCATAATTATTTTTATACACTTTAAATTAAAAATTTATAATATATATACTCCCAAATATTTAAACTTTTCCACTAAATCAACACCTTCTATTATTCTTTTTCTTTACATCTACATACTACACAAATCATTCACTATTCCTTTAAAACATACTAAGTCAAACTACCAGCTAAACCAGCGGTTCTCAACCTGTGGGTTGCGACCCCATTTGGGGTCGAACGACCATTTCACGGGGGTCGCCAAACAACATGATTCGCCATTTTTTCCGCCATTTTCCCCCCCTTTTCCTTAGCTCTGCTACTCCCTCTTATTCTATTGGCTTTCGAAAGCCAATAGAATAGACTCTCTTGAACAGTCTAATTCTATTGCCCTTCAAAAGCCAATAGGAAATGTCCAGGGCTGTCTCTGCCCTGCTGAGTCCGCCAAAAGCCCCAGTCTGCAAACAGTGCTGCAAGGGGAACAGTCTGCAGAGCTTCCCTCCCTGCTGAGCAACTAAAAAGTAAGTAAAAGAGGGCCAGGGGGGGAGGTGGGAGGATGGTGGGCGCAGGGAGGGTTGCTGGCGCGTGTGGGGCCCAGCAGGTGTCTTACCTGCCTTGGGCTGGGCCGGCTGGTCGCCCAGCCGGTGGTCGGCCTGCGCCGCTGCCCGGGAGCACCTGGGCCTGCCTGCCGCCGCCCCGAATGGGCAGCAGGCAAAGTAAGCCTAGCAGAGCAGTGGCGGGCACAGGGAGGGTTGCTGGCGCACGTGGGGCCTGGCAGGTGCCTTACATGCCTTGGGCTGGGCCAGCTGGTGGCCCAGCCGGTGGTCGCCCTGCCTGCTGCGGCCGCCCGGGAGCACCCGTGCCTGCCTGCTGCCCCTTGCCGGCTATGCCTCAGCCGGTGCAGTGGGCGGCACCATGCATGCGCGGTGCTCCCGGGCTGGTAATCCTCGACTTACAACCGGGGGCGCGGCTATAACAAGGTTGAGAACCACTAGCTAAACTAACATTTATTGTTGTTTTTCTTTACATCCACATACCATATGAATCATTCACTATTCCTTCAAAACATCTTCTATCTCAAAAAAAAAAACAAAAAAAACACTACTACAAAAGTTCATTATTTCCTTTTCTTTATTCTAACATCCGCCTTCTGCTATTCTTTTACTTTACGTCTATAGGCTGCACGAGTCATTCTCGGTTTCTTTAAAAAATCTTCTGTCACAAGAGACTGCTGCAGAGGTTCAGCCTGTATGTCTCCTACATCCAATAACATAGCACCTTCAACCAGCTGCTCTTCCAACTTTTTTTCTATTATCTCAGGTCGTAAAGATGATGGAAAACCCGCCTTCAAAACAGAAGTGTAAAAATCTTTCACCTTTGAAATTGTATTAAGTCTATAATATATCCCCGCATAATTCACCACTATTCCAGCCAGTATCTCCCATCTGAACCGGACCTGTCGTTTTTTGAGCTCGTCAGCCAAAAAAGCAAAATCCTTTCTTTTTCTAAAAATTTTTGAAGGTATTTCTTTTAAAATTATAACTCCTGACACTATTAAAAAAAAGTCTGTCCCACATTCAGAATATTCACTGTTTTTACTGATTCTTTCAATCTTCCACTATAAACAAATCAGCCATAAACATCAATTTCTTTTCCATCTTTCTCTCCAAATGCGTTTTTTTTTCTAAACTAAAATTTATCACCATGGAAATGAGTTATTTTTGTTCAAAATTATGCTTTTAGTATTTCATTTTGCAAATGTGATAATTAAAGCACAATACATTTTTAAATATGGAAGCAAGCAATGTTTAATTACCATAGCTACTACAAGGTAAAGGTTTTCCACATGTTCTTCCACATGATGGGATAGGATCTGTGCAGAGTTTACGTTCCGTACACCCCAACTCTAGTAATTTACTAAGAGGAGTCTGTCCACAAGGACAACAGTGCACTATTTGTGGAAGCCGTGGACACGGCTGACAGGGCCGTGGGTGGCATACTTGTTCACAGCTATGCATTCCACAGGATAATTTTCTGAAATTAGAATCATAATTTGTTTGTAATCTTATACTGATAATAAATATGGAAAATAGATAAATAAAATATATGTTAAATAAGCTATTTCCTTACTTCCCACAAGTTCTCAGGCATGAAAACCAATCTTCACTTGCTCCACATAACACTTCTCGAGAGGTGCTCCCACAGTAACATACTAAACAGAAAAACACATCGGAGGATTATAATAAAGATACTTAAGAAAAGGTCTTTTTTCTAAGAAAGAATTATTTCCTTGGAAATATAATACATATCAAGCACTAATATTTGGGTCAGATAAAAAATTAATACAAAATTAATGCACTCACCTATATTTTTTCTATATATTCATTTAATAAGTGTATGCTATTGAAAATTATTTTCATATTTTACCCAATGATTTTTATGCCCATAATTGTTCCAGAAAGAATTTTTAATAATTTTATTATTGTCCAGTAGACACTAAAAGTCCCTCATGAAGGGTCTTTTTCACCCAGCTAATCTGACAGCAAAAGCACTGACCGCCAGAGAGACTCCACCCTACCTGGGGCACAATCTCTCTAGCAAGTAGCATTTTTGCTGTCAAGGAAGCTGGGTGAAAAACATCCCTTATGAAGGGACTTCTTCACCTATCCTCTTTGACAGCAAAAGCATTGCCTGACAAATTGATTTCACTTCACATGGGGTGAAGTTTCTTCAGTAGGAAAGAGGGGAATTGCAATGCTGGGCTGCAGAAAGGAAGCTTGGATCACAAATTTCCCCAGCTCAGGGTTGAGGTTCCCCCTTCTGCACACCAAGGGGAATTCCTTGTCTCCCTTCAGCAGGCAGTTTTCTCTTTGTCCACTTTCTGTCCATCCTGGGAAAGCCATGATTCAGTCGTAATGTTGAATAAAGTCATTTGGTGACTTGTTTAATGACCAAGTCAACTTACAACCTAAATTTCAGGCTGAATTGTTATCATAAATCAATGAGTACCTTTAATCAAACTGGATACTGCATCAAACTGTAAGCTACTATGTTATTTAAAACAAATCAAAAAAGACATTCATTGAATTATTGTATTACATAATTTAAATACTCTACTATATATTTGGGTTATAGATAGCCCTTGACTTATAACCAGTTGCTTAGAGACAGTTTGAAGTTACAATAGATCTCTCAAATGTATTTAGGACAGAAAAGTACTTACTATGTTTACAAATAACTCAAGGTAGTGGACATATCTAATATAACTTCTCCTCTGATTTTCCCTATAACAACCTTGTCAGGTGGGTTAGGCTGAAAGAGAGTGACTGGCCCTAAGTTACCCAGCTGGTTTTCATGGGACTTGAACTTACAATCTCCTGCTTTCTATCCTGTGCCTTAACCACTAGACCAAAATGTTTGAATTTTTAGTAATCAGTTGACTTTTTTAGCCTTCAGAGGTTGCTTTTACATGGAAATAAACAGAAAAACACATTTCTATCCTATTACATATTGTATTTTTTTCAATATAGTAATATCATTATCATTTTACCATCATAGCAATTGTATTTTCTAATGCAAATTCTAAAAGCCCACAGGAGAGCCCAGTGTTGTATTCTTCATTATGCATATATAACAGAGCATACCTAGATTTAACCCTAGTAGAAAGTTGGTCCTATAGAAACAGTAATTCTGTAAATCTCACACTAGTAGTACTTATAAATATTTTTTAAAAAATTATGAAATCCTTACGCACCTTGTTTTACAGTCAATTCACATGGCAGGCATTTTCCCGAATGGCATATCTGGGTACAATTATGTTTACCACAGTTCAAAACATTCCCACATGTATTAGTACACTGAATTGCAGAAGAATACCCACAGCGAACAGAATGGCTATAGAAGAAGAAAACTAAATCAGTCAACAGCAATGACGGAGCAAATTCTATATTCACACTTGAACCCTTTACTCAAACTTTTTTTTTTTTTTTGCAAAAAGCTATTGATTAGCAGGCATGAAACTCGCTGAAAATTGTAGTGTTTGCTTTAGGGGTCTTGCTAAATTAAGTGGGTATAATTTCATAAACTTGAAAACTATAGGGAATTTTATTTAAACAGAAAAATTCTTCCCACACAATAGGATCAATATAACATTTTTGCACTATTGGAAAGCTCAAACCCATTCTTTACAATTATACAGGTGTAGCTACACATAAAAATTTTATTCCGAAATTTAAGTTCAAATTAGCAGTTTCAAAAAAGGTAACCGTATTTATCTGCTGTTGCAAAAGCAGTTCTTGTGGCACCTTAAAATAAAAACTAAACCATTCCTGCAATGAACTTTGCTCCATGAAAAACTTGACAAAATATAAATTTTATAAAATCTAAGCTTTAACATGGTATAAACTCTCTATTTTTAATTAGTAACTTGGTTGGGGAAAACATTTATCTCCTCCCTTTCAGATGCACATCTTTCATTAAGCTCAAAACCGTGTGTCCGTATGCCAATATAACAAAAAATACAGAATAAAGGCAAAAATATCTAAAATTTATCTCCTCTATTTGTTATATCATTTGTGATATTAAAAATAAAACAGTATTATAAGATCCTCACTAAAAATGGCCTGGATAATAAGATGTAATGGTTGAGTTTACAGAACCCAAGTAATAAATTATGGTTTATAAATCACAATGGCCGAGGTCACATACCATGTTTCCCCAAAAATAAGACCCGGTCTTAAAAAAAAAATTGTCCCCAAAAGAGGCACTAGGTGTTATTTTCGGGGGAGGTCTTATTTTTTCCACTGTCTCAACTTGCGGTGGTGACACCAACAGCCCCGTCCGGCAGGCATGACCGCTAGTGGCCCACTGCTTCTACAGCCACTAGCCACCGCTTGCGTTGCCTCCGGTCTCCGTTTCGCCAGCAGAGGCCTTCAAAAGAGGCCTCTGCAATCCAGAATGAAGCCCCAGGTTGACATGCATGTCACCTCCCTGGTTTCCGTTCTCAGCTGAAGGGCTCTGCCAGCAAAATAGAGGCTGGGAGCGATGTGCGTGAGCGGCGGCAAGTGGCTGCAGAAATGGGCTGGTGGCAGCCACATGGGCTCCTGCTAGGTGGGGTTGTTGATATCGCCACCGCAAGGCAAGGCAGGTGTTGGGATATGAGACGCCTGGCTGAGGTAGTTCTGAGGTAAGTGGGTGTGGGGCTTGAGGGGCAGCTCCCCCCCCACCCCAACTTCATGTTAAACCTGCAACGAACCTGACTGAAGCCATTTTGCTTATTTTCAGTTGCCACAGGATTGGAGGGAGAAGGAATGAGATGTTTTATGCTAGCCTAAACAATTTTCTGTCCTGTGGGAACCAAGCTAATTTCTGATCCGTCGATTGGGGGGGTTGAGCCTAATGTTAGAAAGCCTGCCAAACTATTCTATTGGGAAATGTAGTTGATTGCCTAGGTTATGGGGTGGGATTTTTAACTTTGTATTACTGTTGCTTTTGGAGGGAACTTTAGTCTTGGTTTCACTTTTGACCGTGCCGATACTTTGTAACCAATAAACATGCTCTTAGAGCAGTGGTTCTCAACCTGTGGGTCAGGACCCCATTTGGGGTCGAACAACCATTTCACGGGGGTCACCAAACAACGCAGTCCGCCATTTTCTTTCCCTTTTTCCTTAACTGTGCTACTCCCTTTTATTCTATTGGCTTTTGAAAGCCAATAGAATAGACTCTCTTGAATAGAGTCTAATTCTATTGGCTTTCAAAAGCCAATAGGAATTGTCCAGGCTGTCTCTGCCCTGCTGAGCCCGCCAAAAGTCCCAGTCTGCAAACGGTGCTGCACCAGTTGAGTAGTCCTCGACTTACGACTGGTTGAGTAGTCCTCGACTTACGACCGGTTGGGGGTCGCGGCATTAAAGAGGTTGAGAACCACTGTCTTAGAGGAAAGTTCAAGCCTCGGAGTTCTGCTTTAATTGGTCTCATCTATTAGAACCATAACACTTGATTTTTACGCATGCGCCTCGCTCCACCTCATGCAACCAGACCATCTGGTGGGATGGAGAGGGAAGGTTCTTAACTAGGGCTTATTTTGGGGGTTGGGCTTATATTAGGCACATGAGTAAAAATTAAGCTAGGGCTTATTTTGGGATAGATCTTATTTTCGGGGAAACACAGTAGTAAGCCAAAATCTAACAAAATAGCTTACCCATCGCATCTGAATTCAGATTTCATCTAATCTAGAACTGTATCATAATAATGCTAAACCTTATACATTATACTTTTTACACATTAATATAATATAACATTAGAAACCTGAATACTGCCGTACAATATTAGCATTCATTAGTTTTCTTTTTGAATGAAAGGACATTATTTTACTCCAAAGCGTAAAGAAAAAGTATTTTAAAAATAATTTTAAAAATAGGATTGTCAAATTTTGGCATTTTCAATCTCAACGGCATGTGAAAAAAAAATAATGATAAATTCATAAATTATCCTTCACTTCTTTAGCTCTATCAACATTATTTCTAAACTCTGAATTCTGAAAATGTTTATTTTATGGAAATTTTTATTTTATGGAATTGACAGCAGGAGCACAATTAATCCTAGGAACTACTTGTGGTATAGATCATAAAACATCATGCTATTGATAGAAAATCAAAGATAACCATCTAATTCTGATATAGTTTTACTGTAAAACCTTAAGTATTATTTATAGTATCTACAGAAAACATAAAGTAATATTTAATTCCATATCCTAAATATTAATTTCTTTTCCCTGAATTTCTCAAGAATTTTTTTTTTCCTAGCAGCACTATTCCAATTTTGCTAACAAATTGACAGTCATTAAAAAGCACTGGCTGAAACCCAAATGAGAAAGGGCACTACTCAAGCATATTCTAACTACGCATATTCATATGTTGTCTAGGAGACTAGACCCTTAGAAAATACAAGCTGATTCCCCAAGAATAGATATGTTATACTTAACATTTGTAATTCCCCAAAGACACTTTAAAAAATAACTTATAAAAACGAACATTGTAAATTTTCTAATCCAGACTATACTACCTTGTACGTCCACATTCACATTTTTTGGTCATGAAAGCAGGGCAGGATGGACAAGGTCCTGGATGACAAAGTCTAAGAAACAAATAAACAAATAGAAGATGTGCAATATTTTTATTTCATTTTTACCCAGCCATGCTAACATATACTCCTATATAATTAACATATTATTATGCTAATTTATTTCTGATTTAGAACCAAAATGTGTTAATTCTGTACAAGTATACATTCTGCATGTTATGAAGAATGAACAATTAACATTTGGTTAATAAAATAATTTTGTTCTTATAATAACCTATCTTAGCATGTCAGCTACTATCTACCTATTTATGTATATATTTTATACATAAAATGTACACAATTTATATACATTTTCCGATTCTTTGCCTAGACTCATATAATCAAGAAATTATGCAATTTCAGAAAGAGCTGCAATGTAAAGAGTTAAAGGATAGAGAGGGACAGATGAAAAATAGGTAGATAGCAGCTGACACGCTAAGCTATAAGAACAAATTTACTGTATTAACTCAAATATTGTGCCCAACTAATGACTATGGTGTCCCATATTATCTAAAACCCATAATCAAGCTGTAAAGAAATTTTTTTTTTAAAAAAAAGTATCAGCAGACTTACATATTACATAAATGTGGACAATCTTGAGCTGATCTTTTCTTTCTACATAATTCTCCACAACTATGTGGTATTTCATTTCTATTCCATTCAGGATTTTTTACCCGGCCTAGGAAGAACCCAGAAATATTTATTTATAACATTTAAATGTTATGCTTTCCACAAAATCCAAATCACTATACATATACAGAACTGGTTTCATGCAATACAGAAAGCTATAATGTGAACTGTAAGGCACATTTAGTGTACTATATGAAAACACTTAAGTCTTTAACACAATAGATTCAACTGAACTTGCATGAGATGATGGTAAACACAGTCAAGTTCCTAGAAATACCTTTTATTTCGTGGTCGTGCAGAGAGATAAAAGCATTTTGGATTAAGATATGGTGGAATATCCAGAGAATTTTTAAAAGGAGGGTAAAATTTACTCCGCAATTATTTTTGTTGGGTATAGTTACTGATTGTGATACAAAGGAGGTTATATTGATGTTAAATTTGATTACAGCCGCGAGGCTGTTAGTTGGACAAGATTGGAAGAAGGAATCTTTGCCTACACTGCAGGAATGGTTTTTTAAAGTGTCTAATTTGGCGGAAATGGCAAAGATTTCGGCTTTTTTAAAGCAACAAACGCAAGAGAAATTTCTTGCTGTTTGGGATAAATGGATAAAATTTAAAATGGATATTAAAAAATATTATATAGCTTTTTCTTAATTTTTATTTATATATATATATATATATATATATATATATATATATATATTAAAATATAATTTTTCTAATTGTTTTTTTAATTAAGCCTATATTCTGCTCTGGGAAGCTCGGGGGGGGAAGGGTGGGTGCTTGGGGGAGGTTGGGGAAGGGAGGGTTTTTTATGTAATGTTTAGTTTTTTCCTTGTATATGTTTTTTGTCTTTGTATTGTTTTGTTTTTTTCCTTTTTTGTAAAATTTATAAAACTTTTAATAGAAATACCTTTTATTTCCTTTTTTATTTCTACATTCAGTGTTTATTTTATATAAATTCCCATTCAATAATGAGAAACAGAAAAAATTGTAGCTACATTTTTTATTGTATGTCATCACTTCACATTTTGTGAAATGGGTGGCCATATAAATATGATAAATTAAATAAAATCAGCTTTCTGTCATTCTAACAAGTTTAACCTGTAGAATATATCCTTTTTTTCCATCACAGAGCTTTAAAAATATACATATCAGTCTTTAAAGAATTAAAACAGTTATATTCATAACTATTAGTACTTTACTATGCATCTTAAATACATCTAATTTTATTCAACATAAAGTTTAAAACATGGAACTGAATGTTTCCATGGTGATAAGCTATATAGCAAAGAAAAACATGACAGCGTCTCTGTTATGTAAGACAGGTATAGTTTATAAAGACTGTTACCAATACTGGCAAATGAAAACTACAGGTAGTCCTTGACTTATGACCATAATTGAACCCCAAATTTCTTTTGCTAAGTTGAGTTTTGCCCCATTTTATGACCTTTCTTATCACATTTAAATGAATCACTGCAGTTGTTAAGTTAGTAACACGGTTGTTAAGTGAATCTGGCTTCCCCATTGACTTGGCTTGTCAGAAGGTTGCAAAAGGGGATCACATGATCCTGAGACACTCCAACCATCATAAATATGAGTCAGTTGCCAAGTGTCTGAATTTTGATCACATGACCATGGGGATGCTGCAACGGCTGTGTGAAAAATGGTCATGTCCCTTGTTCAGTGTCATTGTAACTTCAAATGGTCACTAAACAAACTGTTTTAGTCAAGGACATTGCAACTTCAGTTGTTAAATGAACTGTTATAAGTTTAGGATTACCTATATATATGTCTGTATGCCCACAGGGAAAGAGGCATACACAATGCTTTCCAGATTTTTATATCACTACTTTATTTTACTATTCCAAAGGCAAGCTTTTCATTTTTGTTAGTAGAAACCAATTGGAGGAAAAACATTAAATTTATATATAGATAACTTTATAGTAAAAGATGCCAGAATAGTAGAGCAGCTTATAAAAACATGAAAAAGATTTCTTATAAATGTAACCTATAATATCCAAGCTTTATCTCTAAAATCCTAAAAGTACAATTCACTATAAAAATGTACATTAATTTGTCTTAAGAGGTGGCACACAGAACAAATGATCACACAAAACAATCTGACAGTAAATATAGGTAATTTAAATATATGAAATTTAAAAATCAGTTATTTTGGTGCAAATCTTAAAGTCAGCCAAGAAAAGTAAAGGGAGGAAGGGTCAGGAGTCATATTTTAAGATTGAGTAACCCCATTGCGAGCCAACTTCTTAAATAACAATGTCTTTTGCAGAGCATAAACAATAGCTACATATGCTCAGGAAAACAAACCTGAGCCTGCACAATCACCATGCAAGACCAGAAGACATGTATCCTTTAAAGAGTCCCTGATAGGTAAAGTTACCCTAATTAAGCCAAATCTGAACAACTTTACTTGTTCCAGATGCAAATACTGCAAATCTCTATTAATAACCTACTCCCTATGAAGTTTCAATAATCTCAAATTGTTCGAGAAGACCCTGAAGAAATTCCAAGGAGCTGTAAGAGAGAAAAGGGATGGATATTTTCCTTCCATTATTTTCTTAGAAATCAAGTCTATATATCTAAACAGAGCAGGCACTTAAGACTCATGACTAGGTATTAAAAAACTAATTAGAAAAACACTCACCACAAAAACAGGTATAAATACTAGGAACTTGTGATGAAACATTTTGACACGCAGGGCACCGCCAGCCACAGTTACCATCTAGAAAACAAGCAAACACCAATCAATTTAATTTTCCCAATTTATTTTAAGGCATAGTTGATCACCTGTTATTTATTTTTATTAGTTTTTTTTAGTATTAGTATTCTTGTTTTAAATAACTTCAGGTAGTGAACATACCTAATATTCCCTCCTCCTCCTCCTCCTCCTCTTCCTATTTTCCCCATAACAAGGTGTGAGGTGGGCTGTACTGAGAGACAATGACTGGACTGAAGTCACCCAGCTGGCTCTCATGCTTAAGGCAGGACTAGAATTCACAGCCTAGTTAGTGCCTTAACCACTAGACCAAACTGGCTCTCATGTTTTAAAAGAGTAGCAACACATTGAATAACAAAGACTTATGTACTGAACCATTTTGTTATACATGAAATTACTTGATGCATTCTTCTAATAATCTGGCTTAATACTGTATGAGAAAATCAGAATGCTTGATGCCAGTGTAATGAATTTCTCAATACATTTAACAGGACATACCGTACTAACCTTCAGTCTGTGCTGCTGGAGATCTTGCCCACTTCTTAATGCAGCTTAAGTGGAAAACATGATAGCAATTCCGGCAACTCCAAACTGGGGCTACCACACGGATCACCTCACAACATACCATACATTCATATTTTTCTGAGGTAAGCTGCTCTATCAGAGACCCTAGGAGAGATTTTAGTTTAGAAATATTAAACATACTAAATACTAGTACACAAATATTTATTATATTTATTAAAATGCAGTAAATCAGAAGTATAACCACATTAAAGTAGCATATTTGTAGCAAATTTAGTGGCAATGTTTACTCAAGCACAGTGTTTGTTGTAAGGGAGACTAGTTGGTCTGAACTAGTATATAAAGCCAGTAACCCTTTCATTATGTCAAAGGCACCTTTTCGGATAGAACATCTGTCCCTCTTGTAGCTAAATAGTCCCCTTCAAACATCAATTGATTAAAAAACATCATGTACTGTGCTATTCCCAGATACACATTCTTTCAAACCCTAGCACTAACACTACCATTATCTAAATATTCACTTTTTTCATTACTGAAGTAGGCAATCTGATTTTCTGCAAGCACCAGTCAACTTATGCAGCAAGAGTATAATAGTCATTAAACATCAGACAGTGAGAGAACATCAGGCTGCTCAGCAGTACAAGAAAGATTAAAAACATCATGCAGATGCTGACATTACAATATTAATTCAGTGCCTTCCCAGTGATACTGCATTGCAAGAAGTTATTATAAATAATAACAGTCTCAAATACATTGTTTTCAAAATGTTCAACTGTGAGAGAACATTTAGACAGCAATTTCATAAGCCATAACATGGTCTAAAAATCTGAATGCACATATTGTAGTTTGAAAATTATAGTTTCTGATTTAACAGCAGGCGTGAATCCCACAAAATATACATTAGGCAGAACATGATTAACGAAATCATATCTTGGTACAATGTGTGAACTATGTCATTGCCTCAGCTGCTGTGGAAATTTACATGCTTGCGAGTAAAGAAAATTTGGGACATGGTCCACATATTCCAAAGGCAAAGATTAACTCTCTTAGGATTCACCAATAACCTTACATGAACAAAGACTATCTTGCACCATTGCACCCAAAGATCTTTACAAGTCTGAGACTTCTTTAGACATTATGAAGAGCTCCTGATAAATCTCTAACTACAGTACGTAGTTCTCAAGGACACATTTTTAAAGCTATTAGTGCTCTATTTGGAAAGCAAATAAACTATCACACTCAGTTCAAAACCTGAACTGAATCAAAAAGTAACCAGCAACATTATTCAATAGGAAGAAGAGCTGTGAAAGTGATTTTTTAATTTCTATTGCCACATATTAGTACAAGAACCAAGTTTTTGCTTCTTTATCAATGGCTTCATATTGCAACACTAGAATCACAAAATATACATCATAAGCTTTTTACTAAAGCATCTTTCTACTATATGACTTGGCTACAGTAATAAGTCTGCTGTATTAAGCATTTCTAAATTTACCTGTATGAGTTTCTTTGCTCTTTGGTGCATCAATTTGCTTTTTCCAGCATCTGTTTTTATATCCTTCTTGAAGAAGTGGTTTCCTCCCATCACGTGTAGCTGCTTCACAGAACGACTGTGTCTCTGCCGCACTCACTAAGTTTGGACCTCTTTCATGCAATACAGATTCTTTCCTCTTCTCACTGGTGCGTTCTCTGGGAGGATGTGGAAGAGATGCATTCTTAACATGTTTTGCATTTTTACTTCTGGATGTATCTTGCTTTTTGCCAGTTTCTTTATTCCATGCAGATTCTCTAAAATGCCTGTTTGCAAAAGGGTATTTTCTTCTTGCAATGCTATTGTCAGAAAAGCCATCAGATACTGTTTTTCCAAGAGATGTTTCAGATGAATCTGACTGGGTTGGATCTACTGCTGGAATATTTTCAAAAGCCTTTTCTTTCCATTTAGTTGATATTCTTTTTTCCCTCTCAGATGAATGTTTCTCTTTTTCTTTCAATCCTCTTCCACGTGAATGCATCAAATATGTCTTCTTCGGCTTTGCTCCTCTGTTATTTGCAGTAGCAGTTTCTTTTTCACTGTCTGAAGAGAAATCGCTGTATTCTCTATGATTCATCCTACGCCCTACAACTAATCTAGTGCCTAAACATGTAGAATCCTCTGTGCTCCCTGCAGGTAATTGCTTCATTTGATTTTTCCCATGTGTTCGATCATTCCTTGATCTTTGCCACCGCTGACTATGTATGTTACTGCTTTTAGTTTTACCAATATTGTGAAATCGTGAAGAATCTGGCTGACATCCATGCTGGCTTTCTGGGCTGTAGAAAGTATTATGATCTGTAACTGAATCTTCACATTTACTATGCCTAGTTTGAACAGAAGAAGGTAAAGAATTTCTGCTTGAATCACAATCAAATTCCAGCCTGGATTGATTGCTCCAATTTGGATTGAAAATTTGTCTTTCTCTTGGAACAAAATCAGTTGCATCTGGATTTAAGACACCTAAGAAAAGGGACAACATATATTATGAAACAAGGATATCACTATTCAGGGAAGACATTTGAATTAACTGGGGCAAATAACAGCCTCTATTCATCACTTTTAGAAAAAGGTTATTGTGAGCCAATTGAGAGCATACATTTATTATCAAAGACAGTTGTTTCATTAGACCACAATATTACCACTTTCTCAAACAACAGTAAGACGCAGCAATTAAAAGGTGTTTTAAAAAGCATTATAATAATCATTTTCATAAATAATGTGTTATAAAGTGGTTACATTTTGTAAACAAATCATCTTTAAATCTCCTATTTAACTTGTTTTTTAAGCTGTAGTACAGTGTTAAACTCTCCATAAACATCTTGCTGCTATTTTAGGGAAGCAATTATTCTTTTAATCACAATTAGCAGTTCCTACCTGGCAACTACTCTGAAAATACTAATGCATAAAGCTACATTTTAAAAGAAAGCATTTATTAAACTCAGGGTACTATTTTTCAAGAAAATAAATCTGAAATAATTATAAATTTCATTTCAAACTATCAGAGTGGTTGACTCCAGAAAATGAGGAAAATATATTTTCAGAGCTAAGCCACTGCTGTTCAGAAATAACATTGAACAGCTACTGTCTACATCTTTCAAAATTGCAATCTCTGGTGCACACAGACAAAACAGCATCTCAATAATGCAACGCAAGTGGAAATAAGCCTAATTCCTTAAGGTGACCATTGAATGGATATTTTGAAGTTTTCAAAAGCATTCCGGTCTTGGTATTTTCTGTCCCATTGGCAATAATCTGGACTGGATAGTCAGGATGCCCCTTTTATATGAGCGTCACATCTGTTGATGCAAGATGCACTGCAGCAGCAGAGCACGGCTGGAATGAATATTCATTCCCTCCCCATGTTTTGCACGACACATTTCCAGTGTCTGTCACCTGGAAATATATGCCATTTAATTGCCTTGGTGATATGTTAATGTATGTATGTATGTATGTATGTATGTATTATGTCTATATGTATACACACAAAGAGAGGGGGGGAGAGAGAGGAGAGCACACCTTATCCAGACAGGTGAACATGAGAAGGACCTACAACAGAGAAGTCGTTCTTGCTCCCACCGTCTCTCTCTTAAGTCCCTCTGCAGTCAAGGAAGGCAAGAACTTGCCCTCACGGAGGTCGCTGCCCGCGAGACATTCCCGTTCTCCTCCAGGCCTCAGGGGACCTCAGCTTTGCCGAGAAGGGACAAAGAGCAGAATATAGACAGAGGCACCGTTCGTAGAGATGGTGCCCGAAGAACCAAAGTCTCTGGCTTTCCCCCCCCCCTTCCGGGAACGGGACTGAAAGCCCGGCCTCCCGCGGTCGGGTCGGGCTCAGTCACCTCAGGCTTCTTCCACTCGTGGGTTAGCTACCCCCAGTCGGGGTCAACACGGGGTAACCTCCCCTCCCCTTCTCTGCTTCCAAATCCCCGGAGGTCTTACCTGAGTTTGGCAGGGCCGCCTCCGCCATGCCTCGCGCCCAACCACGCTCCCAACCGACCCGCCACCTCAACTAGCCAAGCTCCCGCCCTTCCGCGAAGCTACTCCGAAGCGCTCCTACCCGTCCCTCTGCGACGCGCAGGCGCCGTGCTCAGCCCGCCCCTCTTCGCCTCACGCCACCCTCCGCTCGGCTCGGGTCGGCGCTCCTTTGCTGGGGTCCCAGCTGGTAGAGCAGGAAAAGTATAGGGCTGCCTCTGAAACTTTAGGCGGCCGGGTGTTGCCAAAATAGGCCGACGAGGGCTTAGCCTGCCAAAAACGAAGAAGCTCTCAGCAGCAGGGGGAAATTGGAATGCCATGCTCACATCGATCGATATTGAATCTAGCCGCTGTCTTCAGGAAATCGAAACAGAGGTTCAGTGTGAGCTTTTCTCCCCAGGATTCTCTTTTAAAATGACAGTGGACACGTGCCTTAAACCAAGCGGCTTTCCCCGCCTCCGCCATTTCATTTTGAGCAGAGAAGCAGGCTATTGGGATAGCACCCGGACGTGTATGGTAGTCTGAACGGTCCCTCTAAGACTGCGAGATGATAGCCCTGATTTTAATATCAGCGAGGTTCAGTTGTCAGATGTTGGGAGGCAGAATTGCCTCTGCTTTCAGCATTTTACTATATGTTGTCCTTAGGTACAGTGTCCCAAAGGTGTTTTTTTTTTTTAAAGGCAACTGGATTTTCTTTGTTTTCCTTAAAGGTAGACGTTTCGCTTCTCATTCAAGAAGCTTCTCCAGTTCTGACTGAATAGTGGATGGCCGAGAATCTCCATAGTCATTAGGTGCAATAGAAGACACTATCCTATTTTTCAAGCAAAATCCACACTACTAATCTATTTATGTATCTGGAGTTGGAGGATAGCCAATTCTAGATGACAAAACACTATCTTAGGTCATCCTTTAAATTCTAAATCCAATAGCAATAGCACTTACTTAGATGCTGCTTCACAATGCTTTACTGCCCTCTCTAAGCAGTTCACAGAGTCAGCATATTGCCCCCAACAATCGGGGTCCTCATTTTACCGAAAGGATGGAAGGCTTAGATCAACCTCCAGCTGGTGAGAATCGAACTACTGGCAGTCAGTAGAATTAGCCTGCAATACTGCATTTTAATTTCTGCCCCGCTATGGTTCTTCAATGGTATATATCCTACGTTTGATAGAAATTAATACATAATCAAATCTGGCTACCTAATAACTATATATCAAGTTAGCATCTATCTTAAATCCTGTCAGAATTTTGTACAAAGTTTGTTTTCTGGAACAGCTGTTCCCTTATTTATATGAGACCCATAAATTTCATCAGTAAAGCCTACCCCATTATACAAAAATCTTGTTACTGTATATCCATGAAGTAATTTGCAAGACATAAGCCCTATTGGAACTAAGGGTAGCCATCTGATGAATGCAGTAGTGTTAAGTATATTAAAACATCAAGAACATTTGCTTCTCATTTTCTTAATTCAAGATTATGTGAAGACTTGTGTTATACATGTTTGAATCTGAAAATGAACTGAATCTGAATTATTTATACAAATTTAGAATATTTAACAAGGAAAGACAGGTTTGGGTTTTCCATATTTTTGATAATTTCCAGCTGAGAGCACTGTCAAGTGGGCACATCCTAGGAAGTTACATGCCATTTAAATATTATGTGTATCTAGTGGTTGAAATTAGAGGATAATGCTGTAAATCTGAAAGACAGTCCTTACAATGATTCCATACTTAAATATATTTCTTTGTTAAAATACAAGCTTTAACCCAGTGTTTCTCAACCTTGACAATTTTAAGGCATGTGGACTTCAATTCCCAGAATTCCACAGCCAGCATTGTTGGCTGTGGAATTCTGGGAGTTGAAGTCCACATGCCTTAAAATTGTCAAGGTTGAGAAACACTGCTTTTAACCTGTTTCATCCATCCCAACCCTATCAACTTTCAGACATTAGATTAAGCCATTGACAACATTCTACCCAGCCTGCAGTAAAATATACAATTGGGTATCATCACTCTCCTGATCTGTCCTGTCCTGATGAATTAGCTCTTGGTCCCAGATGTTTCATGTAAATATTAAAAAGGAGAGACTCAATTAAAGTACAGCCTGATTGCTAAAAGAAATGGCCTTAATTTACCCAGTGTTCTACATTGAGTCAAATCAACCAATTTGTTTATAGTGAAAAATCTCTGGCCTCCCAAATAGTGAGGTCTGTGTTTTAATGACAATATATCAGGAGAACTGAGGATGCATTCAGCCAAAACAATTTCCACATTCTGTTTCCAGAATTAGAAGCAGATTGCAGCAAAGATGGCATTAACAGTTTTCCTCACATATTTTCTTCTTTAATGATTGTTATCAGGATGTCAATATATTTTCAACACGCCCACATAGACAAAAAGAAGTAGGAATATGCAGAAATTCAAATCAAGATATGATAGTTTAGGATAGTTAAGCAAATCTGTCTTCTGTTAATAACAATAATATGAAAATGAGGTTTCACCAGCTAGATGAAGCCATTACGGGCAGATCTGCATTCCTACAGAAAGAGCAGATTTATGCTTTATTAATATTGCTATCACAGATGTAACTGTTTCTGAAAGCCTAAATCGGAACTGTGGTTGGAATAATCTTTCTTGAAAACAAAATGATGGTAATTATTTTAAAATTATTTCTATCCTAATGTTTTTGACCATCTTGTCTTTATCCCATTTTAGGAAGGACACAATAGTGGAAATTATTTTTTTACTATTAAATCTTCTTAACCTCTGTTCATCATGTACAATACTCTTCCCATTAAAAAAAAAATATGGAGGAACCCGAAACAGCTTTTTGTTGTTATACAGGGAGTCCTCAATGTACGACCACAATTGGGACCAGAATTTCTAAGCAAGGTGGTTGTTAAGTGAGTCACGCATTTTTTTATAATTTTTGTTGCCATGGTTGCTAAGTGAATCATTGCAGTTGTTAAGTGAATCACATGGTCATCAAGTGAATCCAGTTTCCCCCATTGACTTTGCTTGTTGGAAGCCCGCTGGAAAAGCCACAAATGGCAATCACCTGATCCCATGATGCTGCAACCATCCTAAATGCATGCCGATTGCCAAGTGCCCAAATTTTGATCATGTGACCGTCATAGTTGGAAGAACTGATCATAAATCAGTATCTTCAGTGCCATTATCAAACGATTGCTAAACAAATGGTTGTAAATCAAGAGCTACCTGTATTTAGCAATATTTATTGAAAATTAAAGCTGACACATTTGCTGTCACTACTGCTTCTCATACTTGTTTCATAGAATTTTAATACTGTATTATTTTTCAACAGAGACTGGGAAATAATTTTTATTTCATGGACCCCTGAAAGAGGGTTGATGTACCCCCCAGGTTCTTCAGATCACACTTTGAGAAATACTGCGCTAGGACAGGGGTGTCAAACTCGCCATGTCATGTGACGTGTTGCAATGTATCATGACTTTTTCCCCATTGCAGGAGCTGGGGTGGGTGTGGTTTTGGCATGACACATCTGGCCCATGGGCCGGCAGTTTGACACCCCTGCTCTAGGAGAAACAGCTGCTGAAAAAAAAATCTGGTCATGATTTTGAATTATTTGCTAGGGAATTGAGAAGCATTTAATATGCCATCCCACTCCATCCTAGATATTCTCTCAGCAAACACAAATCAGCAATATTTCCAAATGAGAAAAAAAAAATCAGCAAAGTCCATATTAAGCATCTAGGATTTTATATTCCTAAACAATTAAGCATGTTACGAGTTTTAGAGAATGCCTGAGATGCATTAATTCCTTAGATATTAATGGATGGATCAACATTCTGCTAAATTGATTGGGTAAAATAATGATATTAAAATGAATGTTGCTTCAAGATTAATCTACTGTATGTATTAAGATGTATTCCAGTGTTTGTGCCAGATAAATATTTATTTGAAATAGATACGTTATTGAGGAAAATAAGGAATTTATATGGGAAAGAAGACCATCTAGGTAGGATATCAGTAGCTAAACAGAGATACTCTATTAAGGATGGTGGTTTTAACTTACTAGATTTCCAAAAATATCATTAGGCTTATATTTACATGTGCACTGAATGAATGTTTGTGGACTCTGTTGGAAAGCTTGTATTTCCATTAAGGACCTGGTGATTGCTAGGATCAATAACATAATAGACAAGGTATTCCCTTCTCAGATTAAGAACAGCGAGACACATTTGAGTCTTGTGGGTTTTGATGTTGAGGCTCATGAATATTTAATTTTATGGAAAAACTGTTCTAAAAGTAAAGGGCAAAATGTCCCACTGGAAGTTGCAGGCAGCTGATTGGAACCAGGTGAGGGAATGGAGCTGTTAAATCAGTGTCTAGCTGCAATAATGGATTAGGGCCAAAAATGATGTAAAACAACAGTGCTGTTATTAAATTGTTTATCTGTCAAACTAAGTAGAGTTATATCTACTGTAGATAGAGCTGCATTCTCCCTAAAACATTTGTTGCTAGGGACTGCTTCTAAATCCAGCTTTGATATTCAAGGCATCAGTGACTTCTATATGTGAAGCATCTTTCACCAGCTGAAGCAGGAGACCTTACTAGATAAATACCGGTAGATAAATTAGATAAATGCAATGCATTACATGCAAGGCTGCTCCTGAAGGCAATTCAGAAACTTTATATAATACAAAACTCTATAGCAAGAGCACTGGCTGGAATTGAAGCATATGAATGCATCACATCAGTTCTTTATGAACTTGATTGGTTCCCAGTTCATTTTTTATCCCTGTTTGAGAAACTCTTCTCTTCCAGGCTGAGAAGTAACAATTTCTTGTTATTCAGCTACTACAGTGCCTGTGCAGGTTCAATAATGTTTTCTTTCCTCATTTCAATAAAACAAGGACCACACCATTCAAATATGACCAGCTTTATTAAAACTAAGTCTATTTTACAAATGTAGTACAGTTTCTGCTATTAACACAATATATTTCCAGCATATTCCACAATGTAATGTTGCAAAAGTGTACTTGATCTGTATTTCATGTTTCTTACACTGGTTCAAAGTTTACCTCTTGGTAGGAGATGGTTCCTGTGGTCTCACCCAGCATCCAGGTGCTGTAAACACAAACAAATATAGTATTTATTGCACTGTGCATATAGTAAGGAGCTAAACTTTTATTTCACATGAATGCAGTTATGAGAAACCAATATTTTAACACTGTACCCCTCTCCCCTAAATACAGATACTGTAACTGGTATGCATTATTTGCTTCTCATGCTGCACAGAAAGAGGACAATGGAAATAATTACTTGGCTCTATCTTTAGTATAAAGAGATAGAAAGCTGAAATCTGATATTCCTAAGTAGAAAAAAAGTTAACTGAAGCTTTTTTCCAATGTCCTTTCTTCACCTGGGTAGAAGATTTAAAGTGAATTAAAAGACCAATCCTAAAGAAAGCATGAGTTGGCAGGACTGCTTGGAGTTACAGGCTCTTCTACTTCTTATTCAATCATCTGTGATCTGACACTGGTCTTGATGTCATCCTCCAAAAGCCTTTCTCAGATGAATCTGTCTTTATGTCAAAAAGAACTGTCATGGGAACAAGTAACAAGCCCTGGAAAAGGCAGAAATAACTTTCCATGGACTCTTGTTTTTTTCAAATGAATCTAATATTTTAAAAACAAGAGGGATATTAGAAAAATGGCTTCAGATACGAATTCAGCAATTACGTACAGTCTGATCTGAATCAATTCAATTTGATAGAGTGATGTTTTGAGAAAGTTATAAATGTAAGAGTCTGGGATGGACTTGAAAAGATATTTTGAAATAACTGAATCCTTCCCATGGGAATTGGCTGATGTTTTGAATTCCAGAAAAATATGATAGAACGGGTTTTGAGGATTAGACACTAGAGAGAGCCAGAAGGAACATTATAATTAAAGGAAAAGAACACCTATTCAACTGGTTAACACAGATTGGAGCAAAATACTTTAACATTGGAAATATTGAAGGAAAGTGGAGGCAGAAAGTCTTAAGACTTGTACGATTCTGTTAATGTAACCTTACAATAAAATAGAATTAATTCATCTTGTCATGTTTCTTGTCTGATTTCCTGGGAGGATTGACAGAAGTTAATTTTAAGAATGTCCGTCATCATATATAGACTATGGTGTATGTAAACCTATTTTGCAATCCTATTAAACAAACATAGATTGATAGACTTCTGTAGGTTTTCATGTCCAGTATCTATTGGGCAGTGTTGGATTTCAGTATTTAGTAACTATGGTCTCTCTAGATAATAGGTTTCCTGGTGCTCCTGGTGTTTCATTGGCCATAGTGAAACACCAGTGAATGGCTCTTTCAGAGGCAAGTTGATCTGTTACATCTGGCTATAAAGAGAGAAACCAATCAGTTTCTGCTCAGCTGCCCATGGTCTGCATAGCAGACCACATTGCTTCTGAAGATGCCAGCCATAGTTGGTGCTCAAACATCAAGAAATCTGTTGTCTAGACCATGGTCACAAAAACCTGAAGAGCACAGTGCCCAACAGATATATTGCCTAGAATGCAAATGATTAATCTGCCATGTTTATTTCAATTTTTTTTATTTTAAACCACCTAAAATGAATTCAAATATATTCAATCTGGCTCCAACTGTAAACTGATTTTAAGAGGTCCAGAAACTTGCTAAGAATCAAATAGCTTTTTTCATGCAACTTCTTTTTCACGCAACTTCTTTGTTTTCATCTTAAAATCCATGTTATTGTGCAATTAAATGTATGACATGGTTTGGAGGCATCTCAAATAATTGAGGGTTATTTTGGTATTGTTTTCTCCTTTATTTGTTCCATGAATTTAATAAATACAAATATAAGGATATGAATAGGCAACAAATATTAGCGTATTGTTTTCTACATACTCTGTGGTTTCCCAGGGCTTGTGTTGCTGACACTGCTTTCAAAAGATGAGTGGAAATTGTGTATTGTCTCCTGTAAAATTTTTCTCTCTCGTCCCTGTTGAAATTCATAATTAAAAAAGGAACAAAAGCTCAGTTGATATACTTAAATATATTATTACAATATTTAGTGAAAAATCCCCTATGGCTCTATCTTTCAGACATACTTTATTCCAGCGTATCAAGAAAAGGAATGCAACTGCTTCTATTGTAGCTTTTACACATTACCAAGGCTGCTCAGCTTGAATTACATCAAGCTAAACATCACCTACCCTACCAACTATGTATTTTGGTCTGATACATACTTAACAAACTTTGTTTGAACTACCAAAATAAACTGTGTTTGTAAAGTGGAATAATAAGTGTTTGACCCAAAGAGAATTATATAGGCTGTTCAAAATTGTATTGCTAAATCAGAATAATGACCAGGTAGGCAAGGTGCAATCATATGATGTGAAGTCTCAAAATATTTTAGCAATGCTGAATATGTTTATTCAGCAATAAACATATAAAAGGGGATCCATAAATTCTGAAATTCCAAGCCAAACAATCCCCTGTAAATATCTACTATAGCCGTCAGCCCAAGGGACTAACATACTGGTCATATAATGATTATATCCTTCAATGGTTAAAATTGCTCAATATAATAATGATTACTGTGCTATAAATAATTACAAACACACTGTACTTCATTGGAAAACAAAATGCAAAATGGCAAAATAATAACAAAGTATTTCTTCTAGATATTCGGAATTACCTTTCCTGCATTTAACTCTGAAATAGCTGCTAGAATTTGTTGTCTAGAGCCATCAGTCTTAATTCCCAGTTCCTTCAAATCCCCGTCTGTAAGAGTGAGAAAAGCTTCCATATCTACCTGTTGAAACAGGAATCATGAATAAATCTCTTTTAAATTATGAATCAGCCTGTGGACTAAAAGAAAAAGGCACTGCACCCTTCTCTACTAATTTGATTTCGAGAAATTTAAATTTGAAGCAACTTTGTATATATATATAAACTCTTTTAAGAATCTGAAGATTTCGTACTGCTACCAACTTTTCAGGTGTTTCAAATGTAATATATCTTAGAAAATCCCAATTTTAAAGTTAATATAAATTCAGTAGCTGGCTTTATGCAAGCCTCTTTCAGACTAAGTGCCCACCTTTTGATAATAACTGTCCTACTTTAGAAATGTTGTTGGGATCAATAATAATGTATGTAACATACTTTAAATACTCTAAAGCATTTATCAATGTTACACATTCTCACCTATCCTTCAATTACTAAAGTTGTTTAAGCTTATGCAAGCCATATATTCCTATCTTTTTTTTGCTGTAATAGAATTAAAAATTAGAAAAATGCATTAAAACTGTAAAATACATAGCTAATAAAGTGCAAGTAGACTATACAACTTTATTTAAGTGGAATATTGATCAAAAATACCAATTATTCTATTTGAGCTCCAAGGCATTAGAACCTGAACATTAGTGGAGCCTCATTTGCCTGTTGGTGTGTGACTTAACAGAGTTCAACGGGACCTTGGAAGTCTTCTAGTCCAACCCACTCAAGCAGAAAAACCTATGCCATTCTGGACAAATGGCTGTCCAATCTCTTTCTTAAATACCTCCAGTAAATAGAGCACCCACAACTTCTGAAGGCAAACCTTTCCACTGGTAAATTGTTCTTACCGTCAGGAAATTTATCCTTAATTCTAGGTTTTCTCCTTAATTATTTTCCATCCATTGCTTCTTGTCCCACCTTCTGGTGCTTTAGAAAATAGGTTGACCCCTCTTTTTTGTGGCAGTCCCTCAAATATTGGAAGACTGCTACAGTATCATGTCACCCCAGTCCTTGTTTGCACTAGATTAGACATATCCAATTCCTCCAATCATTCTTCATGTTTTATCCTCCAGCCTCCTAATCATCTTTGTTGCTCTTCTCTGCACTCTTTCCAGAGTCTCAACACCTATTTTATATTGTGGCAACTAAAACTGGATGCAGTATTTCAAGTGTGGTCTTACCAAGGCACTATAAAGCAGTACTAACACCTCACATGTTCTTGATTCTATCGCTGTTAATGCAGCCTAGGATTGCATTGGCTTTTTTAGCAGCTGCAACACATTGCTGGCTCATATTTAAGTGGTTGTCTACTAGAAATCCTGGATCCCTCTTGCAATTGCTGCTTTGACCCAAGTTCCATCTACTCTATACCTGTCCACTTGACTTTTCTTACTTGAGTGTAAAACCTTACTTTTCTCATCATTGAATTTCATTTCACTAGATTAAGGCCCAGTGTTCAAGTCTGTTGAGATCCTTCTGGATCTTGAGCCTATCTTCTGGTGTTTGCTGTTCCTGCCATCTTGTTGTCATCTGCAAATTTGACAAGTTTCCCTTCTATTCCCTCATCTACATTGTTTATGAAGATATTGAAGAATATTGGGCCTAAAACAGAAGCTTGGGGTACCCCACTACTTCCCTCCACGTAGATGTAGTTGTATTAAGGACTATTAATTGAGTGTGGTTTTGTTATGAATCCATTTGGTGGTGATGCTGTCTATCTCACATTTTTGTACTTTACTAAAGACGTATGAGAGTAAAAGAACTGAAATTGAAATGGGCTGGTCATATAGCAAGAACTGATGGCAGGTGGACCAAGGCGATTATAGAACAGATCTCGCTTGATAAAAAAGCGTCCACAAAAGAGACCTAAAACAAGATGGATTGACGACATCAGCAAGTATTGCAGGCCCAATTAGCAAAAGAAAGCTCAGGACCGTATTGGTTGGAAACATGCAGAAGAGGCCTTCATCTTGCAGTGGATAGACAATGGCTAAAATGATGATATTGTGGTCTAATTTGTCAAATGCCTTACTGAAATTGAAGAATACTATGTCCACAGCATTTTGCTGGTCCACTAATTTAGTCGCTTTGTCAAAGAATGAAATAAGATTTGTTTGGCATGATCTGTTTTTGACAAATCCATGTTAGCTTCTGATTATAATTTTACTTGCTTCTAGGTGTTTGCAGATCTGTTGCTTTATTATCTTTTCCAGGATCTTCCCACGTGTTGATGTCAGGCTGATTGGTCTGTAGTTTTCTGGATCCATTTCCCCCCTTTTTTTGAAGATGGGAGCCACATAAGCTCTTTTTAAGTCCTCAGGCAGTTCTCCTTGTTTAAGGGAGCCTTGGTTAAGGCTTGATTATAATTATTAATGGCATTTGGACTGTTTCATATTGGTTTCTTATTAATATAGTTTTATGTATTGTTGCTACCAACCAAATTTACCTGTTTAGTCTATACACATTTTCCAAATACATAAATATCCTTAAACATTTATACTTAAATTTTGGAAGCACTGACTTAGAAAAATGACATATTACTTTTTTGAGACATACGTTTTTAGGAACCATTGTTTCTGGAAAGGTCATCTCTGTTGCTATGTAATAAATGTATGTTGTTTCCAAGGATGGTTGAATTAATTGTTTTTGCATTTTTAAAAGAAAAATGATGTAAGTTGTGAAAAAGATATAGACACAGACACATACATACACGTACACTCAGAGAGAATTGTACACACACAGACCCCCCCCCTCTCCCCCAGGAAGATCCTGAAGAGATGAAATATTTTATCTTTTCCTCCCTCTCTTCTACTCTTCTACTTCTGGCTGCCAAAAGAATGGGTGAGGGCTTCAGGTACCCACAGACTTTGAGTTTCTCAGATAGTCTCTAAAGTGTTCCAAATATAGCTCTATCAAAACAAAATACCTATAGATAGGATTGATAGGACTGTATTAATACATTTGAAAAAGTAAAGGCAGCTCCAAAATAGTCTCACATTTTCTACATAAGATTAAACAGAAACCAAAGGTTATTTGCAGAATTAAAAACTTAACAGTCTTGACTAGGATTAAGACAGTTCTTTGTAGATGGGATTATTGTGTTTCACACTGTTTCTGAAAAAAACAGATGATAAATTTTGAGATTACATTTTGGTTAAATAAAATCAAAGTAATTCTTGCAGTGCTATTATATACAAGCCAAGTTTCCCCAAGTTTCCAGCAGTAAAGAATGGAAAACAAAACAAAACATTTACCTCCTGCTCTTCAAAGATAGGCTGGTACTTTTCAAGAGAGAGTTTTTTCAGGATGCTTGTAAGTTCATCTTTAAATTAAGAAAAAAATTTTTTTTTTAAATTTATGTTAATTACATTATAAGAATTGTAAAATAATGTTGCACGGTTATGCCTGACCCAGTATGTAAATCAAGATGGAAGTGAAAAGAATCCTGTTTCCTAACATCCTGGGCAAGATAGTTCCTATAATCTGTGTGAAACTACTATAATAGACACAGAACAAAATAAGAACGGTTTGTTTATTCCAGATATAACAATTCAATGAGTCCATTGTTTCTTGCTTCAAATTGCTGTTGTGAGCCACCTAGAGTTGTGTTTCTTAAGATTGGCAGCCAGACAAGTCTTTTAAATAAATAATCATTATAACAGAGTATACATCACATTCACAATGTGAAAACAGAATGTGTACAAAAGGTAATGTAAGAGAAATGTATCTTGTGCACCTTAGCACCTCCATTTTCTGATTGTTACCATTTCATTTCCCCCATTTTGCTATCTAAATACAGTATACAATAAATTTCCATTTATCTTCTCTGGGAGATAAAATCCTTTTTCATTGCATACTGCCAAGTGGGAGTTAGACTGCCCATCCAAATTTTGCCTAGGTCAAGTGCAGGAAACATTGGTGATTTTGAATGGTTTGTGCCTTATCATCCACAAGCAATATTGATTTTCAGCTTGCCCAATTTCTTCTCCACTTGCCTTCCTTCCCCAATTGCCACAACTCCCTTCTTATCTTGAACAGTTTTGAGCAGACCACAATACAACTTCTCACCTTCCTTATGTAAGTTGTCTTGAAGCCACTGGTCAAAAGTGATGGGAAAAAATGTATTACTAATTAATCATAGCATCAGGAGCATGAGTTCAGATGTGCACCTTCTGTCCCAAGAATAAGAAATAAATCACAGTGATGGCCTACCAACCCATGTTCATTCTGTATCCAGTGTTTTTGGCCCAAGAGACTAAAAGACATGTGACATTCTGAAATGGTGTCATCTAACAAAACTCTTCAGTGTTACTGCTGATTATGAAGCTTATAACTACTTACCTTCATCAGTTAAAGTCCCACTGCTGGAGCCCCCACTGCTTTTCCCTTGTCTGTGAGACGAAGAAAGAGAAGACCCTGCACTCTGTATCTTGGGGGATGGTAATGGAGATGGTGAAGGTGTGAGAGTTGGGGATGTGCTTTTAGAGGTAGAAGAATTCTCAGAAGGAGGTTTTTGGTTCACGTCCAATTTCTGTTTTACCTAGCAAAAATACAGAAACATTCCTGTTATTAAAATATGTCACGATGTTTTTTTAAAAAAAGAAAGTTTAAATAAACACATCTATTGGATATTTTTCTCTATATATGAATTATCTGAATGGCCATTAAAATGTAGCCATTAGTAATAAGCTATTTTGAGTACTGGAAAACAGAGACTTCTGCCTAGATAGTAGTGTAAGCACTATAAAAATATTTGCTGAAAAACTGGGACATTCGATATCCACAGCTTCCTTTACGGATTAATGCCAGAAAAGCCCATATCAATTATTCTTAAGAACTCAAAAAGTCTGCTAATTTTAAATATTTTGCATTTACAGAACACAAATAGAAAATACAGCTTATCTCAGAGCTGATCTATCATTTGAAGTAAAACATACATCATTAACTGAAAATATGTAACTTGAGGCAAATGTACAACTATTTCCTGGAATTTTATTTATTTATGAGACTTATATACCGCTTTAAGTGCAAGCACTCTCTAAGCAGTGTACACCAGTAAGCAATGTATATATATATTTACATTGCCCCCAACAATCTGGGTCCTCATTTTACCTATCCCGGAAGGATGGAAGGCTGAGTCAACCTTGAGCCGGTGAGATTTGAACCGCTGACCTGCTGAACACAGTCAGCTAAAGTGGCCTGCAGTACTGCACTCTAACTGATGCGCCACCTCGGTAAAGTAAAAGAGGAAAGAATTGCTTCTTTCCTCTTTTACTTTATTGCTAAATGTATGCTACTAGAATTTATACAATGAAATTTATGCATTTAAATATTTATTTATATTCTAACAAACACCTTTTCTTTCTCTTCTAAAATATGCTAAAAAAAAAGATATGCATCCTTTTTTTTTTTTTTTTAATTCTAAACGCTTTTTAACATTTGGAGGGAGGTTGTGAGAAGCCAGGATATGACCCAGCAATGAAGACTCTCATTATTTTCAAATATTATCTTCCTGGTAGCCATTTATTTTTTAAAAAAATTATAGAAATGCCTCTGTTTATCAAAGAATAAGAAATATGTTTTGATTTTTTCCTACACGTATAATATTGATAGAAAATGATAAATTATGTTCCACTTTTCCCTTATGTTTAGAATAGAATTATATTTCATATGTTTTGAAAATAAAATCTTCCTCAATTATAAAAGGCAGCTTTTCAGATATAGAAATCATAGAAAAAGATGAAGCTAATGTTTCCCCTGTCCAGTTGGTTCCAACTTTAGGAGACAGTGTTCATCTCTGTTTCTTAGTCAAGGGAGCCAGCGCTGTCCAACATTTCCATGGTCATGTCACCAGCATGACTATACCACGAAGTGCACGGAATGTTGTTAATGTACTAAAGAATCTTAGTATTTTAAGCCAACGGTCTTCTATTGCAGGGGTCCCCAACCTGTTGGCCACTGGACCGCGTGAGTGGCTGGCCAGCGCGCACGTATGCACGTGCACACATAGCCACACAGACGCGAGCATCACCACAAACATTGCGGGCATTCGTGCTCCCACTCATGCAAGCGTCGCCGCGAGTGTCGCAGATGTTCGCAGCCCCACTTGTGCATCACAAGCATTGCAGGCATTCATAGCCCCATTTGCGTGAGCATCTCTGCAAGCATTGCGGGTGTTTGCAGCCCCACGGGTAAGCACTCACATCACCGAGAGCATCACAGGCTCTTGCAGCCTCACTTGCATGAGCACTCACAATCCCACTCACCTGAGCAATGGTGTTCATGTATGTGCATGTGTTTACCCCCCCCTCCCAAAATCATCCCTTCTTTGTCCCTCTCTCCATTCCAGGCCAACCGTGAAAGATTGGGGAACTCTGTTCTATTGTGAGCATTATTAAGGAAAGAGTATTTTACAGAATTGAATAGACTCAATAACCTATATTTGTCACAGGTAGGTGGAAATCTAACACTGAGCAATCTGCAAGGATCCATATAATTTTATTCTTGGCATCAGGCAATGACAATCACAGTGGCTGAATTCCCATATCAAGATTTCATTAAATACAATTATACTAAAGTATGCATTTATCTACCTCTATTCAATATTGAATGCTTGGGTGGGAAAGGAGAAACAGGTGGGTGGAGAAACAGCATTGGCAAATACAAACATCCCTTGGAAAGCATATGAATAATCTTTATTTTGTTAATATGCCCAAAGCTTATGGCAGGAGGCAGTTTGTAGCCAATATTCAAAAGATAAAACTTTATTAAAATCTGTTTAGGATTTGTTATTGTTGTTAATTGCGAAGTCGTGTCCGACCCATTGCGACCCCATGGACAACGTTCCTCCAGGTCTTCCTGTCCTCTACCATCTTCTGGAGTCCATTTAAGTTCACACCTACTGCTTCAGTGACTCCATCCAGCCATCTCATTCTCTGTCGTCCCCTTCTTCTATTGCCCTCAATCTTTCCCAGCATTAGGCCCTTCTCCAGTGAGTCCTTCCTTCTCATTAGGTGGCCAAAGTATTTGAGTTTCAACTTCAGGATCTGGCCTTCTAAAGAGCAGTCGGGGTTGATCTCTTCTAGGACTGACCGGTTTGAACGCCTTGCAGTCCAAGGGACTCGCAGGAGTCTTCTCCAGCACCATAGTTCAAAGGCCTCAATTTTTTTGCGCTCAGCCTTTCTTATGGTCCAACTTTCACAGCCATACATTGCAACTGGGAAAACCATGGCCTGGACTATACGCACTTTAGTTGGCAGGGTGATGTCTCTGCTTTTTAGTATGCTGTCTAGATTTGCCATAGCTTTCCTCCCCAGGAGCAAGCGTCTTTTAATTTCTTGGCTGCAGTCCCCATCTGAGGTGATCTTGGAGCCCAGAAAAATAAAATCTGTCACTACCTCCATTTCTTCCCCATCTATTTGCCAGGAATTGAGAGGGCCGGATGCCATGATTTTGGTTTTCTTAATGTTGAGTTTCAAGCCAACTTTTGCACTCTCCTTCTTCACCCGCATCAAGAGGCTCTTTAGTTCCTCTTCACTTTCTGCCATTAGAGTGGTATCATCTGCATATCTGAGGTTGTTGATATTTCTCCCAGCAATCTTAATTCCAACTTTTGATTCATCTAGCCCTGCCTTTCTCATGATGTGCTCTGCATATAGGTTAAATAGGCAGGGCGACAGTATACAGCCTTGCCGGACTCCTTTTCCAATTTTGAACCAATCAGTGGTTCCGTGTCCAGTTCTCACTGTTGCTTCTTGACCCGCATATAGGTTTCTCAAGAGACAAATGAGATGGTCTGGTACTCCCATCTCTTTAAGAACTTGCCACAATTTGTTGTGATCCACACAATCAAAGGCTTTTGCATAGTCAATGAAGCAGAAGTAGATGTTTTTCTGGAACTCCCTAGCTTTCTCCATGATCCAGCGTATGTTGGCAATTTGATCTCTAGTTCCTCTGCCTCTTCGAAATCCTGCCTGTACTTCTGGTAGTTCTCGATCCACATACTGCTGGAGTCTAGCTTGTAGGATTTTAAGCATAACTTTACTAGCATGTGAAATGAGTGCAATGGTGCGATAGTTTGAACATTCTTTGGCATTGCCTTTCTTTGGAATTGGAATGTAAACTGACCTTTTCCAATCCTGTGGCCACTGCTGAGTTTTCCAAATTTGCTGGCAAATTGAGTGTAGCACTTTTACTGCATCATCTTTTAAGATTTTGAATAGCTCAGCTGGAATACTGTCACCTCCACTAGCTTTGTTGTTGCTCAGATTTTCTAAGGCCCATTTCACTTCACATTCTAGGATGTCTGGTTCGAGGTCAGTGACCATCTCATTGTGGTTATCTGGGATGTTAAGCTCATTCTTGTATAGTTCTTCTGTGTAGTTTTGCCATCTCTTCTTAATCTCTTCTGCCTCTGTTAGGTCTCTGCCATTTTGGTCCTTTATCATGCCCATCTTTGCATGAAACATTCCCTTCATATCTCCAATTTTCTTGAAGAGATCTCTGGTCCTCCCTATTCTGTTGTTTTCTTCTATTTCTTTGCACTGTTCATTTAAGAAGGCATTCTTATCTCTTCTAGCTACTCTCTGGAATTCTGCATTCAATTGGGTGTATCTTTCTCTTTCTCCTTTGCCTTTCACTTCCCTTCTTTCCTCAGCTATTTGCAAAGCTTCCTCAGACAGCCATTTTGCTTTCTTGCATTTCTTTTTCTTTGGGATGGTTTTAGTTGCTACCTCTTGTACAATGTTGTACAACTTCAAACTTCCATCCATAGTTCTTCAGGCACTCTGTCTATCAGATCCAGTTCCTTAAATCTATTTGTCACCTCTACTGTATATTCATCAGGAATATGATTTAGTTCATACCTGAGTGGCCTAGTGCTTTTCCCTACTTTTTTCAATTTAAGCCTAAATTTTGCAACGAGAAGCTCATGATCTGAGCCACAGTCAGCTCCTGGTCTTGTTTTTACTGACTGTATAGAGCTTCTCCATCTTTGGCTGCAGAGCACATAGTCAATCTGATTTCTATGTTGACCGTCTGGTGATGTCCATGTGTAGAGCCGTCTCTTGGGTTGTTGGAAAAGAGTGTTTGTTATGACCATCGTATTCTCTTGACAAAATTCTATTAGCCTGTGCCCTGCTTCATTTTGTACTCCAAGGCCAAACTTGCCTGTTATTCCGGTTATCTTTTGGCTTCCTACCTTAGCATTCCAATCCCCCATGATGATAAGGACATCATTTTTGGTGTTAATTCTATAAGGTGCTGTAGGGCTTCATAGAACCGGTCAATTTCATCCTCTTCAGCACCAGTGGTTGGGGCATAGATTTGGACTATTGTGATATTGAATGGTTTGCCTTGGATTCGAATTGAGATCATTCTGTCATTTTGGGGATTGTATCCCAGTATTGCTTTTCCTATTCTTTTATTGACTATGAAGGCTACTCCATTTCTTCTGAGGGATTCTTGCCCTACAGTAGTATACCTGATGGTCATCTGAGTTAAATTCACCCATTCCTGTCCATTTTAGTTCGCTGATTCCTAAGATGTCGATGTTCAGTCTTGTCATCTCTTTTTTGACTACGTCTAGCTTGCCTTGATTCATGGATCTTACATTCCAGGTTCCTATGGAGAAAAAATCTTTACAGCATCGGACTTTCCTTTCACCACCAGATATATCCACAGCTGAGCGTCCTTTCGGCTTTGGCCCAGTCACCACTTCTGGAAGCAGGTTGTTCCATTGGTTTATTATTCTAACTGTCAGGAAGTTTCTCCTTAGTTCTAAGTTGCTTCTCTCCTTGATCAGTTTCCATCCATGACAGGAGATTAATTTATGTATATCCAAAATCATATTATACTTCAAACTTGTAACATAAGCTTACAGAACCTTCTGTATCTCTTTGGACTACTTTCTTCCCTCATAAGAACTGCTCTTGCTGACAAGTAGTTTCAACAGAAAAAAATGACAATCCCCCAGAAGCCATCTTCATTTAAATGGAAGTCATAAAAAACATTGATACAGCTGAGCATTATTTGCAATGTAGATTTTAGTAACTGGGTTACAGCCATCCTGACAAAAATATATTTATATTTATTTATAATTATGGGCGGATCAGTGTACAATTTTAGTATGCTTTATACCTGTAAACTATGGTTTGCAAACCATGGCAAATGGGTTTAAACAACAACTGTACCAGAAACAAATAACCATTGTACCGATCACTGAGTCGGTACTATTGGGCCATCTGGCTTTCAGTCAAATCTTTATTTCAAGCTTTTACTGGAGAATAGTTACATTTGGTAACCTCCAAAAAATTCGTTTTGTTTATTCAATGTATAGACCAAATAATACAAAATGATGTAAAAGAAAAAGAAAGAATATACCTTACAAAGTAAGGTTATAAAGCCAGACAACAGGAAGATTTAAAATTCTTATCTAGGGACAGATTTATGTTGCTGGGTCAAAATTTTACTTCTGATCTTGACAACAGCATGACAACAGAACTTGGCTACTGCTGAGGAAGTGAAATCGTAGTGATCAACAAGCAAAAGTTGGATATAGAAACAGTCCTGGAAAATCTACTAATTTACTTCTGAACTCCGCTTTCAACAGAGGACTTTATCTGTGCCATTCCTGACTTTAAGATGCATCTGTATATTAGTGTCTCTTTACTACTGGCATTATCGTTTTGCACACAGTACTAGAACCAAAGTAGTGGTTCCTATATCAAAAATGTTGGAAGCAATTCTTTAAAATGCTGTAATAAATACATTAATAATCTAAGATGCCACATACCCTTTGTATAAATAATAGCATTATTACTGTATTTACTGAGAGCCAATTTGATATAGTGATCATCAAGCTTGAACTGAGAGGCTGTGAGGTCTAGGCCAGGGCTTTTCAACCTTTTCACCCATTGTACCACTTTTAGGATATAGCAATATCCGAGTACCACCAGTCACCTAGCAAGGTGTCAAAAACTTGATGACCCAAAAAAAATAAAAGGAAAAAATCAATGAAGTACAGGTAGTCCTCGACTTACAACAGTTCGCTTAGTGACTGTTCGAAGTTACAATGGCACTGAAAAAAGTGCCCCCCAAGCCACAGCCGAGCAAGACACCTGCCTGCCCACCTGGCGGCGCTCTTCCTCCTGTCCAAGGTTTCCATTGTTGTGAGCATTTCTGTTGAGGATTGGCAGTGGGGCTGGGGTGGGGTGTGTGTGGTTTTTATTCCCCCTGTCTGATAGGTGGTTGCAGCAGGTTTTGGTCACTTCACATGACCCTGGGACACTGTGACCATCATAAATATGAATCAGTTGCCACGCATCTGAATGTAAATCACAAGACCCTGGAGATAAGGCAACATTCCAGATGATTGGTGCTTCTTCAGGGCTCAGCAGAAGCACCAGGATCAGCGCCGAGCTCCAGCTGGAGCCTGGCGCTGATCATGGCGCTTCCATTGAGCCCTGACAGTCCCAAAGAAGCCCCGATCAGCTGGAAAGCGGCACTGATCCTAGTGCTTCTGCTGAGCCCTGACAGCCCTGCAGCTCCAGCCATCTCTCGTTCAGGCTTGTGCAGTGCTGCCACCGGTTCAGCTCATTCCCCTCCCCCACTACCACTTTTCTAGGATGGTTGCGTACCACCTGCCAGGTGCCAAAGTACCACAGGTGGTACCCGTACCACTGGTTGAAAAGCTCTGGTCTAGTCCCACCTTAGACACAAAGGCAGATGGGTGAACTTCGGCCAGTCTCTTTCTTTCTCTAGGAAGCAGGCAATACAATCCACTTTGAAAATTTGCCAAGAAAACTGCAGGGACTACCGTAAATGCCGGCGTATAAGGCGACTTCCGCGAGCGCTGAAATCGGCGCCAAAGACGGGGGTCGTCTTATACGCCGAGTCGCCTTGTACGCCGGCATTTACGGTAGTCCAGGAAATTACCAGGAGTCAACACAGACTTGATGGCATACATTTAAAAAGCATTTATTATAGAAATGTATTTTTATTATTACACGGCAGAGTTATATTTAAACCCAGAAATATATTTTATATGTTGTTTTTCTAAAAAAAACCACCCAATTACAAGGCATGCTTGTTTAGTAGTTTTGAGATAAGAATAATAAATGTAACCTTAATAATATGTCCATTTCCAATGGTCTGTGCATTTTCCACATCAGGAGGACAAGATGAAATTAACCCTACTATAATTGGCTGTTGACTTGATTTTGGTTCAGATATACCAGCAGCTTTTTTTCTTTGAGCTGCAATTTGGGATAAAACGCTGTCCGCACTGCCACCTTAAAATAGACAGGAAGATATTTTAAATTCTAACATACCTCACTTTATTCTTTTTAAATTAAAAAAATAATGTTTTAACAAGTACCATTAAAACAAACTGTTTAACAAAGGTGCTTTTTAATTTGAAAGAAATTATTTTAAAGATGTAACCGAGATGTACAATTTGAGATTGTAACGGCAGCTCAATTATATGTATGTATGTTGGAGATAGATTTTAACTATTGTCTAAAAATTTGTCACAAGCCAGGCAAAATTAATAGTCCAAGTGCAAGATGGATTCAGATCCAGGACAGAAATACCAGGTTTGAGAGACAAGAAGCCCACAAAGACTGAGTGGGATATTATTAAAGGTGAGTAAGGCTTGAAGAGAAGGTTATCAGCAGCTACCAGGCCACATAGAAACAAAGGTCTAAAAAGACAAATACTGTATAATTCGTGGATGCATGTTCCTCTAAATAAAAAGGCCAGCCTCTTTTTCCCCCCTAATAATTAAATGATACAATGTCGACTTGCATTTATCAGCATCTGCATTTCCTGTGTCAGATGAGGAGAGCACAACTTTCTTCTTCTGTCCTGGCCACTTTTTACAGAGGCACAATTGAGAGCATCTTAACAAACTGCATCACTGTTTGGTTTGGTGATAGCAGTACCTCAGATAGAAAGTTCATACAGAGAGTGAGGACAGCTGAGAAGATTATAGGAAGCCCGTTTCCTGTTATTCAGGACACTGCTTATAAGTGCTAAGTGCTTAGAGTTCAAAGCATTGTTAGAGACCTTACACACCCGCTTCATGGTCTGTTTCTGTCGCTCCCCTCTGGGAGGAGGTTTCGAAGTATTTCTAATAGGACTGCCAGATTCTGTAATAGCTCTGTTCCCTATGCCTGTCATCTGGTAAACTCACAAGATTCGTTTTTCTTGCTATGTATACAGATCCAAACTAGACTATGTTGTTTCTCTGGGCCATATATGTGTGTGTAGGTGTGTGTGTGAATAATTTATTTTATTTTGTTTGTCATGTTTATGCAGTGATTATTGGTTACCCTCTGAGAGCTATATGCAACACAATCTCATTTTAATGTATGCTGATTAGTGTACATTTAAAGTGATAATAAAAGTTATTCTACTTTACTCTACTCTACTCTACTCTACTCTACTCTACTCTACTCTACTCTACTCTACTCTACTCTACTCATTTACTTGGTAGCCAGCCTAGAGGACCAGCAGAGGAAAAACTGTTCTTCTGTGGCCCACTTAGTTTCCAATTTACTGTCATAAGCAACACACAAGAACTGCAGGCTAAAAAAGGAAAGAGTTATTCTGCGCCTCTTTCAAAAGCATGCTGAGTGGAAAATAAGGTGTGCATATATATGTATAAGTAGCTTTGGAGGAGGATGGTCTTCCTTTATCGCTGCAATGGGCAAAAATAAATTGTAACAATTTGGATGCTTAGCACTTGGCTCACAGTTGCAGCAGTCACAGTATCTCGTGGTCACACTATCCTTATTTGTGACCTTCACTACTAGCTTCTGACAAGCAGAGTGAATGGGGAAGCTGAAAGAGGTTGCAAATGGTGATCAAATGTCATATTTAATGACCACACAGGATTCGCTTAACAATGGCAACTGGAACTGTCACAACTGCAATCATAAATTGGTGCAATCAAGTGACAAGCCTTAAATCTATTGGGATACAAATAAATCAATATATTTTATCTGTAAACAAAGAATGTAAACTCTCAATTTTAAATCAACATCCTTTCACCAAGGAAGAAGTATTAGTAATGTAACCTTTGCTTATCTGGCTGGTCTAGTTAAAGCAGGGGTCTTCAAACTTGGCCCTTTTATGACTCATGGACTTCACCTCCCAGAATTCCTCAGCCAGCGTACCTGGCTAAGGAATTCTGGGAGGTGAAGTCCATGAATCATAAAAGGGCTGAGTTTGAAGACTCCTGAGTTAAAGTATTAGGGCCATGTAGTCTTTTTTCAAAAACAAAAGAGTACTTCAGAAAACACCCAACTACTAGTGTAGCCTTTGTCTACAACTTCTTAATGCAGCTGCGTCTTTTCCTGGGATGCAATTGACATAATCCATAGCTATCTCTTCATCCCATGAAAAATATATTTCATTTAAACAATTGCAGTCAAATGCTACATATGCATTTACACATACTTTGAAGCACCTTTTGGCCTTCATGTCCAAAGTACTGCCTAGCTCTCTCTTATATTATTATATTTAAATTTATATTTTCTACATTTAAAATGTATAGATACCTGATTTATTATGCAGTTCTCCACCATGCCGGCTAACTCCTCCTATGCTGCTGGATCCACCAGAAGAATGAGGCGAATGGTTGAAATTACTTGAATTGTTGGGAGTTGGAGGTCTCCTTGCAAAAGTGGATAGTTTAATTGGTCTACTACCTCTGCTTAAGGATGTCTGGAAAAATAGAGTTTAAATAACTTTTTTTACTAATATTTATAAAATAAATTCATTTTCACACAGAATTACGCATTCAACAAAACATAACAAGTAAACTGCAGGATAATGAAAACAAGTGGAATAACATACATTCACAAAGCTAGTTTTGGGATAACATTGAGAGACAAAACACCATAGTAGTTAAGAATTCTGAATTAAACCTTGGAGAAATGCCAAATCATTTAAAAAGTTATTTGCGGACTGACGTTGACATCTTTCTCAAATCTAACTGTAAATGGATTATCAAATGCTAGTAGTGTCTTTGTACTTTTACTGTCTCAGTTTCTGCACTTATTTTATTAATCACAAGAATAACCATTTTAAAAGAATCCAAGACTATAGTACAGAATACTATATGGGAGTTCTTCTGTACATGTACATTACTTATATTATTTTTGTTTTCTTTTTACATTTGTGTGCAACCTCCAGAATTGTATCATTGGGCTGGTTGCCAAATACGATCAATAAATAAATAAATGGTGAAAATAAAGTACAGTCAAATTTCAAAACACCAGTTTAATTCATACAGTAGATGAACAAACAATGCATTTAAGGAACTCAGAAATGTGGCTATTAAAGTTTAAATAAAACTTTAAACAAGTCTCTTACTCTGTCAGCACTATAGTCAATACTTGTAGATCTGTGTGGAAAGCCAAGTCTTGTTTGTTCTTTGTTGCCATCTTTGTTCTGTGTTCTATCAGAATTCCACAACTCGAAACTTGAAGGGGGCAAGAAAGGTGGAATAACAGCTTTCAGTTTGTCATTGGGAAGCCGTGTAGATGGAGCCCCACTTCTTAACTGACCAGGAGAAAAAAAAAAGGCAAAACAAATTTCAACAGGTACGATCTTTCATTACAACACTAATAAGAATATAATTAATTCCTAAATAGCATTTACATGCATCATTGAATACAATAGATCAATCAAATAAAAGTGAAGCTGAACAGATTTTTTTTTCAAAAATTAAGCAATTTTCATTCAGATTTAATGGTGATGATCCTGGCTGAAAGGAACACCTAATATGACACTAGGTCAAGCAAGTTTATCTTTGGAGGGTGAGATTATGCTGAAAAGGCTTTGTTCAGTATAACAGAAACAATTAGATGTACAGTAATACTCTATAAGGCCAAGAGAATATTATCTGTACCCTGATTAGGCCTAAGATTGTATCAATCCTCTACAACAAGCAATAACTAGCTGTGGAGGTTTCTGCCCCAGTAAGTTATTCACTAATCCACATTTCAATATCAAATTGAAGCATTTGAGAAACTCAAGGGGTAAAATAGAAAAGAAAAAAAAATTAAATGACTCAATGGTGAATTGAAAACAACTACAGCCCCACACTGGAACTTTTTTTTCTTTTAGTTTACTTTGGTTTCTGTTCCAAGTCTTTGCCTGTTTAGCCACCTTTTCAACTTCATTATACTTACTAAGGCAAACAAATAAAAGAAACCCCTTTATTTCGCATTTCAACTTTTTCACCTTTTAGCCATTCTCAACCTTTTTTCTATGAAGCAGTACTTGTCTTAGTTCACGGGTGTCAAACTCATCACGTCACGTGATGTGTCGCGACATATCACAACTCTTTTTGTATTCCTGGCAATGGGGTGGGCGCAGTTTCGGTAATTTTTCTCTTTTCTCTTTTCAAGTCATTGTACTTTGTTTCATTTTACTGATTTTTTTTCTTAGTGAAGTTTGGACACCACTATTTATTTAGCATTTTTGTTTAATTTCCTTCTGCATTGGTCTTCCAGTGGCATATCTGAAATCGTGATCAGGTAATCTTCAACCTATGATCAAAACTTGGGAAACTTTGGTTGCTAAGCAATGTAGTCATTAGGTGAGTCATCTCATGATCAGACCCAATTTTAGGACCATTTTCACCCTGGTTGTTAAGCAAATTATAAAGTAAATATGGCTTCGCCAATTGGTAGAAACTGGCTGGGAAGGTCTCAAATTGTGACCACTGTAATTTCAGGACATTGCAAGCAGTCATAAATGTGAGCTGTTTGCCAAGTGCCTGAATTTTAATCAGATGCCTGCAGGATTTGTTTGACTATCATAAGTTTGAAGATAGATTGCAAATCATTTTTTCCAAGGTCATTGTAATCATTGTTAAAACAAATGGTCTTAAATTGAAGATTACCTGTACAAGAAGCCCTTGTATTCCTCTCTTCTAACCAACCAAGTTCCTTACCCTTAGATCCTTGCAACAGATTTAATACATACGAAGATGTTCTTTTTCTCAATCTGTAGGCCATGACTCTTCATATTTGGAGCTACATTTCTCCAGTTATATTGGTGGAAGTTTAGGATGGATCAAAGTTCAATAATATTATTAAGCTCAGCAATAATTAAAAGCAAAAAATTATATTAATTTTAACTTCATAACATTTATATGATGTATTAATTTTGCTTAGTAGTTCATTTTATAATGCCTTTCTGTATAAAATGAATTAGAGTATAACTATATATATATAACAATTGGAGACATTATTCTGTAACTTCTGCCAGTTCAACTAGGTTTTCTACAAACCCAAGCACTCAAAAATTATCCACTTTTATAATTTACAAGAGCATCCTCCTAACTCACAGAACTGAAGTCATTTCACATTCATTTAAACAATGATTGTTTGGAAGACATCATTTAATTCAGGATTGATTAAATTCAGCACTGGAACTGGATTTCTCCTAATACAAGTTGCAGTCATTACTAATTCTAAGCTTTGCAATTATGCCTTTGTAGCTCCTCCCATTTAAGTTGCCCATGCTGAAGTAATTGTTTAGGACAGTGATGGCGAACCTTTTAAAGACCGACTGCCCAAAAACTGGCCCCGCCTCCACTCCACCCCCTGCCCCGCCCCTACCCCATCCCCACACCGTCTGCCTGCAGGGCCACTCATTGCCTCCAAGGCCCGCCACAGATCGCCCAGGCAGCCCAGCAGCGCCATGGTGGCCACGCCCTCTGCCTGCACCCCGCAGCATCAACTGTGCGGGATGGGGCGTAAGGGTAGAGTTTTGTCTATGCTGCCTGGCTGCCATGTCCTTGGCTGCGCTGTTCCATGTGGGCCACGCTCAGGGCCGATTCTCCGGGAGGGCTGCTGGTGAGGAGGGGATCATGGGGGAGGCAAGGCTGGGGCAACGGCACGTGTGCCCACAGAGAGGACTCCGTGTGCCACCTCTGGCACGCATGCCATAGGTTTGCCACTACTGGTTTAGGACATTTCCTAATTGAATACACTACTACTACTACTACTACTACTACTACTAATAATAATAATAATAATAATAATAATAATAATATTAAAAGTTGGAAGGGACCTTGGAAGTCATCGAGTCCAACCCCCTGCTCAGGCAGGAAACCCTATACCATTTCAGACAAATGGTTGTCCAGTCTCTTCTTAAAAACTTCCAGTGTTGGAGCATTCACAGCTTCTGGAGGCTGGTTGTTCCACAGATTAATTATTCTAACTGTCAGAAAATTTCTCCTTAGTTCTAGGTTGCTTCTCTCCTTGATTAGTTTCCATCTGTTGCTTCTTATCCTCCCTTCAGGTGCTTTGGAGAATAGCTTGACTCCCTCTTCTTTGTGGCAGACCCTGAGATACTGGAACACTGCTATCATGTCACCCCTCATCCTTCTCTTCATTAAACTAGACATACCCAATTCCAGCAACCGTTCCTTATATGTTTTAGCCTCCAGTCCCCTGATCATCTTTGTTGCTCTTCTCTGTACTCTACTCTTTCTAGAGTCTCAACATCTTTTTTACATCATGGTGACCAAAACTGGATGCAGTATTCCAACTGTGGCCTTACCACAGCATTGTAAAGTGGTATTAACACTTCATGTGATCTTGATTCTATCCCTCTGTTAATGCAGCCTAGCACTGTGTTGGCTTTTTTGGCAGCTGCAGCACACTGCTGGCTCGTATTTAAGTGATTGTCCACTAGAACTCCAAGATCCCTCTCACAGTTGCTACTATTGAGAAAGGTACCACCTATGCTATACCTAATGCATTTGGTTTTTCTTGACTAGATGTAGAACCTTACTTTTTTCACAATTGAATTTCATTTTGTTAGATAGTGCCCAATGTTCAAGTCTGTCAAGATCCTTCTGTATCTTAAGCCTATCTTCTGGAGTGTTGGCTATTCCTGCCAGCTTGGTGTTGTCTGCAAATTTGATTGAGTTTCCTGTCTATCCTCTCATCCAAATCATTGATGAAGTTGTTGAAGAGCACTGGGCCCAGAACTACAACTTCCCTCCTTCCACTGAAATCATACGCTGAGTACAGCTGGTCGGCCAATATTCAAATTTATAAAGCAATTTCTTATATATTGATAGAAAGGGAAGAGGAAATACTTTGGGAAGCCATACTAACTGTTCCATTCCAAACAATCTACAGCATACAATTGCTTCTTACTCTAATTATAAAAAAGAATACTATATTTTATATGGCTCTTCAAAAAAATGATGGAGCCTGCTATTTCATTGTTGGAATAACAGTAGATATGAAGAAATGCTAACTTAATATATTAATCATTATAATTTTAGCTGCAAGATGAAAGCCTCTATTAACATATTAATATTAACATATAATATTAATATCCAATTGAATATTCAAGGAATAGTAACCAATCGCTCTCCTCCCTTTCCTATTCTAGTGATTGTAAGTAGAGTTAATCTCCATGGTTGAATCATGATTAACAGTAGTAGGGAACCTCCTGATATACACAATGGCTTTCATGTAAGTTGGTATCTACCGTATTGGATATAGAGCTAGGCTACCCATTATATATTTGTAAGCATAGACACAGTCTCCTCATATATATAAACAGTGTACAGGTAGTCCTCATTTAGACACTGCCTCATTTAACCACTGCTTGCAGTAACAATAGTAATAAAAATAATTTTGTGACCAATTCTTATATTTAAGATAACTGCATATCTGTAAAGCAAAGAAAAGCTGAAGTAAGATCATAAATGTGTTCATGATTTCACTTAGTGACCATTTAACAACTGAGTTGTTGGTTCCAACTGTGGTAACTAAACAAAGACTACCTGTAACTAGGTATAAAAAAACAAGGAGGCAGCCTTGAAGAAGGAACACAATTACAATTACTAAAGAGCATCCTGTCATACAGCATCACAATCTGGTTTGGAATCATCACTGCTTCAGACAGGAAGGCAGTACAGAGAGTGGTGAGGATGGTTGAAACGATCATTGGCAGTTCCCTCCCTTCCATCCAGGACATAGCACATAAGCATTGCACAAGCATAGTCCACAAGTTTGTCTGGGACACTACACATCTTCTTCACGACGTTTTCCTTGTTACCTTCTGGGTGGAGGCTTCGTGGTATCCAAAGCAGAACCTTCAGATTCAGTCACAGCTTTGTTCCATACAGTATTAACCTTGTGAACTCGAAAGCTTCCTCCTTCCAGTATGTATTCAAGATGGACAGTGAATAATATTTATATGTTACTTATATGTAAGGATGTAGGTCTATACATATGTTATATATAGTATGTTTTAAATGTGTTATGTATTGTACACTTTGAGAGGAAGCAACTAAATTTCATTTTTAATGTGTGCTATTGTGCCCACAGGAAAAAAAATGACAATAAAGGTTATCTAGCTACCTATCTGATAGAGAGGAAGTGGTGAGAAAGAAGTTGAAAATTGTCCTACCTAGGTTCTCTTGGCTATAAAATGGGGACAGAGAAACTCCATGGCCTTTCAAGATTCTGTTATTATACTCTACATCAATAGAGTTTCAAGTGTCTAGTCAGTTTTTTCCCCTTGCTCACCTTGTTGCCTCATGTAGTAAAGGACTGACACGTTGAGGGGAGGGGATGTTAATCATTCGTCATAAATTGAACTGAAGACATAAAGGAAACGCTTGAACAGAGTTAATGGTTCCTTTTTGCACAAAGTTGCTAGTCAATCCGCCAACATTTGATACTGTATATTCTAGTAGCTGTATAAGCTGACTTACCACAGTGGTCAAAAAATCATCATCCTTTCCAGCCTTGGCAGTATGGATAACTGAAGGGAAAACATATCCACACCAATGTTAATTGTGCCATTGTAAACCTACAAAATAATTTTTGTTCAAAAAAAGTAGCATATATTACATGCCACTACAATTTTTCCTAGTAATATAATGACTCAATTCAATTAAGAATACAATTCACTGTATTTTATGAATTCCTGTGTTCATTTACACATTAAAAAGATCATTTAAAATATACATAGACATTTTCTGCAGCCCTAAACATACAGAATTTTTTTTTTATCTCTACTGCTTTTAAAAATACAAAGTTACTATAGATGTGTCCTGATCTTACATGGAATTTTCAACATCCTCCAAAGAAGGAACTAATGGGATCCATGCTTATGTAGTATTATGTACTATTAAGCCACTCACAGACCCTTCAATCTTCAATGTCTAAATTATTGTACTTGCACTTTAAATTCAAGAAAAGTTAGGAAGATATCATATCTAGGTTACAAAAATCAGTTATGGCAGTAATTATGGCTGAATGGCAGCAAAAAATTAGAATTTTCTGGCAATCTGTTTCCATTGTTTATGCTAGTTACATTGTTATGAAAATATTTATTATTCAATAACCTAAGGATTTCCAATTTTTAACAGGTTTTCATGTAAACATTGGGGTTACATAAACATTTGAAACGGGCATCTCAAGAGCCATGCTAATACAAGTGAATCACCCACCGCAGAAGCTTTAAAGCAGCACGTTCTCTGAAAAGACTGCCCAACTGATCTGAAAATTGTTACTAAGTTTTTGTGCATGCACTTGTGTGCACAGAAAACATTCCCATTACCAGTTAGATGTAATGGCTATCCATACATCTGTACACACAAAAAGTTTGGATAATCTTTGAAATAACTGTGCAAACTTTGCAGAAGCTTCAGCTGCTATAATGCTTTAAGAAGGGGTATATGTGCTAAAATGCTTTGTGGAGTGCCCGTTCAAATATTTTGCATAGTTGATTAAGTACATCAAAATCTGTTAAAAAGAATTTCCAAATCTCCCCTTAATCCAAACTTGAAATCTATTTGATTATGCATGTGGGCACACATAGATATACACATGCACAAAATGCTTATAACAGTTAACATTTGTTACCATTAGACTTGCTTTTTGTTGCCCACGCTGTAGTGGCATCATGATTCACAGTATTATCATTTTGTAATGCAGCCTTCATTGTACAGTCAAATGGGGATTTTGATTCTTCTGGAAAAGGTATAGATTGATTCATGGAAAATCCATAATTTAAGGTTTGGGTCATCTTCAATTTGCGAAATCTGTTGGACATTCTGTTCCACCATGACTAGAAAAGAAAATATAATTCTGTTATCTTCCTTATAACTATGGGTGATAATCAGGACTCTGATTTGAAATAAATTAATATTAAGTCTAAGAAATATGCAGAAACTTGGAAAACATTCCTCTGTCCTTCCTTCAATCTCTTTCTTTGGCTAACGTTCATGTGAATGAAAAGGCCTTAGCAAGGAGCCAGTGGAAATGAAATAAGCAATGATATAGAACAGTGGTGACGAACCTATGGCACGGGTGCCAGAGGCGGCACCCAGAGCTCTCTCTGTGGGCACGCGTGCCATCGCCCCAGTCCTAGGCCTTCAGCTGGGTTTTATAAAATCTTTTCGCTTTAGGCCTCCGCCGCCGTGTGAAAAAAAAAAAAGGTTCAATCAGTCAATTTCAATTTCTCACGGGAAAAAAAAAGATCTTGCAAAGTTGGAATTGACCGAACTTTTTAGTCCCACCCAGTCTGCCGTTACCACCGCAGCCATGCCCACCCAATGGGCCACACCCATCCAGCACTCGACGATGCATAAGTGGGTTTTGGGTTGCAGTTTGGGCACTCAGTCTCTAAAAGGTTCGGCATCACTGATATAGAAAAAGAAGAAAGTATTACTGGGAAAAAGTCTGAACTTGTCCCCCAAACTGACAGAATAGAAAGCAGCTGAAGCCTGCCGTCAAGTTTCTGTTCAAAACAAAGGAGCACAGAAAAGGTAAATATATTATTTCTGTACCTTCAACCCTCCCTTGTCATCTGGCAACAATGGAATACCTATGGACTGCTTATTTCTGGAAAAGAGTGCAGTTACTTTGCTGTTCTGCTTATTCTTTTCTTGCATGCAGGCGGAGGCCAACAACCGCACAAGTTCCGCATCTGCAAAATTCACACAGTTTGGTAAAGTGTTTCTACTCTAACTGTTGCAAGACTGTGATATTCAAGATAAGCACACAGAAGTACCTGGGTCATTCAGCAGCATTATCAGGTCAAAGGCTGTATATCCGTTTTTAGCACGCAGGTTGACATCAGCTCCTTGATTTAATAAATACTTAACAACTTCTTTATTTCTTTGAATAAAACAGAATATAAGCTACATACATATATTAAAGACAGATTTATTAGAAGATGTTACTAGAAAGAGGTAAATTGTTCCTATCTCTAATGTCTCTTAAACCATTGTTGATTTCTGTTTTTATATAGGTAGTCCTTAACTTTCAACCATTCGTTTAGTGACCACTTGAAGTTATAATGGCACTGAAAAAAGTGACTTACAAACATTTTTCACACTTAACAACTGTTGTAGTATCCCCCATGGTCACGTAATCAAAATTTAGATTCTTGGCAACTGGCATGTATTTATGACTGTTGTAGTGTCCCGGATCATGTGATCACCTTTTGCAACCTCCTCCTGACAAGCAAAGTCAATGGGGAAGTCAGATTCACTTAACAGACATATTACTGACTTAACAACTGCAGTGATAAGAAAGGCAATAAATTCACTTAACGGCTATCTTCCTTAGCAACAGAAATTTTGGCCTCAGTTATGATTGTAAATTGAGGACTACCTGTACCTGCTTTTTGTACTAAAGTTCTCTGTAGTAGTAAAGAGATCCGGTCACTTAGTATCACATCTGTATTTCAACTCAGTTATCATCAATAATTCTATGGCTTGCTTAACATATTGCTTGTCCAAACAGATGTTTATAACTTACTGTAGCCCTCATCTATAGAAATAATTAGAATTTTCTGATTATAGGTCTATCTATTTGCAGTCAACCACCATCAAATGAATTCTACTTCCCAGACATAACACTCTAACCTAGAGGTCCCCAGCCGCCGGGCGGTGGCCCACTACTGGGCCATGGTTTATTTGCAACCAAGCCACATGAGCAGCAGACCGGCACGCACACACGTACAGCTCGACTTATGCAAGCTAGCATGCATGTACACGCACATGCAGCTCAATTTGTGTGCGTACCTCAACTTGCACAAATCAAGCTGCACGCACACACGCATGCTGCCCTGCCGCTCACATGGCCCAGTTCCCCTCTTCCCCCACTCCACCAGACCACCAAGCCGCAAAGTTTGGGGACCACTGCTTAACTGCTATTTATAACTTCACATAAAGCTGCAGCAACAAAGGTTCTACACTGCATTCTTGCAGTTTTATACAACACATCTTCACTTGGCCTAAACAGCTTGGTAGCTGATGCCTATGTTCATCTGACACATTTCTCCTTGATTAACTGAAACATGGTTTTCTCATTTAACTCAATTTTCAAGCTTCACACAACCCCAAAAACTAACCAGACTGGATTCATACAGCTAATTAGATGAAAAGTAACTGGCTTGTGATTAAGTGTGTTGTACAAATTCAGTCATCACAACCCTCAGCAATTATGTTTAGTGTATTTGAATAAAGAAATATATACAATAAGCACCATTACAATAGGAACAATTTCCTTGTATGCTTTGTCTGATAAATATAATTATATCGGAAAATGGGAAGAAAAATGTTCCCTAAATAAAGACATTAGACAGACTTGTCCATAGATTGTAACATAAATAACAGTGTTGTCTACAAATTCTACCATGGAGAAAGGAAGAACATATACTACTGCAAAGGTGAGATTGTACTGTTAGCTACAGAGTAACTTAACTTACATGTCACTAAATCACAATTTAATGATAGAATGTTGAATAAGCCACCATAATGGCTTAGTACAATGTATGAACCAAACTAATCCTAAATGTTTATGTAATTGGTTGCCATCATAAAGAGATTATCATTTCATCCCATGGGATTGCTGGGGGTAATCAAAAGGCAACAGTAATTTTAAGGAAAAAATGAAACTTCTCCCAAATCACATTAGCAAAATAAATGTATTTACCCATGATATGTAGCTTGCATTAATGCTGTCCAGCCATGGACATTATCTCGTTTATCAATGTCTACATTTCTTGAAACAAGTAATTGTATAAGGGGCATCTGTCCAGTAACAGCTGCAATCATCAGTGGAGAAGCACCATCATCGTTAATGACATTGGATTGTGCTGGGTCTTCATCAATAATTTCTTTCACCAGCTGAAAATTTCCTATAGAGAAAATAGCATTGACTTGAAGCATTCAAAAGGTGATATAGTGATAGTTCTAGTTCTATTTTTTTGCAATTAATTGATTTTCTATAGCTATATTAATCTTTTCATAGGGGCCCCCGCACAATTTGAGAACTTACTGTTTGAACAGAAGAGGGCTTGTAAAGAATCAACCCTGAATTTTGATAAGGACTGAGTGCTGGCAGTATGGACTACTCTGAACCTAAGGTCCTCTTGTTGGCATTGATAGCCCTGTTCAGATCCTACAGGCAGGCAGAGCAGCCTAGGAAAGAGGGCAGAAGTTAAAGGGATCTAAAAAAGAGTAAGAGCCAAAGAAAAAGAGAGATGGATTTAACAGAAAAATTGAATAGTTCATATGAATGAGGAAAAAGCAGAAGACTAGAAGACAGAGAAGGGAAATAAACTAATGGAACAGAAGGACACAAAGAATTATACATAACAACAAGCTACCAAAACTCATTAACCAAAGTTCATATAAAGATTTCAGATCTTTGGTTGCAAATCACTATTATACTTCCAAAGCAACTGCAGAGCCAGATCTCAGATTAAAAATCACATGTATTAAAATTATAAAGCTCTTACCCATTTTTAAAGCATGGAAGATATCAGGTTGTCTTTTCTGCTTATCTAGTGAAAGAGGAAACAGATAGATGTATATCATTTACTTATGGTAACACTACAGACAATACATTAGTACCAGCATTTTAAATGAACCGATTTATTAAACAATTTGCATTTCAATTTCTCAATTCTGAAAAGCAAAAGCAGTGAAAACATTGAATAGTAAAATATGAAGATGCTTATTCCTGAGGACTGTTGAAGATAGTCCGTTTCTTTCCCCCTTGGCCTCTTAAGATGGCAGTTGTTGGCACTGTGAAAGGAATGTACTGTAGTGTTCTTTCTTTGAACAGAAAGATTACTGAGATAGTATCTCTTAGAATGCAATGTTAAAAACCTCCAGCAACTTAAAAAAAATCAAGGATATTTCCATTAATTTTTAAAACTTAACAGCTATATGAAATAATACTAAATTCATTTAGAAATCATATTTATCAGATCATCTGACACCAAATACTCTGGTAAGCAAAGAACAAAAATAAAGTATGAAAAGAATTAATCAAGAAGAGCAAAATGGTTCACCTGAAAGGAACAATACCCAGCCTCAAACACACACCTTCCCAAGTAAGTCTTCCACTCATCTTAATCCATGGCCTGGAGGAAGAACTAAGTTAGTGGTTCTCAACCTGTGGGTCGGGACCCCATTTGGGGTCAAACGACCATTTCACGGAGGTCGCCAAACAACGCAGTCCGCCATTTTTTTTCCCCTTTTCCTTAGCTGTGCTACTCCCTTTTATTCTATTGGCTTTTGAAAGCCAATAGAATAGACTCTCTTGAATAGAGTCTAATTCTATTGGCTTTCAAAAGCCAATAGGAATTGTCCAGGCTATCTCTGCCCTGCTGAGCCCGCCAAAAGTCCCATTCTGCAAACGGTGCTGCACCAGTTCAGTAATCCTTGACTTACGACCAGTTGAGTAGTCCTCAACTTACGACCGGTTGGGGGTCGCAGCATTAAAAAGGTTGAGAACCACTGAACTAAGTCTTCAAGACTCTCTTGAAGGAGATAAGCTGGTGATTACTTCCTTACCATTAGATGTTTAGAATACAGGAAGACAAGGCAAACTATTAATTTATTATTTATTATGACTGGCAGTCCATAATTTCAGTCTTCTCTAGCCTAACTAAAATACAAAAGATTGGCTCTCCAATTTTTGTGTATGTTCTGTAATAGGATAACATCCCTCCTTTTCTCAAATTTCATTATATTTTCATTTACTATTGTCATCAAAGTCTTAACACTTTAAAGTAATGTTATGTCTGGCTAGTACTGGTAAGGGAGACTACCAAAAAGATATGGTGTTAGGTTAGTTTGGATATATAGAAAATAAGGGCTAGATGAAGCAGAGAGTGTCCATGTTTGAACATAGTAAATCTCTTTCCAGGCTTTCCAGGAACAATCTTTGCTAGTAATAATAATGGATATTAAACCTAACTAAATTATGAATATTCAGCTTTAATGCAATACACAGAATCTATTTGAATCCACAGGGTAGATCAAATGGATTAATAGCATGGTAGGGTAAATTGAAACTATAATATGTCAAAAACCAGAAAAAGATCTCAGTATGATGGATAGATAGTACCAAAATTCAGATTTAATATCCATAACCAAAAACTTCCCAAGAACTAACTGCCCAATTTATTATTATTAATATAATTTTCTAGAAGTGTAATAATATTCTGTAACAAGATTGATGAATTCTAGCTACTTAGAATCAATATTTTTCTATTTTAAAACAGAAGACAAAGGAGAGCTCTCTGTTTTTGTGAAACTACAAGCATGAGTGAGTTGCTTGCTGCTTTTCTACATGTAACTTTTCTCATAATTTTCTTTGTAGAATTAAGGCACTACAAGCTGATTTATGGCAACAATCTGATTGCTAAGTTAAATAATTTCTCTGCTTGCATTAGTCTGAAACTCATGTTGTATATCTCAAATTAGTTATGCTGTAATTGAGAAATGTAGTAAAGGGACAGTTGTAATTCAATTGTACAATACTTTAATTGCCCTGAATTTCAATAAACCCATGCAGTCCTGAACTGCATATTGTTGCTTTCTGTGGTAATTGTTCTCATTGGGAGTAAGATCCTGAGAGTAGAAGGTAAAATGCTTTATGATTTCCTCAACCAAAGAACCCATACTGTATTGTAGACTAGACAATTAGAAAAAAAATCCTAGACAAATTACTCTTATATCATAGTCAAACAAAACACTTAAGTTTAGACATAATTTATATCCAGTTATATAATTTATAACCATATCCAGTTGTGATACCTGATGGTCAAATATTGTCAAATATTTTTTTTCAGATGAATACACTGTGGTCATATGTTTCCTAATTCAAAGATGAGCAAGCAAATTATTTGTGACCTGAAAACATGCATTTCTTGAGAGATTAAGCCTGTTGAGGGCTGATGGATTGTAAAATGGGCTGGCTTAGAGAAGATGGAATTTTTTTAAAACAAGTAAGAGATCAAAGGCCAACCCATATTAAGAGAGTTTATGGGGTTTTAGTGGAATTAGATTCAGAACTTGAACTAGTTAAAGATTGTATGATTAAATGGGCACAGAATATTGGTGAAACGATTTCAATGGATACTTGGGAACTTATTTTGATAAGAAATGTTAAATTCACACAAGCGCAAAACTTAAGAGAGAATTTTTATAAGATGTTTTATAGATGGCACCTTGACCCAAAGAAAATGTCCATTATGTACCCTAATCTACAGCCGAAAGGCTGGAGATGTGGATATTTGGATGCTACCTATTACCATATTTGGTGGACGTGTAAGCATATAAAAGCTTTTTGGATTAAGATATGGTGGAATATTCAAAGAATTTTTAAAAGAAGGGTAAAATTTACTCCGCAATTATTTTTACTAGGTATTGTTATTGACTGTGATGCTAAGGAGGTTATATTGATGTTAAATTTGATTACAGCCGCTAGGTTGTTAATAGGACAATATTGGAAGAAGGAATCTTTGCCTACTTTACAAGAATGGTTTCATAAAGTTTCGTATTTGGCAGAAATGGCAAAGATTTCGGCTTTCTTAAAGGAGCAATCTCAAGAAAAATTTTTTGCGGTATGGGAAAAATGGATAAATTTTATACAACAAAATTTGGATATGGAAAAATATTATTTAGCCTTTTTATAATTTGTAATGATTGTTTTTTCTTTCTTTCTTTCTTCTTTTTCTTTTTTATATATATACATTTTTAATGTATTATTATTCATATATTTTTTTTTTTTTTTTATATATATATATGCTTTATTTTTCGTCTACTTTCTTCTTTCTTCTTTCTCTCTCTCTCTTCTCTTTTTATTTTTTATTTTTTTTCTTTTTTAGTATATATTATTCATTTTAAAGTTTATGTTATGTATATTATTTCTATATATATTATTACTGTGATTTTTATTATTATTATTAATTATTTTATAAATTGCAAATGTTATTTTTAAAATATTTGTTAAATAATCCTATATTCAGTTCTGGGAAGTCGGGGGGGGGGTGGGGTGGTTGGGGAGGGGGGGGTGGATTTTTATTTGTAAAACTTTTGAAAAATTTCAATAAAAAAAAAAAAAAAAAAAAAAAAAGCCTGTTGAGGGCTGGAGAACAAAGTGGGTGTTGCCATGCACAAGGGCTGGATAAGATTTTTTTTTTTTCCCCTCAGGTTTGTGAGGGAGGTAATAAGAAGTGTTTCTTCATTATTATTATTTTAAAAAAAAACATGTTAAGCTTTTGTTAAGGCTTACATTACAGGTTTTATTGTATTTCCAGCCTTAAAAGGCAGAAACTGCTAATTTTTAGCAATTGTGGCTGGAAGGGATACCGGAAACTGCAAAATCAGAATTTGTAACTGTACATACTATGGTGTTAGGACCATCTAACAACCTGTTTAGTTGATTGCACATTATGCAAAAATATTGTCAGGTAAATAGGAATTAATATTTACATTAGTTTAATTATTAACAAACATTGCCTATGCTATATGCATTTATTTTATTTGAAGACAGCACAGTCAGTGTGAGACACTGTGCTGCTTATATGTTGCCTAAAGCGAAGGCATACTTTCTGCATATACTGTACAGAAGTCCAGGGAAATAACAACTGAATAAATTTTAATAATTGCAATGAAACTAAGCCCTCCTTTGTATCTGAGAGCAAGATTCTGTAGGAAAGAGTGTACTTACAGTAGTTCTATTTATGATGCTTGGTGCAGAAAATTAATTACTGTATCAAAATGTCCCTTTAATGGACATTTTTCTTCTTGGACACTTCTAAGATATTCATAGATTATCTCTTTAGTTTGTTAGAAATTAAAACACAATAAATTTCAAATGGTTCTTCTTATTCTTACACAGTCAAAAGGTTGCAGTACTGTATATTATTTCTAAGGAATGGCATTATATGGAAAATGTAGATGAAAAATGAGATTTATACTTTGACTCAATTAATAGATGAAACAGATGAATAATTATCCTTTTTCTTTAAAAGATAAATAATATTTGTCTATATGATTCAAAGCTGTATTTACAATTACCCAAACTGACATCCCAAACTGCCCACATAGCATTTTCAGTCTCAAAAAGAACCTAATCCACACGTGGTTATTAAACCCTATAATATAAAAACTCCTGTAATTAATTTTTACAATATGATATGCAAATTTCAATGTTTGAATGGAATAAAGAATTATAGATTTCTATTTTGCTAAGGTAACGGGATAATCAAAATTTCAACAAATCCTAGATCAGGAGTGTCAAACTACCGGCCTGTGGGCAAGACACCTCATCTGGAAGCCGCACCCACCCCATTGCCGGCAATGGCAAAACCGTCCCAATACATTGCGCGATGTCATGTGACGTCGTGAGTTTAATATGTCTGTCCTAGATTATGTGTTACAGAAAAATAAATATTTAGATTTACTGGACTCTGTTGTATTTATATAGAAAAGCCTCGAGTAGATTGTGATGTTGTTAGAAATGCAATGAGATCACTTCCAGTTTGCTGTCAGAGGCCTTCCGTGCCTAATTTTGCCCTGCTGGGGGCTCTAAAAGAGTCTAAAGTCACCCTGAAGAGGCCTCGATGAAGAAATTGAAGGAGAAGGAAAGTGGGAATTGTTTAAGGAATATAAATGGGCAGAATTCCCCCTCCCCCCCAAATACCCTACCTGAATTGTCTTCCTCATGCCAAGCAATCTTTACAAAAACAGAAAGAAAATTCCTGGGCAATTTAATTGCCTTGGCTTGGAAAGCTACTTGGCAAAGAAAGAGCGAGAGTTAGACCTAAAAAACAGAAGATTTGACCTATTAGAGGGGGCATTATATGATTAAATATCTGTTTGAATATGATTAAAAGAATGGATGACTCTTATATATAATTAGACTTTTATAATGAAAGATATGATTTAGAATTAAAATATCATTTTTTTCTTTTTTTAATATAGGAAATATGAAAATAAGAGGATGGTTGGTATGAATAAAACTCTTAGCCATATAAATGTAATTAATATTGAGAAAATCATAACTGACAAAGATATTTCAAATATTGATGGGAAATCAAACTTTAACAAGAACATGAAAAACAGGATATTGATTTATGAATTGAAATTATTATCTGTATAATATTAGTAAAATATGATGAGGATGCTCATATTTAACTTTGTACGCATCAACAGTAGCAAGAATTGTAACTGTGTAATGAGGGGGAAATGGAAAAAATATGGGAAAGAAAGGAGGATCAGGGAAAAAACACTGGATTGTGCAGTACTGAACACATTTATATTGAAGAAGTCAAGGTTAAATATGTGAACCCAGACAACATGTTGTTTACTAATCACTAAAGACTGTAATTGTTAAAAATCAATAAAACATATATATATAAAAGAAATTCAATGCAATGAATCACTTAAATATATTATTTGTATCCTAAAGTGTTATATTTTGGGAGGAAGTTTTGAGATAAGATTTAATATTTTCAGATGTTCATATTCTTTTGAACTATATTCATATTCCCCTAGATAAAAAAGGGGATTATTCATGAATTATGAATTAATCAACATAGTCTTTATTCAATAAATATCTCCTCTGATACCTAGTCAGTCTCTGTTCACCTATCTTTATTCTTATTTAAGTTATTTACTTCAAAATAATAATAAATATAAAACTCACATTTTGCAAAGCAAAGGCATTATCTCACTAAATCCTCTGGTCTCAGTATTTTAGAAAATGAAATGGATAGGAAAATATAAGCCAGTACTTTTTGAATGTACAGTATGCTAATTTTCCCAGAAAAGGTTGAACAGGGTGATACAGTGAGTAAAATGAGTGGATGTTTTTTATGAGAATGGAAAACAGTCACCTTTTCAGTTTTCCTTTTTGTAAATGGTTGTAATGGCAGCCTTTCTGTAAGCAAGCAAACTTACTCACAAGAGGGTTATTTTGTGAGAAGCCCACAATATGCTTTCAAACTTCTAATGTGCTCATTGAGCCCAAATGTATGCCTACCTTTACCTCTACATCACATCTCAGCAACGCCAGAATGTAATTTGGGTGGAAAGAGGCATAGTGCAAAAGCACATCCCTTAATACCGGTAGTCCTTGTTTACCAGCTGCCTTATGCAGCAATCATTCAAAGTTACAACAATGCTAAAAAAAATTGTGACTAATCTTCAGATTTATGACTATTCTAGCCTTGCAACCAAGTTAATATAAAGGCCGAAGTTGTAAACTGTAAGTTGCAGTCACAGATTTTTTTTTGCTTAGTGACCACATCACTTCACTTAATGTCTGAAGGGAAAGTGAGGTCATAAGCTTGTCATGCGATTTTCCATTTAGGGAAGCGCTTAATGATTGTGACACCTGTATGCAATTTAGTGAACAGCTCAGCAAATATATAAATTGAATAGTTTCTCTATTTAAGCCAGACGTGTCAAGCTGGCAGCCCATGCCCACCCCGGCACCGTAAAGGCAAAAAACATAGCAATATGTCATGTGATCGAGTTTGATACTCATAGTTTAAGCCAAAAGGCCTTTTATGCCCATAGCATCACTTTAGAATTATCCTGGTTTCACATATGCTAAGTCATTATGTATCTCTTTTTGATTCTGGCTTACTGTATTGTAATGCATGAATTCAATAATTAAAGGTTTTTTAAAACTCTTAATTTAGCAATTAAGTTGCAAGGTGGTTTGATTGTTTTTTGCATCCCCCAGGCATTTTGGATTATATTTTGGTCATAATTTACAAGTTAATGCCAGGCATAAGCTCAGATAATACACAAAAGATGTATCATGCATCCACAGTGCAGCTTTTTTTATTCTGGGTATAACCACATGATGACATCTCTTTTTTAAAAAAAATCTGATATGATAAAGGATAATTTTTCTAAACAGAAAAATCTGGACTATGTATTTACATTGAAGTTAAAAAAAAAGAACAGTGACAGTTAAATATTTTATGTGTTATATATCTTAGGCCTCAGCAGATTTGGCTTAACTCACTATCCATTAGATACAGCAAGTTATCTACTGGTATTAGTTTGCTAAAAAAACAATTATACCAAACCCCAAGATAAAGCGAAAGCAGCTCATACCTGTCTGAGGTCTAACTGTTGTCAAAGGTGCTAAATAATCCATCATATCTTCCTGTTTGAAATCCACAGATATTTCATACGGTGTTTTATGCAGAATATTCAGATGATCAGGATTGGTTCCTTTGTTCATAAGCTGTTGGGCTAAACTAACTCTTCCACTAACAGCTGCCAACATCAGGGGAGTCCAACCCACAGTTTTCACAGAGTAATTACAATCAGCTCCCCAGTCCAATAGAAGATGGACGACTGCCTCATGTCCATGTTGGACAGCTGTCATAAGGGGAGTGACAGCTGGCATTTCTTCCTTCCTGCTGTCCAAGCTGACGCTCAAGTGATCATAATTGTCAACATAAGCACCAGATTCCAGAAGCAGCTTAATCACACTGATATGGCCGCCCCGTGATGCTATAGTGAGTACACTGGCTCCCAATTTATTCTGTGCATTAAGATCAGCTCCATTTTCCAGCAAGATGCGAGCCACATTTAGATGTCCAAACCTTTGATTGGGGAAAAGAAAAAGAAAAGAATTACAATATCCAAGAAAATAAATATGCATTATTTAGATTTAAAAGGATTCTGCATTAACATAGCAAATATTTATGTGCTGGGACCTCCCCAGTTTCGTTTTCAGTCTAACTAGAATGCTGAGGCCAAGTTTAATATCATGCTTGTCTCAGCCTCAATACATCTCATGTGGCATTCCATCTGAATATTTTAGAGAAAGATTTCTGTATTACTTAAAGTTCATACAGTGTATTGCAAAAATATGAGATTAATAACTTGTATATAGTAATATATAATAAGAGCAATAGTTGTGGTAAAAGCAGATTTAGTTCTTTAAGTAAAAGTCAACCAATAAAGTAAGCTTTGGAAGTATTCTAATGTTGGAAAAGCAGAGGGGGATATCAAAACTTTTTGATAGAAGGATGTCTTTAGGCATTTATTTTGATAAGTGATAAAGATGGAGAAACAAGACAAATTCAAGTATCTCTTTCACATACTACCGTAAATGACCTTACACCCTGCCCAAAAGGCTAAGGCCTGTATAAAAAAGCAACTTGGCTTTTGAATATTTTACTTCTGCTATGTGAAACTACTACAGTATAGGTAATAAAAAAATTAAATACTGCTTTTCTTTTAACAGTGACTCCTAGTTCTAGTTTATTATATTTCAGGTTTTATTACATTTTCAAAATTGTATTATTCTTCCTTCAGTATCTCAGGATTATTCCTCATATAGTGTGACTGAGGGACCAGACCTAAAACTGAAACTATATGCAACAGAGCTGCAATTATTTTAGCTTTCAGTATCAAACCAAATTATATAGCAGCATATTTCTTTTTTATTATTTCAAACACTTAGTACCCAGAAAGTTTCATTAAGGTAGCAGCATGCCTAGATGGAAAATGTATTGAATTCTTCTTCAACCATTGATTTTTCTTCAAAATTGTTTCTCAATTGTTTCTCAAATTGTTTGTCTAGTCCAGGGGTAGGCAGCCTTGGCTCTTTTATGACTCGGGGACTTCAACTTCCAGAATTCCTGAGTCAGCCATGCTGAGGGGAAAGTGAGAGGCTTCCAAGCTGAGCCATGCTGGCTCAGGAATTCTGGGAGTTGAAGTCCATGAGTCATAAAAGAGCCAAGGTTGCCTACCCCTGCCCTAGGCCGCTTTAAGATTTGTGGACTTCAACTCCCAGAATTCCTGAGCCAGCCATGCTGAGGGGAAAGGGAAAGGTTTCCAAGCTGAGCCATGCTGGCTCAGGAATTCTGGGAGTTGAAATCCATGAGTCATAAAAGAGCCAAGGTTGCCTACTCTGGTCTAGTCTCATACTAGCAAAGAGAGATGACTGGAAAGAAACAAACTGAAACAAAGTGCAATGGAAGGAAGCCAGAATCCATTCCATGTCACTGAATCTGAATGCTTCCCACTAGTGCTTTATAAGAAACTAATAATAACACACAAATATATTGGACGCTGAAATATTATAGATTCTCAGTGGTTTGGGTTTAGACATGGATTTGGTGGCTCAGGCATTATGTTTAGGCAACACACTTAAAATATAAAATCTTGCACCTGCTCAATAAAGCAACATTAAATTGACTTCTAAGAGTCACTTTAGATATTGATGATATAAAGATGTACAAGTTTATTTATATATCGTTGCATTTCTACATTTGTGTACTACCTTTCATCTCTCTGTTTTTACCATACTAAGAAAATGGAAGCAATTTGAAAAAAATAGAAGAGAATAAAAACTACAATAAGCGCAAACGAGTCAGAGAAACCAAAGACCCAGGAGAATCTAGTTGGAGAGGCAAAGAAGAGCGATCTGGAAACCACGCAAAAAGCCAAGATTCCCACTCGGCTGGGGGGGGGGGGGGAAGCAGCGTCAGGGACCTCCCCACCAGCTGTTCCACCGTTGTTTTATCCCGAGCTTGAACTGTAGGTAGCGCGCTTGAGCTACACAGCCAGCCCAACTCTGCCCAGCAAGGACCGCTGAACCACCCCCGCTTCTCCCGCGGCGCTAACCTGGCTGCTTGCATGAGCGGGCTCCAACCGCAGTGATTCCGGCTCTGCACCGAGGCCCCCCGCCGCAGCAGGAAGCCCACCAGCTCTTCGTGTCCCCCGGCCGCTGCGAACTGCAAGCCGGTGTTGCCCGCCTCGTCTGTGCAGTCCACTGGCACCGAGCCGGGAGGAATGTCCGCCGCAGCCCCAACTCCACCTCCGCTCGACGAGCCGCTGCCAGCCTCCGCCGCGGCTTCGTCGGCGGCTCCGGCGGCAGGCGAAGGTCCTACTAGCAATCGCCGGGCGCACTCGCAATCTCCCTGATCACAAGCGCGAAGTAGCAACTGGACGCCAGCGGGCACCCCGCACTCCCCCATCGGCGGATTTGGCCCCCTTCCGAACCCGTCCGCAATCTTCCTCCGCTCCGCCCGTGGATAGAAGGGGGGAGAAATCCGGCCGAAGCGCCAAGTTCTCCACAGTTGGGAAAGGGAGGGCTGCACTGCTGAGGCCTCCGGCAGGGGGAGGAAGAGAAGGATGGTTTCAATTAATATGGGAAGGGGAATCAGTTTAGGAAGTCTTCTGCTTGCGACATAGCTCTCCTCTTTAATTCAGGCACTAATAACAGCTTTCTTTCTCCGTCCCTGCCAGTGACTTCCTTCGAAACAGGGTAGAAAATTTTACATCCTTCAAATTATTAATGTGACAGGGGGCATGTGTTTGGGATTTTTAAAGGAGCCCACGTAAAACATTTGAAATACAAGTTTCAAACAGGAATCACATTTCTATCATTGTTTTAAAGCATAGTATACCTAGTTTTCACTTACAAAGGTAAAAATCTTTTTCCAGTCTAACTTGATTTTGACTTTAGCAAAGTTTTTGGAAAAGTTGCCATAGGATATTTTCACTTACGACTTGATAAAATTTGATTTAGCATTCAGAATTAATAACTACCTTGAGCTGGAGTATTATCCAACTATTTTTATTAATGACCCCAGTAACAGGATTGATGGAATATTTCTCAATTTTGTGGATGGCACAAAATAGGGAGATTGGCCAATATCTAGGAAGACAGCATCAGATTGCATCTTTAGCTGGTTTCATTTCCAGCCAGATTCAGCACAAAGACAAGCATCTTAAGGCAGCTGTGCAGAAGTGGCTTCAGGCTAGGTGTCTCTGATGTTATGAATTCTTATTCATAGGCTGTCTTATTCTTATTCTTAGGCTGTCAAATAGATGATAAATGAAGGTAATCATATTTTTATTCTAATTGTCTTAATAATAATAAAAAATCAGAGTTAATGCAGTTGTCTGTTCGATTAAAGGGGGGGGTGACCTAACACTTTCTCTAGTTTTTTGTTTTACAAGTATTTGTCCTTAACATTTGCTTCATGAAAACCTGTTTTGTTTTGCTTTTTACAGCTTTAATATTGCTTAGTACTGTTGCTTGACATTTTGCAAGATCTGGCCTGGAAGGCTGTCAGTCCTTTGAGTTATTGCCCTTCCATTTTAGTAATTCCATAGTGCTTTTTTTGTTTCCTTTTACAATTGATCATCTCTGTTTGTATATATTTTTTTCATCTCTGTTTGTATATATTTTTTAGATTAAAGGTTTCATTATTGCTCAAATAAGTCTGATTAACAGTTTCCTTAAAAAAGTTAATTCAGCCAATTTGCAATATTTGCAGTACAATTTATTTTCTGCACCATATCAAATATTGATAGTTGCTGCTACAGTTGCAGGATTATGCTAATATTTTACGCAGTTTAATGTGCAAAAACAAGTACATTTAGATCTGTGCACTGCAGGACCTTTTCAATTTCTACCAATCTTTTTTTTTATTCTTGCAGATTACAAAATTAGTCTGCAGGGATTGTACCTACATTTGTAAGTAAGGGTTTTAATCTTATTTGTTTCATTTCTTTTGAAAAAGGAAATGTAAAAGATTTGTGGTTGCTTTGAAGGTTTCTCTGTGTTTCACCTGTCATTCCTTCTTTTAACTGCAAGGATTTCTTGTCTTTAAAGCACAACTTTGATTCTTTTTACATTCATGACTCCACTTTTCATGAAGTTTATTTTTTATCTAATCCAGTGGTTCTCAACCTGTGGGTCGGGACCCTATTTGGGGTCGAACGACCATTTCACGGGGGTCACCAAACAAGGCTGTCCGCCATTTTTTTCCCCTTTTCTTTGGCCATGCCCCTGGCACCCGGTGATGTATAAGTGGTTGGGGGTCACCACAACATGGGGAACTGTATTATGGGGTCGCAGCATTAGAAATGTTGAGAACCACTGATCTAGTCCTTCAAGTTTCTCAAAAAGTGCAAAAGTTTTTGTGCTTTAATTTTTTTCTTCCCCCTCAGTCTGGGATACTAACAGCAGATGAGATATAAGCATGTTTTAGTAGAATTTTCTAATAGAATTTAGAATTGTGACTAATTGAAACAGCATAAAAATACATAGGAATTCTGGTATGAATGAGAGGAATTGTGTTTTGTAAACTTTGGGTTACAGTATGTTGTAAGAAATGAGTCAACTTGTTGTCAATACTTATGTTATTCAAACCACAACTTAAGAATGATTCATAAGGCCTGTTCTGTTATATCTTTTAGATATCCGTTGAAAATCTCATCCATCACTGTAGTGTTTTCTGGATGTTGTTGCTTCTACTTTCTTTTCCTCTTCCCCAATTGTATTTTTATTTATACCTTTATTTTGTACATCACTTTGAGATGATACAGGAAGCAATACTTAAGATTCATCATTTTTGTGCCTTTCAGTCATTAGTAAGATAAATAACAACAAAAACAAAGCAAACCCAGTCATGGCAGGCAGGTGCCACTGGAAAGTTGCATTAGGACAGAGGAAGGGAGGCCGACCTTGGGAAACTGTTTTTTCCTATTCCTTCTCAAAAATCACTCAGAAAAATCCCTTTTAATGTTATTGGAAAGGTCCTCCACCCAATTTGACTGTAGGAGGGGGAGCCGTCCGCTACCATCCTTCCTGGGTTGACCCCTCTCCTGAAAATGGTTTTCCTCTTCCAAGTGGGAATTCAACCACAACCGTCTCCCATTCTATCAACGGAGGCGAGGTTCACCAGAAGGCAAGTTTGAAGCTCAGATGAAAATGCCGATTCCTTTTCTCCCTCGCTTTCCTCTCTGGCGACTCTCCTCTGAGGCGGGAGAAGGGACCCAGGTAGGCCGCGCTGTTGTTGCGGCTTCTATGCCTGCCCTGCCCTGCCCCGCCACGTTGTAAGCCAAGAATTCGGAGGCGCGAGCAGGCCAGCAGCCGCTTCCGCGATTAGTCCGGGTAAGGCGGCTGCGGCTGGGCGGTCCTTCTCTGCCTAACTTTTATCGCCTCTTCGGTCCGCCCCCGCTTGCCCGGATGGTTTTGTCTTGCGGGCAGCAGCGAAAGGGCCTGGGAGAGGAAGTTTCTGCCCAAGTTGGGATGCGGCGGAGCCGGCGAGTTCGGGCCGGCCGAGGAGGATGGTCGCTCGTGGTGGCGCTGTTCTCGGGGCTTGGCGTAGCGGGCGTGTTGTTGCTGTGGCAGTGGGGTCCGCAGCACCCGGATAAGAGCTCTGGGAGAGCGGCGCCCCCTTCTTTGGCGCCCGAAATAGCCCAGCGACGATTGCGCAGACCCGTCTATGATAAGCCGCCGTTGGGCAGAGAGACCGAGGTGGGCGAGATGGGCCGGCCGGCCCGCCTGGAGTTAAGCAAGGCCGAGCAACAGCTTCAGGAGGAGAGCATCCAGCTGCACCAGATCAACATCTTCCTGAGCGACCGCATCTCCCTTCACCGGCGCCTGCCCGAGCGTCGCAATTCGCTGTAAGTTCAGAGGGTTCCCGCAGGAGGCGGCGCCGCCGCCGCTGGGCTCGCGGGGAGAGCCAGAGGGAGGGCGCTTCTCTCCGCGGTATCCGGCGAAGTTAGCTGGAGGGGAGGGAGGCCTTAAGAGAGGGGCGGTGTTACTTTACCGCTTGTTCGTGCTATACTTAACGCCCCAGAAGTACTTCCTTTAGCGGTCCCGGCGGAGTCTCTCGTGGCGCATTTAAGACGGGTCTTCGTGGGTCGCGATTGCATTTGCCAATGCAGTGAACCGAGGAGAGTGGCGCGGTCTCAATTGGAACCCCACGAGCTTAAGCCAAGAATTGCAAAGTAGATCTCGCCCACTCAGGGATATTTGACTGGGTTCACGCAGCAGGTTAATCCAACATTAAAGATGCACCCGTATAACATGCTAATCCAAATTTAACTTACAAATTAGCTGAATTGGCTATACAGGGAGTCCTCGTCTTATGACCACAATTGGGCCCCAAATTTCTGTTGATGAGATAGTCGTTAAGTGAGTTTTGCCTCTTTTTATGACTTTCTTGTCACAGTTGTTAAGTGAATCACTTCAGTTGTTAAGTTAATAACACGGTTGTTAAGTAAATCTAGCTTCCCCATTCACCCTGCTTGTCAGAAGGTCATAAAGTGACCCCAGGGCACTGCAAACATCATAAATAGGAATCAATTGCCAGGCATTTGGTCAAATGACCATGGGGATGCTACAACTGTGGTAAGTGTGAAAAATGGTTATGAATCACTTTTTTTAGTTCCCTAATTTCTAGATGAACTGTTGTAAGTTGACTGTGTGTACACAGCATACTTATAACCAGTGCTTTTTTTCTAAAAAAAGAAAAAAAAAAGGTGCCGGAACTCACTCACGTCATATAACCCACCTTGCCTATCCTACAAGGTTCCATCCCAAAAAGGTGCCGGAACTCCGTTCTGGGCATTTTATGAGAAAAAAAGTCCTGCTTATAACAACCCACACAGTAGGCTTCACACTATTGTGTGAAGGAAATGAAATCCAGACAGTATTGTCAAAATCACTTAGCATAGTTCCATTACCTTCTCAGTCCTGACTCTTCCTTTTTAGAGTATTTTATCATCCTGTTTTCCATGATCTTTGCTTTCCACAATTGCTTTGATATATAAAAAGTTTATTTTTAAAAAACAGCTTTTTATTAAAACATCTTTCAAAACAGTTGACTAAGTAGCATATCAGTTTCGATGTTCAGACTTGTACTGTAATATAAAAACATGAGATATACATTCTCCAGGCCATAAACTAAAATTCAGCCAATTTTAATTTATGTAGTTTTGCATGCTATAATTATTACATTCATACAAAAGACTGGGCCAAATTAGGTGAACCGTGGTAACCCTTGGCACATAATGCCAGAATTTAGGTAAGAGTTTTCCATTTTCCAAAGGAGAGTTATCTTTACATTCATTTTGTTTTCCAGTTTTCTATCAATGTCTAATCTTTGGAATTTTGAGAAGTTCTATCTTTGCTCATTTTTTAAGAAAGAATATTTTCCTGACAGTGTTTCAAAGAAAATACCCTAAATCATACATAGGGACACTGGCAATAATTTGTCATATTTGGTTCTGTTTCTTTTTTACAAAACTTTCTAATAGCAGGATTTAAGATTGCTTGTAGAAAACTAATTAGCCACATCACCTTTCTTCCTATGAGTATACAAGTACATTGATAATATTATAGTCGAGCATGTTCATATGGATAAATCAAGTATTATTCTATTTGGCAATAAATAGATATAATTCCTGTTATTTAAGACAAGCTAGTGTAATTTTATAAAATCAGGAACATTTTGGTGGGCAAGGAAGGGCTTGTTTCCAGTATAATGGATTTTGATGAGATGGTTGTTGGAATATATGTACAAAATGAACACCAAACAAGATTTTTATATAGCAGCCTCATAATGACTTTTGCCATTTATGCCTTTTGATGTTCAGGGATGTCTTGATTCTGATACTCCATTAAGTAAAATTTCCAATCCACCCATCGATCGTATTTTCCCTAATTGTGTCTCGTCCGCTTGTGTGCGTTTGGATCTTCCCCTCTCATTTCTACTTTCCCCGCCTGCTCTGCTCGTATCTGGTTGTTTGAAGTTGTTGCCGGATCATCCTTCAATTTATCTCATCCTACGACCCCCTTGAGTCGTTATGTCATCCTATCTGGTAGCATTTCTCCTATCCTGTGCTCCGTACTGCCCCCGCTGGTCTGCCGTCAGCTATGCTGACATTTCCCTCTTCACTCGTTACAATTTCATGCTGTCCCATGGGTAAGCGACCTGGGTCTTTCCTATCCCCCTCCCTCTTGTGTGTGGGCGGTGCTTTTTGTACACACTGTGGATCTTTATGTTGTTGTTCATGCTTCCTTAGCGTCTGGTAAGCTGGCAGCAAATATATATGGCGGTTGATCGAATACTCATCGGACAGCCAGGCCTCTTTAAGCAATCATGAACAGTTGTTTTTATACCTATCCCGGAGTTTGATGATATATATATACACACACACACACTGAAATTTTAGTTGTACACACAATACATTTTTTGCATGTACGGTTCAGAGTTGTATTAATTGCTGATCATGGTGTGTAAGTACATGCCTGATTTTAAATTATTGTAATACTTTGTGCTTTTCTTACAGATGTAAAGAAAAGAAATATGATTATTATAACTTGCCAAAGACTTCTGTTGTAATAGCTTTTTATAATGAAGCCTGGTCAACTCTTCTGAGAACAGTTCATAGTGTTCTTGAGACATCTCCTGACATTCTTTTAGAAGAAATTATCCTTGTAGATGATTATAGTGATAAAGGTAAGATGAGCAGATATTTCTTTGTTTGCATAGGATTTCTAGTGAAAGAAAAAATCTAACAGCATTAGCATTAGTAGGAAAGACATTTTTTTATTGTACAATATATTATTAAAAATAAGAATATGTAAACTGAAAAGAAAGCCAAAATAGTTTTCTGTATTTCTTGAACAGCATAAACCAATTTAGCTAACTCATTAAATAAAAAAAACTCTCACAAAAAGAACAGCTTTATTATCATAAAGAGTGTAAGTCTGAAGAAATAAAATATATTTCCCTAAAGTATGCTAATTATTATATATTTGAATGAAGAGTGGGAGTATGTTAAAATTAAATATTTATATATAAAATGGGTTTATATTGTGATATATTGTAAATAACTTACCTTTAATGTAGTTTTGCATAATATTTCAAATCATTTTCAGATTCTATGATGTACTACTTCAACTATGCCATGGTATTAATTTTCCATCCATTTTAAATAATATCTTCTTAAATATGTGCTCAACACAGGAATTAAAAAGGTTTGCCAATCAGTCTTGTGAACTGTTCTCTGAATATCAGGTTGAAAGAAGGTTGTAGGATTGGGAGTTTGCAAGAATTAAATATTACACTCAAAAATTCCTAAATCACACATCTCTGAAATCTAGTTGTATACTCTCTTAATCAGAAAATGTCACATTATTTGGGAAAAAATCATGGACTGGTTTGGTCAATATTGAAAGCTTATTTTTCATTTTTAAAGTCTTAGAAAATCAGGTGAATTTGGAATGTAGAATTTGGGAGGTAGTCCTTGAGTTAATGAGTGTAATGGAGCCTGCCCATTCCATTTGTAACTCGAAAACTCGTAGAGTGAATCTCATACCTCGAATGAGATCACTCATTTGCTCATTAAAACACACGCAGCTCATTAAGCAAACATGAGGTATCTCAGGTTTGGGAAGGTCATGGAGGGTCTAGTGATTGAACAGGCCCCTAAAGCCTCCCTGGCCCACTAAAATATGCATGCTTCCCCCTTCCTTCCTGCTGCGCTGGACTGACCTGGAAAAGATCTGTCTCCTGTCTGTTGTGGTTCCTGCTGCCACCCGGATCTGAGGCCAGGGGATGCTTCTGCAGCCCGTTCTGGGCTCCAGAGGCCTTTTCTGGTCTGCTGCCGCCCAGATCAGGCCATGGGGGGGGGCTGCAGAAGTGTTTGCCAGCCACAGATCCAGGTGGCAGCAGCTTGGAAAAGACCTCCAGAGCCCAGATCGGACCACGGGGAGGCGCAGAAGCGTTCAGATCCAGGCGGCAGCAGCCTGGAAAACACCTTTGGAGCCCGAATCAGGCCGCAGGAGAGGTGTGGAGATGTTCCCCGGCCTCAGATCCGGTCCGCAGAGGCCTGGAAAACATCTCCGGAGCCCCGATCCAGCCTCCGGAGGCACGTGGAAGCATCCCACGGCTTCGGTTCCATTATGTGTTGCAGAAAACAGAGGCCTAAAATACCATGAGATCATGTGAGATCAGTAGTGAGAGATCTCGCCCCACTGATCTCACATGATCTTGCATTATTTTAGGACTTCATTTTCTATGAACGCACTGAAGGCCTGGAGCAGCCAAGAAAGCAAAGGATCTCGATCTTCACAGGGTGAATATTGAAGGCCTGATGCCTTGGAAGACCCGGAGCGTGGGTGAGGAGGGAGGGAATAACCAGGGTGAATGTTGCAGAATCACTGCGGTCGCTCGTAAGGGCGAACGGCTGCTGTGATGCTGCAATATTTGTAATTTTGGGACTTGTTCATAAGCACTAAGGGGCGCTCATCATGTAATTTTGAATGAGCATTAAGTGAACGCTCGTAACTCAGGGATTACCTGTACAGTTTCTTTTTTATATTTATGTGTGTATATTTGTTTGGTGCCTTCGAGTAAATTTTTGACTTTTGACAACTGCTGGAACACGTCCCTGCAGATTTTAAGAATTGGTTTGCAATTGGCTGCTTTCTAGGGCTGAGAGTGACTAGCCCAACCTGGCTTTGTACTTAAGGCAGGACTAGAACTTTCAGTTTCTTACCTGGTACCTTAACCACTACATCAAACTGGCTCTTTATGTTTTTACTTGTGTAATTTTATTCTTTTTTTTGCATGTGATGAATTGTTTATTTTTATTTTGTGTATGTCTGTTTGGAAAATGGATTTATAAAACCTATTTAATTATTAAAAAGAAGGAATATTGCACTGATGGATACCTGAAAATAATTTGCTAGATCTCAGAATAATATCTTTCAGAGATCTGATATTCAGAGATTGCAAGTGAAAATTTGTACAAGTTGGTTGAGAGAGAGTTACACTTTTTAAAGGTTTGTGTGACACCTGGCATCATATATTACTTGCCTCTCATCATATTAAAGTGAGGTTGATAATGATGGAAAGGATATCATGAAGAATAGCTCAATCACAGCCAGAGAACACTGAATGATCTTGTTATTTTGACGATTATAAAGTTCCAAAATCAAAATGGTTTGGAACATAAAAATTTCTTATAGACTCAGAACACATAAGACAACCATTTTGAGGGTTTGGTGATTCAAGGACACCGTGTTTCAATGCACCACTGTAAATGAACATGCAAGGCAAGGTTTTTAGTTGAGTTTCTGTCAGAAGTTCTTTGTCTTCATCTCTGCTTAGATGCAACAAAGTGTAAAAAAAAGTACACTCGTGGTCCATTTATTATAAATTCCTTATAGATAACAGTAAACAGTTCTTATTTTTCTGCAACAGAACATTTAAAGGAAGATTTGGAAAACTATCTGGCGAATTTGCGCAAGGTACGGCTTATCAGAGCAAATAAAAGAGAAGGGCTGGTTCGAGCAAGGCTGCTGGGAGGTTCAGTAGCAAGAGGAGATGTTCTTACATTTCTCGACTGCCATTGTGAGTGCCATGAAGAGTGGCTTGAACCATTATTAGAAAGGTAAATAAATAAATGTTTGTCATATTAATTCCAACGTTAGAAGCATTTGATAATTTGTATTGGATTTTTTTAAGATTGTGACAGCTAAGCGAACGCCTTGTATTTTACATATTGTTTTCTTATCTCTTTACCTCTGAAATTTAAAATATATTAGAGTGCAACATCTTGATGTTTATTTTCATTATATTTTCTTATAATATATGATACTAGTTTTTAAATTATATGGGAATAACAAATGTACGGTGAAGAAAAATATGGCCACTAAAATAAGACTCAAAAGATTAAATAAATAATTCAATCTGAATCAAATAAATAAATGGCATTGGACTATATTTCAGGTGTAATCTATCTATTGAAATCATTATGATGGTGTAAATTAAAGAAGTATATATTGGTTTGCTCTGTCATAATTATTTCAGTGAGTAGCTATAGGAGTAAACATTTTCATGTCATGTATACCTTCTCCAGATACTGTTTTCAAAATATGCTATTGGTATTGAGAGTGGGAGGATTCATTGTAATGAAGTTGCATTATGTGACAATGTGAGAGTAGTAATCATGGGAGAAAGAGATTTAAGAGAGAAGGAAAACAAATGCATTGTATGATATGTGATAATAATTACATAAAAATAATTTGTAATTATTAAAAGTAATTAAAATATATGCATAACATTTGCAGGGTTTCCCACATATTGTCACATCATGATTGCAAAAACATGAAACAGAGATGCTTTTCAATGACGTGAAAGCAAAAAAATAAAACAAAGAGTTTGTGGATTTAGGAGTATGTGGCGATTTTAAAAAAGAAGGCAGGTTGACTATTTGAGTGAATTTCTAAATACTATAAAGTCCGCACATATAATATTGTAAGCTCCCGATTTTAAATATTTCCATTGAGCAAACTTGAACAAAGATAACATTTCTATCCAAATACATCTAATAATAATAAATTATTACATTCAAAGTTTCCCAGACAAAACACATAATTGTAAGCTAAGTTATATTTATGTCATTTGTGTCAGTTTGCATCATGAGTTTGATGACATTGTTATAAATGGCATAAGCTGTTACAAATGACATTTCAGTTTAATGATTATTTGAGTGATATTTAGTCTGTTAAATCTTTATTGTAATACTTAAGTGTAATATTTTGAAGAAAATATATTAATTTATACTTCACTTTTATTTAATTATTTAATTTACTTGTTTGAACCCTAGTGAACAATAGTAGAGACTTATTTTATGATATTTATATTTGAAACCTTTTTGAAATAATCATATCTCTTATTCTTAATAATGGGAATATTCCACAAGATGGCAGTGTAGGGTAAGATTTAGGTTGAAAGTTACTTATGTTCTTTGTATTTGCTACCAACAGGAATAATACATATAGTACCAGTTAAGGTTTCTAAATCTGCAAGTTCCATATACTTGTGTTAAATGGTAAATTATTAAATTATAATAGTAAAATCCATTTCCTACAAGGAATAAATTATTGCATCACTCTGTGCAGATAGTCCTCGATTTACAATCATAATTGAGCCCAAAATTATACTTCTTAAGTTGTGATGGTTATCACATGACCTTTTGCGTGATAGTTGCTAAGCAAATTCTGTGATTGTTAAGTAAACATCATGATTGTTAAGTGAACACCATGGTCGTTAAGCGAACCCATTGTCCGCAATGGGCATTTTTGCTGTAAACTGGAAGTAAGTGCTGGTTTCTGACAAAAACCATTGTAATTCGCCATCATGTGATCACTGGATGCTGCAAATGCCTGTAAACATGGGCCACTTCAGGCACTCAGCAGCCAGCCCACATTTACGGTTTGTAGAGTCCCATGGTCATGTGACTGTTTTAGAATAGAAGAGAATAGAGCTGGAAGGGATCTTGGAGACCTTTTAGTCCAGCCCCCTGCTCAAGCAGGAGGACCTATACCATCTCAGACAAGTGACTGTCTAGCCTCTTCTTAAAAATCTCCAGTGATGGCACGCCCATGATTTCTGGAGGCAAGCCGTTCTGGTTAATTGTCCTCACTGTCAGGAAGTTTCTCCTTAATTCTCTCTTTGTTCAGTTTTTCTACCATTGTTTCTTGTCCTGCTCTCTGGTGCTTTGGTGAATAACGTGACCCTCTCTTCTTGGTGGCAGCCCCTCAGATACTGGAATACTGCTATCATGTCTCCCCTGTTTCTTCTTTTCTTTAGACTAGCCAAACCCAAGTCCTGCAGCAGTTCTTCATATGTTTTAGTCTCCAGGCCTTTAATCATCATAGATGCTCTTCTCTGAATTTTTTTCCAAACTTTCAACATCTTTTTTGTGATATGGTGACCAAAATTGGCTGCAGTATTCCAGGTGTGGTCTTACTAGGGTTTTATAAAGCAGTACTAATACTTCACGTGATCTTGATTCTATGCCTCTGTTTATACAACACAGGATTGTATTAGTTTTTTTGGCTGCTGCTGCACACTGCAGGCTCATGGTCAAGTGATCATCCACTAGGACTCCAAGATCTCTCTCACAGTTACCGTTTGTAAGCCAGGTCTTGCCCAATCTGTACTTGTACCTTTGATTTTTCCTGCCTAAATGTAAAACTTCGATTTTCTCCACATTGAAACTCATTTTGTAGAATAGGGCCATTGTTCAAGTTTGTCAAGATCTTTTTGGATCCTGAGTTTGTCTTCTGGGTGTTGGCTACTCCTGACAGTTTGTTGTCATCTGCAAATTTGATGAGTTCCCCTTCAATTCCCTCATCTAAGTCATTGATGAAGATATTGAAGAATACTGGGCCTAAGACGGAACCTTGTGGTACCCCACTGCTTACTTTCCTCCATGTAGATGTAGTACCATTAACGACTACTCATTGAGTACGGTTTGCCAGCCAGTTACAGATCCATCTGGTGGTGATGTTGTCTATTCCACCTTTTTTAGCTTACCAAGGAGTAGGTTGTGATCTACTTTATCAAATGCCTTACTGAAATCTAAGTATACTACGTCCACAGCATTTTGCTGATCTACTAGTTTAGTCACTTTATAAAAGAATGAAATAAGATTGGTTTGGCATGATTTGTTTTTAAAAAACCCATGCTGGCTACTAATTATAACTTTGTTTGCTTCTAGTTGTTCGCAGATCTGTTTTTTGATTATCTTTTCTAGGATCTTCCCAGGTATTGATGTTAAAGTGATTGGTCTGTAGTTTCCTGGGTCCATTTTTTTCCTTTTCTTGAAGATGGGAACCACATCAGCCCTTTTCCAGTCCTCAGGTACTTCCCCGGTGCTCCAGGATTTATGAAAGATGTGGTGCAATGGTTCTGAGATAACATCTGCCAGCTCCTTCAGAACCCTGGGATATAATCTGTCGGGTCCCGGTGATTTATATTCGTCAAGGTTGGATAGGTGTTCTCTTACCATTTTATTGCCTTTTTTTTTTTAATAACAGTTGTGCTGAAAACAGGCACTTACTTCCAGTTTTAGCAAAACTCCCATAGCAAACCATTAATTCACAACTAATGACTGTGCTGTCACAAAAATAATCATAAAATCAGGTTGGTCATATGGATGACCCGATTTATGACCATCACAACTTACAACTGTAATAGGCAGGCCCTATTATCGTTGTAACTTCAAGGACTATCTGCACCTTTTTGTGGGTCCATTAGAACTTCAAACACAAGCAACGAGTCATAATTGAGGACTTTCTGTATGTCCAGGATCCAAATTACTCCTCAGGTACTTTCCCCCAAACTCTGCCTTCTAACATCCTAAAGCTGCCCATGAGAAATCACTACAGTGGTCTTGAAGTGGCAGTTCTCTTAGACTGGTGTTGCTGAACTCTTGCTTTTCCTGATGAGAAACATGAGGTGCAAGCAAATCTTGGAAGACTGTGTTTCCAGGGCATCCAGATATTTGAAGTAACAACTTTTTGAAAACTTCATTTGTCTTGTCATAACCATGTTCCTGAGATATGATGTTTCAGAAGGGATCCTGCATTGTGCAACCCTAAGTTTTCCTTTGCAAGAGTGTCAGATGAAGAGTAGATGTAATATCATAGCTGCATACTTTGTGGGCTACAGAGTCCTAGCACGCCAATTTCATAGTGTACATAGTGCTAGATGGTGATTTGTGTCATTCAAATATATATTTGGCCTGTTTTTGGTTGCTGCTGCTCCTTCAATACAAACTTCATTTAAATGAACTGACTGCAAACTTGAGGAGGGATTAAGAACGGCAGGATGTATTGATTTATTGCAGCGGTTCTCAACCTGTGGATTGCGACCCTTTTGGTGGTCGAACGACACTTTCACAGGGGTCGCCTAAGACCATCGGAAAATACATATTTCCAATGGTCTTAGGAACCGAGAAACCGCTCCTCTATCCAGCCATCGCCACCCTCCTCCTCCTCCTCTGCCGGCTCCTCTGCCTCCAGGGCACCCTTCTCCAACAGCGCCTGCTCCTGCCACCGCAGCACCATCGTGCGCACCCCCAACTCCACCCCAGGCCGGCTCAGCTGCGTGGGTGGCTGGCCCGAGCCAAGCCGGGTCTGAGCTGCTACTGGCACTGCCACTGGGCTGCTCCGCTGCTGCTGCCGCTGCTGACTGAGCTGAGCTGCGGCGGCGAGCGAGTCCCCATGCCTCCTGGTTGTCCGGCTGTGCTCCGCTCCTGGCTACCCGCCGCGCCAGAGCCTCCCCTGTGCCGCTCGGCCCACCTCCCTCACTGTCGGAGGCCGCCTCAGCCTTCTGGTGCCCAACGCGGCCCTGGGGTTGGCGGGCAGGAGCAGCTCCTTCCCAGCTCGCCGGGCTCTGGGCCTCGGAAGCAGCCAGGAGGCGAGGAAGAGGGCAAGGCGGCGGTGATGCCCACATGTGGGTCGGAGGCCGGCCGGGAGGGGAGAAGCGGCGCCTTCCGAGTGGGACCTGGCGTTCCGGCCGGGCTCCTCTTGCATGCGACGAGTCGGGGAAGGGTTTGGCGGTGAAGGGCTGCGTGGCATAGAAAGGGGCTCCCGCGACCCTGCTGCTGCGGTGGCGCTTAGGAGGCTGGAGGGGCGGCAGGTCCCGAGGGGGCGGCTTTGAGAGGACAAGAGGTGCTGGCATGAGGATGGAGGGCTTCAAGTTGGCAGGCACAAGAGGGCGGCCGGTGGCTCTGAGCCGCGCGGATCCTCTGCACAGCTTCCGAGACCTCGGAGGTGACGCCGCTTGGCTCTCTGCCAGGCTCTCCACAGAGCCTCCCCCCTTCCCCAGGCAATTGTACGGAGCTGCTTGTGTGTCCTTGGCAGCGCCTGCGGGCAAGGCTGTGTGCCCAATCCAAAATGCCGCACTTTTCCTACTGCTTCTCCTCGCGATTTCCCTTTCCCTGGTTCTTTTCATCTGCACTGGAAAGGACAATTTGGGCTATTTTATTACCGGTACGTGTTGCTTGTTTTATTATTTGTTGCCTTTGCTGAACCAGGGAAAATTGGTTAAAGTGATTTTCAGGAGCTGCAGAATGCCTCCAAGTAAAGCCGCAGCAATTACCCGGCCAATTTTCCCTGCTAAGGCATCTGTATGTGTCTCCAGACCTTACTGGACTACCATCCCCAGCAGTCCTAAAAAGCACTGTGAAAGAGTGGGGAATGCTGGGAGTTGCAGTTCATCACCATCTGGGAAAACATGACTCTCCAAAGATCAATCCTTCCTTCCTTCCTTCCTTCCTTCCTTCCTTCCTTCCTTCCTTCCCTCCTTTTTTCCATCTATCTTCTTCCCTTCCCCTTCAATCTCTCCTTCCTTCCTTCCTTCCTTCCTTCCTTCCTTCCTTCCTTCCTTCCTTCCTTCCTTCCTTCCCCCTTCAATCTCCTTCCTTCCTTCAGTCTCCTTCCTTCTCCATCTCCTTCCTTTCCCCTTCAATCTTCCTTCCTTCCTTCCTTTCTTCCATCTCCATCCCTTCCCCTTCAATTTCTCTCTCCTTCCTTCCTTCCTTCCTTCCTTCCTTCCTTCCTTCCTTCCTTCCTTCCTTCCTTCCCCCTTCAATTCCTTCCTCTCCTTCCTTCCTTCCCCCTTCAATCTCCTTCCTTCTCCATCTCCTTCCTTTCCCCTTCAATCCTTCCTTCCTTCCTTCCATCTCCATCCCTTCCCTTCAATCTCTTTCTTCTTCCTTCCTTCCCCCTTCAATCTCCTTCCTTCTCCATCTCCTTCCTTTCCCCTTCAATCTTCCTTCCTTCCTTCCTTCCCCTTCCCTCCCTCCCAACATTTTTGAGCAAGGAAGAGTAAGCTTCTCCAGCGAGCATTGCTATATTGTTTTTGTGATTAATCACTATGCTTTAATTATGTTCAATTCGTAACAATGAAAATACACCCTGCATATCAGATATTTACATTATGATTCATAACAGTAGCAAAATTACAGTTATGAAGTAGCAACGAAAATAATTTTATGGTTGGGGGTCACCACAACATGAGGAACTATATTAAAGGGTTGTGGCATTAGGAAGGTTGAGAACCACTGATTTTTTGTTTTAATAGTCTTACACAAAATATGCTGGAATTAGAAATGAAGGACTGGAAGAAAGTTGTACAATAGTTTTGACTTTGTATAAATAAAATGTTCAAGAAGCAAATGATTTCTTGATGTATAATATCACCTTCATGTTAGAAATAATTGTACTTGCTGCTTTCAGCTCTCTAGGTAGAAATTAACAGAAAGTCCTTACATAGATTCTGCTATAGATTTTTGTATTCTAATTGTATCATTTTAATCTAGTATAACTGCTTGGATAATTTGAATCAAATACAAGTACTCTTGGTCTTCTTTCTTCACCATCTCTGACTCCATCTTCTTTTTCCTCCTTTGTGTCCTTCATCTTTATCTGTGGTTGTTTGGCAGTTAGTCTGCAGCTTGCTGGGAGTATGGCCATTTCACTGACAGGCACCGTCAGGAGGAGTGGCCACTGAACTCTTGAAGTTGCTTGGACTGGAGAGTGAGTAACTTGAGTCTCTTTCTGCTTGTGAATGCTAGGATTGATGAAAGTTCTATTATTCTTCAGCTTGCCTTCATTTTATCTGCTCCAAATTTTCATCTCTTTCATCTTTCCTTGAAGATGATTATCAAGATCACAATAAATGTATAGTGACAGAAACGGAATAACGTATTTCCTTCCATTTTTGTTTTTATTTGCTTCTGTAAGTTATTAATTAGTTCATTTACTACAAAGCAAATTACTATAATCCATAACATAAAGGTTTGTCTTCCATATGAACCATGTGGATGTTGGTTGATGATAAGAAATCTCATTTTTTTTATTTAGCTTGATTATTCTGATGAAGAGAGGCCAACAGTCAGTGAGAAATAATATTCCACATTATTTTTGCCTCTAAAATTTAAAATATTAATAAGTTCTCTTGGTCACATTGGCCACCCTGCGTAGGATTCAGAAGGAGAAAAAAAGGTCTGATGGGATGAATAAATTAAAAAAAAATCCTCAGATCACCAGCGGTAGTACATAATGTTGTCTTCCTTTTACAGGGCATGTTACAAGTTTTCTGCTTGTTACTTTCCTGCAACTATTTTGTATATTTGCTGATGGTTTGTGTCCTTTGTTTAAGCCATTTAACAGTTCATTAATTATGCAAACTTATTGCTGGAACTTATTAGTTACACATACATAATTGTATTTAATTAGAATAGAACCAGTCTCTCAGATTATGTTGCAAGATGCCTTGGGTAAACTGTAAAATAGAAGAGTTTAGAGAGAAGATAGCTGAAATTTTTTAACTGATCTGATGACGTCAGCAGACAAATAAAAGGAGAGTTTATTGAATTTTGACTGAAAGAAAATATCACAAGTATGCTTGTTTGCCTCTTGCAACAGCACTGAAGTGAAATTCTTAGCATAATAGTATATGGAAGATAATAGTTAGTTATGCTTCACACTTATTAATGAGACCATTGTGAGTGAGGGTATAAGGGCAAACATTTTTCATCTCTTTCCTTAGTTTTTCCTGCATAAAGAATAAATAAATATTTATTTATAAAATCTATATAGCTGTCTACTTGCGCAAAGTGACTCTAGATGGCTTGCAACCAATAAAAACACAATGTAGAAAAAAAATGACTCCCCCCATCCCCCTAGTGACAGCACATGATTAAAGAAGCCATTGATGGCCTCCTTTGCACTCTGAGTTTCTCAGGCCTGCTGGTAAAACCAAGTCTTTAGGAGCTTCCAAAAGGCTGTCAAAGTGGGGGCCCAAAAATGTATATGCAGAAAGTGCACATGATACACAAAAATAAAATATATAAAGCATTATTCTCTCTTTTAGTATGTTAGTCTTTCCCAACTTGGAGTCCTCCAAATCTTTTTGGAACTATGCTGGGTGGAAATTTTGGGAGTGCAGTCCAAACGCAATTTTCAGACTTAAACAACCTTATACTTACTTTGAAGATAGATATTGGTTAGGTACTTTTTCAATTATTAGAAAAATATTGTAAAATATCTGAAAAAAATTGAAAAACTAAAAACTACTCTAGAAAAAGTATACTTTTCTAACGGTCTTCTACAATCTATCCAACTTGTTTAGTTTCTACCATCAGGATACAAACAATATTTCTTTGTAAACATGCATAGAATTAGAGAAGAACCATCAGCTGTCGTCTGTCCTGTGATTGATGTAATTGACTGGAACACCTTTGAATACTTGGGAAATGCCGGAGAGCCACAGATTGGTGGGTTTGACTGGAGACTGGTCTTTACTTGGCACGTGATACCAGAGCGGGAGCAGCAAAACCGAAAATCCAAGATTGATGTTATCAGGTTAGATTGATTTTGAGTTTTGTCTGAAGTTATATTTTGATAAACCTGTTGGGATGAATAATGATCAAATACAATACAGTCATGCTAGATTATTATACTGGCAATTTTATTTTAAGAATCAGATCTGTAATCTTTTGTCCTCCACTGCATTTTATTTTTTGCACAATTTGGTTTAATTGCTGCAGTACTACTATTAGTTTGTGTGACCATCAGTAATAATTGAAATTAACATGTGGATTTAAGTAATAGCATCAGAGTGAAGAATAATAATAATGTCTATGGAAAAAGAAAACAAAAATAGTACCAGCAGTAATAGGCACCTTGGGTGCAATCCCCAAACATCTGGAGTGTCACTTAAAGACATTGGCATTGATAAAATTGTCATCGGTCAATTCCAAAAGGCAGTTTTGATACAGCTTACGTCTTGCGACAATATTTTTAATACCATCAAACAACAAGATTTGTCTATCCCAAGTCCTTGGAAAGTACTTGATAGGTGGATAAAAATCAAGTCTAAACAATCATTGCTGACTGTGCAATGAATCAGAATAATACAGCTTTTTAACTATTACTGAAAGGTGAAAAATTCTGAAATTATTAATGAAGCAATTAGCAAACTTTATTATATCTGGTTCTACAGGTTGGTTTCCTCTCCCTCATTCTTTTTGGAATTTCCTACAAAATCCTTTCCTTTACATTCTTATTCCCCTTCCCATTTGACACTAATATAGAATCCATGACGAACACGTTCTCATGGGAAACAAATTCACAAAGTTTCTTTTCTCTGCCTCATGTTTATTGTACAGTTTTCTGCCTCATCTTGCTTTGGTGAGAGTATTTGTTTTCTGATCACATTGCTTTCCACTGGTTTCCTGATGCTAAGAGTGACTTCAGCAACTTTTCCCTCAGGACTTGATCTTTCTGCTTCTGCATTTCTTCCTTTCAAGTCTGATCTGTTCTGTTCCTGCTCTAAGTCCCCCAGCTCCTGTTCTGTCCTATTCAGTGTTCTCAGCTAATGAAATGTTCAGTCTTCGAACTCGAGTATAATTCACCTTTACCACATCTACTGCATTCATGCCAGGGTCTATCAAGATACCAGTGCCCATAAGAACTTAGATTTTGGAGAAAAAGATTTTCAGTCCTCTGATGTTGTGGTTTTAGGTGTTTACCTTTAAAGTATCCCTTTAGCTAGGATACTTTAATCAAAATACTATATTTCTCATGACAATTGATATTTTCATTCAACATTGTAAAATATTCATCAGCTAAAGTGGGTTCTCAACAAACTTGAAGAAATCTAAAAAGAAACAATTCAAAATGTTCCTAGAGACTCTGCCTTAATGAATTCACCAATAAATGAGAGTTGGAAATTTCTGTTCAGTTTTTAAGATTCTTTATTTTGTCACAATACTAGCATTTAAGGCACTTTACCCTATCTGTATAATAATTGATTCCTTCATCTTGTGCAACTGTATATGCCTTTAGAAAAAGCAAGAAGGTGAATTTTTAAATTTATCTGTCTTTTTGTCCTATGACCTATGGCCTAGTTTTGTCTTTATGCTAAAAATGGTTAAGCTATATGTAAGAAGGAAGATATCACAGTGGTAAACCAGGCCTGGGAATCCCTTCCTACAGTATTTATCTTATCACTCCTCTTCCCTGTTCCTAGGATCCCTGCATAGTTTCTTGCAGGCAAGTGGCTGTTCTTGAATGGGGAGTAGGTATTTTCCTCACCTGGCATCTAAATAGGATAGAACAATAAACAATTCTACTTTTCTCTTTTGCTAGGAGTATAGGTGTCCAGCAATTCTTTGTGTGCTGCTAGTACAAACTAACACTGTAGTAATAAAGGATTTTTATTTTATTAAATGTAGCAAAATAAGATTGCTTAATATTGCAAGTAGACTGAAAAAGAATAAGAGAGACAGAGGATAGAAGCAAAAATAAAACTGAGATGTAAAAATAAAGAAAGTATATTGATGTAATTGTATTGTACTTTCTCTGCCAATTTTGTCTTACTAGATACAATCCTGTCAGGGCTTTGTAGAATTGGGTTTACCAGTAAATCTCAGGAAAAATTTACTTCTACATTCTTTTTTATTTCCAAGGGAGTGAAGCCACTGTGTAGACTAGGGGTATCAAACTGCTGGCCCATGGGCCGGTTGCATCATGCGGAGCCTGCACCCACTCCAGCTCCAGCAATACAAAAAAAGGTGTGATACGTCGCAACACATCACATGACATGGCAAGTTTGACACCCGCGGGGTAGAGCAAGCTAAATCCCAGTTCCAATCCAGAGTTTCCTGCTAATCAACAGTAAAACTTTATTACTTAATTTCAGTTTATTCACTCCAGTATAGTTGCTAATTGAATGTATGCAACATTCCACGGAATTGAATAAAAGTTCTATGCTCCCTTCAGTCAATTAGAGACTTATGAGACTTAGATCAATCATTGGAAAAAAATAACTGCTTGACGTGACTGGTTGGAATCCTTTCTTTTAACCCAACTCCTGGGTTAGCTACATTTTACACTTTTTATATTGCTGCGTAACAGTATTTTCCCTGAGGTTTAGAATTAAATTTAACAAAAATAGTTTTCAGAAGCAGTTAGAAGGTTTACAAAGGTATTTTGGGACACTTATCTATGAACAGATCTACTAATGATTAAACAGCCTAACTTTTTAGTTTATATGGTAAGTTAGTTAACGAATGTTCTGTCCGGTTTTTTTCAGACATTTCTGAAAACATAAGGGGGAAAGATAGTCTTGTTCCAAACATTCTCATTCATGGAATTTCATATAAGTAAATGGAGATAATAAGTTGTTGTGAATTTGATTAATAAAAGTTGTTAAAATCGATCAAATTATCCTTCTAATCAAACATTGGTAACTGAAGATTAGAACTCATTGTAAAATAATTTGTAAAATTATTCTTAAAAATTATATTTCCTTGTTGGAATGATGAATCATAGTACACAATTTTTTTTTCACCTGAACACTGTTCTGTTAATAATTGCTTACTGCTGATAAGCTCTAATTTTGCCCTTCTTTAGTTCATCTTATTGGAATGTATAGTTTTTTTTTCCTGCTGCATCAGTACAGGTTATAGCAAATAATTTATTTTCTCCTGTGCTTTAGAAATATAGTTTACTTATGAAATAGGTCAGATAATGTGAAAAGGAATTAAAGATACATTATAGACGATAAAATGTAATTTTAAGTTTAAAACTAAGATATCGTTTCCTACAACTGCTATGTTTGGTTTAATAGAACTAGTTAAATATAAGTACAAGAGTTACTCAAAATGTGTGATTTCTAAGTGTAAAATAAATGAGTCAAAAGCAAATTGTACAAAGGTTCACTTCTTATAGATTAGAAATAGGCCACTGTATGTGGCCCCAGCCTTATTTTTGTGGCATCTACAAGCTCCCAGAAGGTCAAAATATTATGGTTTTTTTGTTCAAATTTCATTTAAATAAAAATAGAACTCCATGCAGAAGAGCCTACTAGTCAGCCTTCTCAAGGAAGAAGCACAACGATGAATACTAATGCTATCTTTATTGTGAGATTATATTATCAGAATCTTGCAAGTTTGAAAGTATTCCTTCTATATTTTTCTTTTATTTGCCAAAAAATTAAAAAAGGATTTCTCCTGAAATGCTTCCCAGGCTCTATTTTTCTGTGGACTGAGATACCTTTTACAGTTGTTTTAATATGCAACTCTTCTTCCTGTCTCCCAAGGTCTTTCCCTCATACTATTATACCATTATAAACCTAAGCAAAACAAAAGCCAAAAACTGAAGTACGTCTTCCACTTGTAATATTGCCCTTTCACTTCCATGTCATTTTCTGAACTTTGAGATCCCCCAAAATAGAGAAAACAATAATGTAGCCCTTGACTGAGAGAAGTCTTTGACCCTTTTTTTTTTAAAAAATGTCTATAATCAGTAATTATTTGTAAAAAAATAATAATGGATAATTCTGTAAGTTATCTTGCCTCTTACAATGTTGATAGCTTAAAGATAAATGCACTTCTGTAATTAAATAGGAATACCTAGAAATTTAATCTTAGAAGTGACAAAACTGTTAACTTTTGAGATATATTTTAACTGATTAATCTTAGATGACTTTATTTCCTATCCAAAATGTCTCCTTGTTTCAGTGAAAAGAAAAGCAGTGTTAATATTCAAGCACAATATAACTTGAAAGGAATAGAAGTGAGGTGTTTCTTAATCTAAAACTGTTGGTACATTTACAGCCTTTGGAAGACTGGATTTTTGCCAATCGTATTCAGAAGCAGGTTAATAATTAAATAGATGTTTTCCTTGGATAGTTTAAGGAATGTGAAGACAGAACACTTTATGGGACTAGAAATATTATTTTTGAGGTATATTCTTCAGCTGAATTGTTCACATGCTCCAACTTGGTGAGGAACATTAATAATTTTTGAAGAATGCTATATAACCACATAATTGTAAATACAATATTTAACGGTATAGGAAACAGCGTTGGTAAAAATTAAACAGCAGCAAAGATGTATCTTTTAAATATTTTATAGAAATTCTATCTCAGTTTCTTTTTGTTCTATCAATGTTGTAATTCTTAATAGATCCTATAGATCCTATCTACACAGTTTCAAACATTGTAATTATGTGTGAGTGTGTCCCTTGGTTTATAGTACAGATCCACAGTGCAGATCCAAAAAAGCAGTAAATGCTTTTGAAGGAAGAAGATGAAAAGCAAACTTGACAGGACAAGGGCGCAAGCTCACATTCAGGCCTAGATAAGGCAGGAAAAGTGGCTTTACTTCTTCCTTATTCCATTGGTAGGCTGTCTGTCTGTGAATGTTCAGGATTATAAACTCCCTTTTTGGAAGATTAAGTTGTGTGATTTCTTGTTTGGCCACTGCAACCATTCAATGCAATATTTTGCCCAAAACTTTACTTCATGGATAGTGTCTGATGACTATGTCAGAAGTCATGGAGAATGGAGAATCCGT